AGCTAGGGTTCAATCTCGTACATTGTGGTCCATTTATTGTAAGAGTCGTGGTTTAAATAATTAGTTTATTCAATTACAAGTGTATCATTACGGTCTACGGTTAATACGATTTGAGATATCATTGATATTTGATTGTACTAGATAGTAGATCATCCATAGAAATGTTATCATAATATTATATTCTGTAATATTGTTGTCGGTCATGACGATTGTCATGATAATTTCATTATCTACGTTAATTCGTCTGTCGATTTTTACATTCCTCGTGGTTTTATTCGTTTACATGTATGTTAGCTAAGGTTTGAATTTACAACGTTTAATTTTTATTTTAATGTTTTTTTTTTATTTCTAGATTCTGAGTGAAAAGGGGAATGTATTAATTTTACAATTATGTTTATTTTTCAAGAGGACTTTGTCCAATATGGTAAAATGGTGTGCTTTTATTTGTATACTTCATTAAAAAAAAAAAAACCATAGGGCATAGCCTACAAATGTATAGTGTCTTACTAGTAGAATATAGTATTCTCTATAAATATACAAAAAAGACAGACATATTTCGCACGATAAGAGGGCCACTGGTGTAGGTGAGAAGTTGGGAGAATAGGATATAGAGGGGAATTTAATGTATATCTATAAACAATGATTAACCATTTCTAACGAAAAACGATTTTGAGCTGAGGTCAGTTGATAGTAATGCTTTGTCAACAATATATATACCATATTATGGTAAAATAATTAAATAGGCATTATATATTTTCTTTGATAATATTTGTTTAATATTGATCCGGTTTTCCAAAAATTCAGAATGTTAATGTATGTANTCTAATATCTTGTCAAACAAACAAAAGTTACAGTTATTTAAGTTTTTGCTTTTTTAAAATATATAACCATAGATTCATTGTTTGGCAATATTTTAGAAATCATTAATGTACGAAGCTTTAGAAAATATTCTCTTTAAATTTCTTTATCTGTATCGTAACGATGAATATTATTTTATTTTTTATTTTTATTTTTTAGGAATTAATTTCCTCGCAAAGACTTTCAGCGCTATCTACCAAATCGTATTGAACAGAACGTTTATCGCAACTATTATAAGAAATATAATATTAAAAGCGATTGAACACCAAAATAGCGTTTTCAACGCCGCGTCTCGAACGTCAATAACAACACAGCCATGTTTGTATGCACGCATACACACTATAGTGCTATCAGATCAACGACTTACTCCTGAACGCGCCTGTTTGGTTTTCTGCGTTCGGACGCTGAAATTAAACATGCGTGTTTGTATATTATATTGTGTACATTCACACGACGTTATCACCGCGAGACTCGTCGGCTATTATTTAACGTGCATTGCACTGCTATAACACTTTATTAAAGAAAGTGGCACACAAGCAACGACAACAGAATGTGTTGACCATGATGTAATGGTAGTTGTGATGTGTGTGTGTTATCATTTGTAAGCAGTGGCGTGCACAGGGAGAGAGATTAGGGGTTATATTCCCACCCTTATTGGCTCAAAATACAAAAAAATATGAGCAATCTAATGTCGAAATGCGTGTATTTAGCTGAATTACGAGGAAAACTCGACATATTGATTAGAAATTGGCCTTTTTTTAGGATTTGACTTTTAAATTACTAATTCTCATAGTCAATTTGGATTGAGAAGACGAATTTATGATTTTTTCATAATTCTTATTTACTACATCGCATTGATAATTCCTGGGCGTACCACTGTTTGTAAGCTAAGTGTTTAGGTACAGTGTTCCCATAACATCCCCCTTTTTAACTTAAATATACTGTTTACAATACAACATTAAAGTACAACGTATACAAAATTAAGTTTTAAAACGTAGTACTTTTTTTTTTGTCACTATGTTTTGTATCTGTTACTTTTTTTTTCATTTTTAATCTCCATGTAATCCTCAATCGCTTTTTTTTGTATTAACTCGTTCTCTTTGCTTTCACTATTTAATATCTATAACTTATGTTTTCCTTTTCTAGATGTAGTAAAATATTCAAAACATTTGTGCTATTTTGTAGACGTTTAAATTTTGCAAGTTTTTTACGTAATTTGTATTCGTTAGGTACTCTGTGGGTGAAATTGTTAGTCTTAACAGAAATTCATACAAAATATACAGAAGGTTTATTATAAGTCGTACTTGGTAGTCACGTATGCAGATATAAATTAAATTCCCTTCTAAATCCTACCGTCTCAACTTCTCACCCACAACAGTGGCCCACCCGTCGTGCGAAGTATATCCGTCTTTTTTTTTCAATGTCTCCCCGACATAAATACCCACGCCTCGCCACTGGTAGTTGGTAGTAACTAGTAAAGAATGATTTGCATAATCTGTGTATGTAATCTGCAGCTGTTATGATATCTTGGTCCGTCAGTGGGTAAAAAGCGATCGTTCTAGAATTTTCAATTCCGAATGTGGAACGAGAAATGCTGCATCGGTTATTTTACTATCTGAATAAATGTTTCCATTATAAACTCGCGCTGCCAAATTACATCTAAAACCGTCTAATAATTAGGGTTAAATTGAATCACATTTTATCTATACTACATAGTACGTAGTAACTCCAAAATATAAACGGGTAATTTTTACATTTCATTATTTCACGTAAATCTGCATTCGGTTCACTTATGCAATAGGTAGGAACGTACTTTACGAAAACAACATATCCAATTAAAAAATAAAACTATATCTGTTGTCTTGACAAAAAATTACGTAATTATTTGAATTGGTTCTATAACGCAGTCAAAACAAAAAAAGACGGACACACTTCGCACGTGGGTGGACCACTGTTGTAGGTGAAAAGTTGAAAAGGTAGAGGGGAAATCCGTATGCAACGATTAACCATTGCTAATAAAAACGATTCTGAACGGAGTTCGGTGGATAGTGTTGTTTTGTCAACAATATATATGTCATATTATGGTAAAATAATTAAATAGGCATTATATATTTTCTTTCAAAAAAGTGCTTTCGTTGTGAATCGAAGCAAAATTACTGGTAAAAAAGTTGTTCACAGATGAAAGAATAAAAAATAAACATCATTGTAAAATCAACACATTACTCGCTCGGTTCAGAATCTAAATCATCCGAACATATGAAAATAATGATTGAGCAATATAATTTTTTGTTATGACTGATAATAATATTGACAATATTTGTATAGATAATTTTGTAAACAACTACAATCTAACTAATACTAAACAAGTCCAATACAAAATATGAATTACTTTACTTGATGGGTGGGCCACTTTAGTAGGGAAGAAGTTGAAAAGGTAAAGAAGGAATTAATCGTTGCTAATGAAAAACAATTCGGAGTAGAGTTCGGTTATACATATTTTGAAAGGCCATAATATTTACGATTTGTAGATAATACATTTCATAAATTTTCCCGTTTTCCCGGTTTTTCGTAATTATTAGGAAAACTATATGGAAAATCATACGACTTTCTAACCCACAAACTAGACAAAATTTTCTTTCAGAAAATATATGCTAATCTTGTAGTCTTGCAATTTGGACAAAGATTTCTGGTAGAAAAATCTAATCTTAAACATTTTGAATAATATAATCATTTTACCGTAATTTGAATAAATCATATTTTTCGTCTTTTTTGGTCTTTCCAATTATTATGAAAACTACTTCAATTATTACAAATAACTTTCTCTGTCAGTGGCAAGATCATAATAAATGAAACAAATTCAATATCTTGTCATTTTTCGGTTGTAGCAAGATTTCTGGTAGAAAACATCGTTCGCAAAAATTAAGACAATTAAACCGGGACGCCAGGTTACCGTATATATTAATTGAATTTAAATCGTTTGGTTTTTCCCGATTATTACGAAAACCACTTTTCTACAACTATAACATTTAATTACAATATGCAACCAGATCACGTTAATATGTACCCGGGTGGCAAGGGCGCCCATAGGGTAATTTTCAGATGGGCGGCAAAATGAAACTAGATTCAAAAACCTATTTATAGCATGTAGAATATAGACACTAGGTTGGTATTTCTTGAAAAGGAATGAAGAATAAAGGGTATGTAACTATGTAAACATTAGCTTTATTGGCTTTAAAAAAACTGTCAAGTGCTGAAATCGTGACATTACAATATTCTACTGTCTATAGTTTACATTGTACATTTGAGTAGACAATTATAAGCGAAAAATAATTATAACATTAAATAATATTTATTTATTTACGTTTATTAACCATTTAACAATTTTGTTGTTATTTTATTATTTTATTAACTAATATTTAATAAAAAATAATAATTTACGCCAATCATCATGTGCAGACGAAGAAGTTTCTGGCTTATGACGCTTTGAAATAACTATATGCATATATAGTTCTTCAATTTAGTAACTTAAATAAAATAATATAATAGACAATAACAAAATGAACACTGAAGATTAATGGCAATATGACCATTGGGTCAATACACTTTTAAATACCTATTATCTAATTTCATGTTTTCATTCGACTATAAAATGTAAAAATCACTATTATTGTTATCATAAGACATATAAATAATAGAATTCTATTATCTGTGATAGGCACGTCCGGCTGTCATATTGACGCACATAATATGCGTTCACTGATAATGTAATAAGCAAAAGTCTACGGTTATCATCATCGATATAGAGAATACAATAATATTTATTTTGATGGATTCAAGCATACATAATTTGTTTTGGATACAAAATTGTTTTGGATTTTGATTATTATTTTCAAGGGGGGGACATGTCCTCCTCTTGTCCCCCCCTTCCAATGGGCGCTCATGGTACCCGGTAAAAATGACCGTGTGCGTGTAATTATGTAATAAATGTTGACGCGTGTAACTCGGGATTAAAATAATGTGTATTATAAAACTATCGTGACTAAATAAATATTTAGTCACGTAACAAAAAAAAAAAAAAAAAGGAAAAAAAAGCGATCGAACCCTCTTAAAGTATTCTGGTGGTGACACGCCGCACTCCGACTCGAGCACTCCCGCGGAGTGTCTGCCGGTGAAATATTTATACGGTGGATTCACAATAATCTAACAATATTATTACCTAGCTGTCTTAAATAATAAAAAATTGATGTTGATTTGACACGATCAGCTGAAAAATACAAATTATATTAACCAATATACTTATTGTATAACTTCGGCCCGCACATTTTCGGTACCTATATATAACGATCGTCTTTGAGTGGTTAAACCGTAGTCGACGAACGCGAGCGAAACGAAAACACGATGTGAGTATGTTATAGAATATTTTGTTGTATTTTTTTTTTTTTTATGTAGAATTTGACCTATTTACATGGAGGGTATCAATTTAATTTTTCGTCAAATTTCGGAAAAAGATACACGGTTTTATCGATAATCGTTTTCGTTAACCGATGGTATAAAGTGATAATCGCCCAAATTAATAAATATTATACTTGAGAGCTATCTCCCGCATTAGAGGGGTCGCGTATAGGCAATTTTCTTGAAAAGTTTGATAAAATAACATTTTTTTCAAAAATTTTGAAAAATTGACTTTGAAAATACATTTACACGTCGGTAGTCATCAAGGTGTATAGTTTATGTATAGATCAATAATAGTCTATAGTCTGTAAAGATTGATTGTAAGACTGTGCGATCTATAAACCTTGGGTAGTCATAATTTATTATCATAAACATTTATTGGGTTCACGTGAAATTACGCAAAAATGTTGACGGGAAAATGTTGCTTTACGCGGCGAAAAAACTACTCGGGACAATACACTTTAATCATTAAGAAATTAAATTTTCACCGTAGAAAATTTATTTGTTTATTCATATATCTTATACTTTAATTATTGCTCATATTATTTATAGGTTATTTTTTAAATAGGTACTTCGATTGTTTTGTACTTTGTGTTGATAACTTACGCCGATACCATATGCTAACAATGCCGTAGAAAAAGAACTTGCATTGTGTATCGTTGATTTTATTTTTGCAATAATTTAAGTTACTATTGTGTTTGAAAAACTTTACATTTTTCGAACTCGAGTAACTTGTTTCGTAATTGAGATATCGAAAAACTAAAACAAACCAATATTGTGCAATGCGATTTCTCGTTGTTTCTTTGGTTCAATTCCGGTATCCTAACTAAACCCATAGCCCGAGTAATTTTTTCACAAACGTTTTTATTATCAATTTCACGGTTACATAATAACAAATTCTTGCGATAAAGACACGGGACTACTTGTAAATGTATTTGAATTTTATTTTTCGAAAAACACTTTTCCGGTTAGTAAAAATGCTCACACATTTATGCATTTCACATCACTCAATAGATGCGGATATTTGATCAGATGGAATACATTGATTGAACAACTTTTTGAAATGTCCAATACCCACTTTTTCTAAACAAAATTAAAAACTGAAAACAAAATTTGACGTTCGATACATCAGTTTTATTTTTATTGATTTCTGGGTTACCTTTGCCTAGTTTATTGGGAACTGTTTTTTTGATTGCGATAATGTGTCGTTAAAACAACGATACATACCTATATTCTATTACATCATTCCAACGCAAACAAATAGTGGCCTAATATCCACGGTGCGAATTATGTGTTTGCCTTTAAATTAGAAACTTAACAAAAAATGACGCATTTTGTATATTTTTTTTTTTTTTTTTTTTTACGCCATTAATTTTCAGGAACCGTTTCGACTGCGTTTTTCAAAATTTACTGGTGGCTTACGTCTGTTCAGGGTGCCTAATCGTCTTGATCGACGGTTACCCATTACGCGATTTAAACGTCATCCCGGACGTCAATTACAATATTGGTTTTGAAGAATCGCTGGTGGCGTTCGACAACAAGCCTTTATTGGTAAAATAGAAAACATTTTTTTATTGTATTATATTAGAGTATCCACTAGGGGCAAAACTATTTAGATATTGAGCTGTACCACCAATCAACTTTTGCACATTTCCATTTGTCCATTCGAGAAAAACCGAAGAAGTTGGTATACTATATAGTAAACCCCTCGGTGTTACACCGAGTTCACGAAATAGATAGTTTTTTTTGCCGATTTCACGGAATCATTTATTTCACGAATTCGGAGTAACATAGGTACACAATTTATTCATTGTAGTATATTTTTATATTGAAAACCCTTGCGGTAATGCTTCCATTTTTCAAATATAATAATTAAAGTTTGTTTTCCAGTGGCTGGAAAAAAAAATTGTAGACGATAGTATAGTCGACAGCGGACTAAAACCATCACTGCAAGAGTCCAACGTACATATTTTGAAAAAGAAAAATTCCGAAATCATCAGCGCTTTGATGGGGCTGCGCAGAGCCATGTCGAACAATTATGGCGGGCGACACATATTTGCACCCAATATTTAATAAAAAAAAAAAAGTATATAAAAAAAAATATATATAAATATTGGTTTTTTTTTTTTTTTTAGTCAGTTTATATAAATATAGATATAGGAAAAAACTGTAGTGAATTGTAATCTACAATATTAAGATGTTGTTACAGTATAATCAATAAAACTACAAAAACTAATCGCATACACTTTAAATTTTTTTTTTTTTTTTAATTATATGCGTTAAAACCAATACCAAAAATATCAGTAATCAATTAACTTAATAAGTTAATTCATACAGGTCATAATCCTTACAAATTCAGCATGAAAAATTAATGTATTTACAAAAATATGTTTTGGCGAACGTCACACCAGGGAGAAACTTTACACGTGCAATTTTTTCTTAATTTTACTACTTAATTCTGTACAAATTATGCCAATTTAAACTAGGAAAATTGTTAAAAAAAAAAAAAAAGGTTAAGTTAGGTTAGGTTAGGTAAAAATTATATTTACACGGCTTCTGACCAGCATATGAGTGTTCATGTGCACTATCACATTATGTTAGTGTCTAAATGATTTAAACGATTGCATACCGATATTACATTTGTAAGGTTCGTCTTGAATCTTTATTTACACAAACTCTGATTTTGTCCAAATGATTTTTACACGTGTCATACAGAAAACGTTTTATATGTATATATGGGTTTTCTTTAATGTGAGTTTACTTGTGACGTTTTAAATTATATGATTTATTTTATTTGTTGCGTTAATTAAATTTAAGTTTCATTACAACATTTCGACATCGATTTTGAAATAAAGATAGTATAATTGTACAATGCAACTCTTTTTCCTAAATTTCGATTTTTTTTTTTTTTTTTTTTATATAAATGAATCCCCATAGGATCATTTAAAATAGTGAGTTTGCTTTGATATACAAAACCATCACAGTTGAATCAATTTTTTTTTATTGTTACTCCTTTGAAGCTGCGGCATATGTATCTGGAGTATATAATAATATTTATAAAAATTATCAATTGCATTAATAATATAATATATAAAATATTATATACATGCATGTTATAAATATTAAATATAATACGAATATCGGTAATATAACAAATAAAATATATATTGGCGTATATATATATACATACGCCAATCGGCTATTGAAAATAGTACCGACACAACGATTATAACAAAATAAAGTTATTGAAATTCAAATATCAACATTATTATTATTTAACCTGACATTATAATGACTGGACATATCTCTCATTAATATTTACCATCAATATATTTTATTTTATTTTTTTTTTTTTTTTCACTATTTTTTTCTACTTAATTCAGACATTTTAGCGTACCTTTATTATTTGTTTTAAGTGGAATGCACGTAGCAATAGTTTAACAATTTTATAACACTATTATAAATATTATATTTTCAAAACAATTCGAACTCCTACATATTTATAAAAAAAATTACAACATTACGTTCATTTATTATACCGCTAATTGCAACTTACGATTTATCACGTAGTCATATATTAGATACTAGATATATAGATATATTATATATTAGATACTCGAAAATTCCTTAATTACATATAATAAATAGCATATATAGGTTATATAGCATACAAATTGTTAAAATATTTTAAACTTAAACCACGATTATGTCAATATAAGGCTAATATACGTATTCACTATTTAGTTAAAATATCCAGTCTCTACGATTAGTTTTCACTAAACTATAACGAAAGCCCCCTCATTGCACCCACTAGAACATTTTCTACCAGAAACCACCCTTAAAGTGGATTATCAGTGCAATATTACTGGTGGAAAAGTTGTATACACTATAAAAAAAAAAACACATTTCATGGTAAAACCGACACATTCCTCTCACGGAATATTTGTTTAATGTTGTACCGATTTTCTCAATTTTTCTACTTCTTTCCTAGTTTTCCCATGTTTTATCCCGGTGTTTCATATTTGCTGGGAAAACCCCTGAGAAAATCGAAAAATGGCCTCTGTAAAATACCTCCACACACCGATTTCCTTTCAGAAAAAGTGCTACACGTAGAAATCCGAACAAGTCTTCTGGTAAAATAATTGTTAACGGATAAAAAAAAAAATAAACATCTTTGTAAAACCATAAGCTTTTTCGCTCCACTAAGAATCTAAAATAAAAAATAAACAAATTGATAAACGTGTCGACTGGAGTATTATGATAATGTTATTACACTAGTCGTGACTAGTCGCGTTTTACATTTGACTGTGATTTACCTGATAACGAATTTTTAATTCGAAACCGGTCGTATAATACACCGATCATAATACTCCAGGCAACGCATTTATTCGTTTAGTTATTTTTTATTTTTATACATACATTTTTCATTTATATATTTATTTACCATATTTATAATGAAATCGGTAACGACGCAACGCGTCCGAAATAAATATTTACCGTTTTATCTCTAATTGTTTTTTTTTCCCCGATTTTTCCGGATTATTATAAAAACTCAGAAAATCTAAAAATTATCTCCCCTGCCCTCACTAGCTACATCAAACAGATAAAATTTCCTTTCAGAAAAGGTACTATGGGTACTCGAAGCAAGTAGTTTTATCGTTATGAGACGCGTCTCGCCGTTCATATATTTTTAATTTGGAATAGAGCTAATAATGATCTATCGTTTTACAATGATTTCTTTTTTCTGGCTGTAAACAACTTTTCGGACAGCAAACTTGCTCCGATGTATCAAATGCAAAACCTTTTCTGAAAACGGTGGCGCGATTTGGATTACGCAATGTATACATTTTCGTATTTAAAATTTATTATTTAAGTAATTTGGCTCGGTATTATAAATTGTTTGGCCTGAATAATAGGTAATGGCTTGCGCATTATCGGTCTAGATATTTTATTTTTAAATTAATATTTTGTTTTACTGTTGAATTAAAATCGAAAACACGAATTTGATATTACGTATATTAAATTGTTCATGATTATTATGCACCTGTGATTTTTACGGCACTGGGCACACCCATCCCCAGTACCAGCTCTTTTTTATTTTTTAAATATTTGTTATGTATGCTATAGCATACGTAACGTATACGTAATATATTAACTAATGCCTGTGAATTTGAAAAAAAACATCAACCAACAATATTATATAATCATTTACAAAAATTGAATTTATTTATAACAATATGATAATAAATTATATACAATGACTTAAACTATAGTTGATAATACAAAAGACAAATTGAGAAGATGGGATATTTTTAGTTTTTTTTTTTTAAAGATTTAAAAGTATATTAATAAGTGATTGCTGTATTCGAAAAACGAAGTATAGAGATCAGATTATTATTATAATGTTGCGACACTGCAGTAATGCTGAAATTCATTATCTTGTTTGTATTCAGTCAGTGTGTCTATCGCAACAAAAAAAAAAAAAAACATTTCTAAACAAATGTTATGTGCGTTACACCCCGAGGTGACCGAAAATATTAGGCTTGTCGGTCAGCGATATAGACAAATCATCAGGAACGCCTTCGAGTTCTAACATTACAATAGTGTTTTCACCGGGCGGTGGGACAAGGAACGTAGCCGGTACGTAAAGATTGATTTGAGGTCCACCTGACGACCAATAACGGCCAATGTTTATTCCGTTCACAAACGCAACTCCCTGTAAAAATAATAAATAATTATTGTAAATCTGTTGTATGATTCGGGATTCCTTATAAGTATGTAGAGACCGAAATTGTTATGACTATAATACGAGTATATTATAATACGTTACATACGTTTGGGATGTTTATGCACCAAAAAGTGAATAAATATGTAGGCACTTAATGTACGCATTAAAAAAAATATAGTGTCACGCCATTTTTTTGTAAACAAATTTTTTTCCAAAGAGAAAAATGTAATTTTCATTTCCTCCCTTTAATCACAAAAAAAAATGTATTTGTTCAATCTTCAAAATAACTGTTTTGTAAACGATATGATTCTAAAAGAACGGACATATTTCGTACGTGGGTGCAGTCGCAGTTGTAGGTAAGGAGTTAGGAAGGATGTTGCCATAACATGTCATATTATGGTAAAATGGTTACAAATGTGTTAAATATTTTCTTTAATAATATTTGTTTAATATTGTACCTATTTTCCCGTTCTCCCGTTTTTTTTCGATTTTTCCAATATATTCAGAAAACTTCTGAGAAAATCAAAAAATATAAAGTACCTCCCCAGTCATATTTTCTTTTAGAAAAATTGCTATCCTTAAAATCGGAGAAAATTTCTGGTAGAAAACAAGTTCTTATAAAAAAAATATACTACATTAAGTACATTTTTTGTTTGTTTTGATCACAAAGTACTACTTATAATAATTAACCTCATGTTCAATTTTCAAGAATTTCTGTTTAGTCTAACAATTTTATTCACAGAGTATCTACGCAAAATAAAAATTACTCATAAAATTAAAATATCTATAAGTATCTCAAATATGGCTAAAATTTTTTTACAGTTTTACCACGTCTAAAAAAGCCAAATATATGTTTTCTGTCAAAATTTCAAGTCTTTGCGAATATTCATAACTGAACTACAACAAATAATACAATTTAAAATAATAAAAATGTCCCGCTTTTGTTAAATTTTATCCCGGGAGTAATTATGAAATAAATTCGCTTGGTAAATCAAAAAAATTACCTCCCTAACGTACCATCTAAACAATATTTCCTTTCAGAAAGCCTCACGTATGTATCGGACCAAGATTTCTGGTTGGATTTTTGTACACAGCATAAAAAACAAAAATATAAATATCATGGTAAACCCTATATTGTTCCTCGCTTCGCTCAGAATATAAAAACGGATATTGAAAATGTGCCTTGAAAAATTGCAACTGTGTGGGCTTTTCCTTCAGACGGCGTAAAAGTACAAAAACAATGGCGCATTACGCATGGTTTGCTCTTTTAAACGGCGTATTCGTCACTCATAAATGCACTGATGTTCGCTTTACTAACAATAATAATAATTATACTCAAGTGATAATATGAAAAACATTACGCCGAACCTTATGCCAACCCGTAGTGTCCAAATACGTATCAAAAAGTTGGAATGAACTCGTATCGTTCGGAAACGCGAATCGCGTTCTGTAAAATGCCGGTAATATGACATTTTCAACTGGTTCTACAATCGCGGACAGCCACGACGTTTCGTTCAAAGTGTACGGTATCATTTTCCACGGGCCCAGCGTTCGGGAGCCCAGTTTGACCGGTTCGAAAATTCCCTGCGTGCAAAATAAAAGATGATGGCATGCGATGAAGAAATGAATGTACTTAAAAGTAAAATATATTATAATACCGAACCTTTCTGTCTTCCAAAAAACTTCCGTAATTGATTCTGCCTTGGTTCTCTATTAGGATGCTGAGCTTTTTATCCGCTTCGGACACATTCAATTTGATTGGCGTATTTTCGTATTTCCTCGGTATTACGTTCACTTGTTTCTAAACATTACATACAAAACAGAACGGCATATTTTTCGTTTTAACAATAATGGTAATATTTATTGAATTTCCAACTATACAAAATAAACAATACAAATACAGTTTTATAATATCACAGTCGTTTAAAGGGTGAATTTGTTTTCTTTAATTGGCTTTTTCGTGTGATTCGAATACCTGCTATCATTTCTCGGGAATTTCTAATATTATGAGCGTTTGAAAATAATATTGAATAAGAACTACATGTATATGGTTTTACTGTTTTTTATAATAAACAGGTGAATAAAAATTATATATTTTTTCTGATTTTCAAATATGACAATCAAATATACTTGTATACGGGGTGATTCACTAAGCGTGTTCACACCCCATTTTTCTGTTTAAATTTTACACGTATTCAAATTCTGATTTTCGGAATATTTAAATCTAGTTAAAGCCGATATTTACTAATACTTTGATTTTTCACAACATTTAAGGAGTATCCTGAGGTGATACCAACTTTGGTTATTCAAATGGGACCCTATATTGAAAATTCCACAAATAGACGGAATATTACTTTAAATAAATGTTGGTGTCGACATTTTTAATTTCCGTCAACCCGTTAACGAGATATTCTACTTTTAAGTTTAGGTAGGGGAGAGTAGTGGAGAACTAATAATGTTCCGCGGGCCGTGCTGCCACACAAATGATATTCCACTACTCTTCCCCTACCTAAACTTAAATGTGAAATATCCGTTCCGTGTATTTATTATGCATGTAATAAATTGAGATGAATAAAAGTAATTGTCTCAAGTGGACAAATTAAAAATCACTATCTGTATATAAGTACACATACTTGGTCTAGATAAACGATTGCGCGATCTCTAATCACGCTGATGACGAGGTCCATTGAGTCCGTGCCGTTATTTTTATAATCCTTTTGATCATCCGTCAGGATCGTTTCGTACATAACAAATCCGTAGTCTACGTCCAATTTTTCGAACGACAATGGAATGTTGTTTTCGATTGGTTCATGTCGCTGCGTGACTTTTTCGAAAAGACTTACCAACGGTCGCATTACAAACTTGCCATAATTGCCCTTGGGTGCCGGGACTGGCGATATTTCATTCGAAGCTGAAAAATTCTGTTTGCCACGAGTTTTCCGTTAGAAATTTATACCGATAGTACTGTTGATAAATTAAAAGCAGTGGTTAAAGTGGAAAATCTTCGAGAGAGAGGGAAGGTATTATTTACTAAAAATTGAAGGCCGTTCCCGAGAACTATAACTAAACTCGACTAAACTTTCAGAGAACCCGTCGCGGAAACAAAATGTTATGCTCCCGCACGCATTAGGTTTCCTTCTCTAACCACTTATTACACGCATTTCGGAGAAAACTTACGACTTCTTCAAGCAATTTTTTAATGACAAAATACTTCTCAGTTGGATCGCCGGCTTCGTTTAATGGCGCATCGTAATCGTACGACGTCAGCTGAGGCATGTAATCCGAATTATTTTTATTCTCGAATTTATTGGCACCGGCGGTAAATCCGAAATTTGTACCTCCGTGGAACATGTAAAAATTAATCGACGCGTTCAGGGCCAACATGTCTTTAATGCCACGCGCGATGTCTTTAGAACTCACTACGGGCACAGGTCTCTGCCAATAGGCCAGCCAACCCACGTAAAACTCAGAATTGACCAATGGCCCTCTGTTTTGGGCTTTTCTCATGTATTTAAAACAATCGGACACTGCGGGAAATATAATAAATTTACATACATAATATACGAAGACAAATTATGATATTATTACGTTTTATGTATAGGCATATACATAGTTGCTTACCGTTTTTGGTCGAAGCACCGAAATCTACCGTCGCGTAAACTTCTGGTATAGATCCGCATGTGAAATACTGGTATCCACAACCGTCGGTCGTATAGAGTAACGCTTTATATCCCACATAACTCTTAAACAAATCTCGTAACCATAACATGTACTTTTGATCACACGCGTTATAGCTTCCGTATTCATTTTCGACCTGCACAAAAAAAAAAACAAAAACATAATAATAATAATCGGATATATTTTGCACGATGGGTGAGCCACTGTTGTAGGTGAGAAGTTAGGAAGATACGGGGGAAACTTAGTGTATTTCTGTACACAACGATTAATCATCGCTAACGAAAAACGATTCTAAGCGAAGTTCGGTCATACATATTTTGAAAGACCGTAATATTTACGATTAGTAAAATATAATACACTTCGTAAATTTCCTCGTTTTTCCTCCGTTTTTTTCCGATTTTTCCCATTTATTATGAAAACCCCAGGGAAATCAAAAACTAACCTCCCTAAATTACCTCCCCAGTCAGATTTCTTTTCAAAAAAGTTGCTACACTTGACAATCTGAGCTAAATTTCTGGTAAAAAATTATTCATAGAAAAAAAAAAAATAAATATTACTGTAAAACCAATAGTAGCCGGAAGAAAATATCGAAAAATAAAAACTTCATTATTACTTGCAGTCATAAGCGGCACACTTAGTAGAATGCACGGGTGCCAAAATTAACATAATTCACAAAACTCATCCTTCCTCATCCTTTTAAAATATCTAACTATCTAACATTTTTTAACTACTACCACAAAATTAGTAATACTAGTGCTGACGTAATAGTATATTATATTAATACATACGCACTAGCTTGTTTGTTTTAAATTTTTTATCTGTTGTCTGTGTGTGCGAAATGGTACTTTTACCCCCTCAGCAGAATCTTCATGAGTACAACTGCACCCATATACATCTTCCAAATGCCGCCACTGCTTGTAGTTATTTTTCAAAGTTAAAACCGTTTCGTTGTTCGTCAATTGAGTAAAAATAAAATTATGTAATGAAAAATCTGTCCTAGAATAACGGGGACGGATGCAGCCACTGTTATAGGTAATTTAAAGTTTATCTGTAACTAGCGAAAAGCCATTACTAATGAAAGAACGATTCTGAGCGAAATTCGGTTGATAGTGTTGCTTTGTCAACAATATATATGACATATTGTGTCAAATATATGTAAAATAATTACATAATATATAGTATATATTTTCTTATTGAATATTGAACCTATTTTCCAGTTTTTCATTCATTTTACTCGGTTTTCCCCATTTATTGTGAAAAATCCTGAGAAAATCAAAAAATGTCTCTAAAGTACCTCCCTAGAGAAATTTCCTTTTATAAAAATTGCTACATTATAAGTTAGAGTAAAATTTGCTGGTAGAAAAGTCGTCCGCAGGAAAATAGAAGGCTATAATATGTTTAGCTAATACCTACATTTCTTACATTATGTCGGTTTTTTTCGGTTTTTCACATTTTTTGAGAAAACTCTGAGGAAAATCGAAAAACGACTTTTTAAAATACCTCCCCACACCGATTTCCTTTCAGAAAAAGACACGTAAAAATCGGAGCAAGTCCTCTGGTAGGAACGTTGTCCACAGAAAAAAAAATTTAAAAAATTAACATATTTGTAAAACTATAAGCTTCTTCGCTACACTTAGAATCTAAAATATTACTGCGGTAGGTAAAATATTACCTACTCTAATTATTTTAATTTTTTGATTTTTTTTTTTATGTTTGCCCCAATAACGTTTTATTTTTAATTAAATGCATGTAAAATGCATACATAATAGGAATAGTGAAATATTTTTAACGTATTGCAGTATATATTATTATTATTGTCAAACCTGGACCATAATGATGTTTCCGCCGTTTCCGTACAGAAACCGATCGATTTTCGGCATCAGTACATTAAACCATTTGGTAATGTAATGTTTATAACCTGTGGAAATCAAAATATAAATTTAACATAAAAGGAGATACCTATATTCTTTATTCGTATTATTATTGGCTGCAGTTATTATATAGGTATATATATATATATATATATATATATATATATCAAACGTTTTGAAAAATGAAAGAAATTATTATACAAAACATTCGTAATGAAATACGACTACATTTTAAAAACTTAAACGCCTTTCATTCTGGGAAGATTCTGTCTCGAAAGGATTTTTACAGCAATTTTTAAATGAACAAACTGCAGTTGAACTATTCGATGTATGGTGAAATAAATATTACGTGAAAGTAAGCGGTGAGAATGTAGGAATAATATAGAAACTCCTACAATATTAGAATACGTACTCGGATCATTAGTTCTAAGACGTTTTCTGGGTACCACGTTCAACAGCCAATACGGAAATCCGCCCTAAAATATGGACAAAAAAAAAAACAAGCAGTTTACATTTGGCTGCTATAAATACAGAATCTATTTTTTAATAGATACTTTACGAAAATATAGTGATGTACTTACGAAGTCTCGTTCGGCGCAAATGTACGGTCCCGGTCTGAGCAGCACGTACATACCCTCGTCCTTGATCAATTGCAAAAAATGCTCCAAATCAGCCATGTCCTCGAAGTTATAATTATCCGGACGAGGTTCGTGTAAACTCCATTCTACATAACTATAGTATATAAAAATACGTCAGCAAAGTATAAAACTCTCAATATTATTCATGAATTTAAGAGCCTGCGTCGTATAAGCAATTTTCTCGACATTGGAAAAATAAAATTTAATAAATTCAAAAATATTCAAACATATTTACGAACAGTGTCATCCCGTATCATTGTTATACATGTAGGTATTTGTCGTGCTATCATGAAGTTATCAAAAATGTTAATATAGAAACCGTTTCACACGCGCAAAGATTACTCGGGTATTCACTTAATTAAGTATAGGTAACTACAATAACTTCAAAAAATCAGACATTGCATTGTGCGACGTCAATTTTAGCTTCTTTGATACCATTACTATGAAAATAGTCATTCGAATTAGAAAAAGTTTGAACTATCAGATTTTAGAACAATAATAAATTTTTTTAAATGTATAGTAGATATCGAAAAACCAAACCCAACGTTATACTGTGCAAGTTCTCCTTTATATAAGATTAGTTTAGGTTAGGTTAGGTTAGGTTTCTTTTGGTTTCATTTGGTTCCTTAATTAAGTCCATAATCCGAAGAGATCGGCGTTTCGCTAGCGTAAGCAGTTTTTACAACCGAATTTCGGGTGTTAGCACTCCTACTTAATATTATTGTTACATATTCACGCATATTACGGGTCGTATCGGTGCAAAATGGATTACAGCATTTTTTATATATATATATAATTCTATTATCAATTATTTATCATAAGGTATCGGGTATAGGTACTCACGTCGAAACAGTATTTAAACCGGCAGCTTTCATCTTTTGAATTCTATCTTTCCAGTAGGCTTTGGGCACTCTGAAATAGTGTAATGATCCCGAGATGTACCGAAATACTTGACCGTCCATGAGGAACTCGTTTCTTTCATAATCGACCGTAAAAGTAGGTTTACTCGTCTAAAATTAAATACACAAATAACATTGCATAACATAATGGTTTTAGTGATTTTCTATGTACAGTTAACTCCGCTTTATTGGGACACATCGGTTACGTACTGTTTTGTCCCAATAAAACGGTTGTCCCAATAATCCAAAGTTAGAAAAAACATTCAATTTTTACTAATGAGTTATTGGTATAATAATACAAATAAATTATTTGAATTATTTTTTATTAATATTATTAATATTAAATAACGATAACAGTGACAAAAATGAAACCATAATGAAAAACAAAAAACATACCATAAACGATGTACATGATGACAAAAATAACATTGAGAAACGAATATTTTTGGACTATCGAAACTGTTGAAATATACTTATAGCCATAGATAATAAAGAATGGATAGGCCATCATATACACAATCGTTATTCAGGATGTGCAAGAGAGAAGTTTAAAAAATGTTTAATTCAAATGGCCATATAAATATGTCTTTTCCCTTCAAACAATTATTGTTAAATAAAAAACTTCAAATTTTCTTAGTAAATTTCGAAATGATAACAAACAGTACAAATGAGTAATGACAATAACATTATCTACAGATCACGAACTAAGATCCAATCTTAGTAACGAACATAACCTCAAAAATCTCTGCTAGAAAAAGAAAACATTATACAGTCCATCTCTGAACGCCGCGGTGAGTAAGTTATACGAGTATATGAGTGGCCCATCAATTCTTCATTAACTATACAGACAGCTATGTCCCGGTTATCCGGTTTCGTGAACTATTTACACTAAAATCGTTAGTTTGTTTTAGTAATTGAAGAAGTGTGCCGATTAAGCGGTTGTTCTCATTAACCGATGCTTCAATAAAACGGAGTCGACTGTATTATAAAAAAAATAAATATATATATATATGTTTACACCATAAAAATATTAACGAAAATAATAAAACATTCCAAATCGTATGAATGCCCACACAGTTAAATATTTTTTCCAGACATTTTAGATATTTGACAAAAAATTTGAAAATTCTCAGAAAAAAAAATATTTGACTGTGTTAACTTTATAGCTTTATGTTTATTTTAAAAAAAAATAGCAATAAAATATAAAGAAAGAGGTTATAAAACCTGAATATATTTTTTAATATAATTCAATATATACATAATAATATAATATATACATAATTTACATTTTTTTTTTTATATGTATAAACAAATCGGTAATATATAATGTACATTATATAATTATAAATATTTATGTACAAAAGGTCACGAGAAGAGATATCACCCCTAATTACCCCCTTCTCGATTGACCGGCCCTAATGCATCAACAATTAAACTACATACATTCCCCCAATAAACCATGTATTTAACTACTTCCACAATATTTCAGTTTTCAAATTTTCAAATCGAATGTTTACGATATTTTACAAATCACTGGCCTAATTCGCATTTTTCGTAGTTCAAAAAACGTGATTTCGTGTGTTATATTTTCAATTATAAACACCAAGTACACAGGGGCTGCGGGGCTGAAGCCTCCCGTGAAAAGCATTAATCGGATATTTCTTTTGTTCTTATCAAAATCAATAAAAAAAAAAAAAAAACTCAATATAAAAATAATGAACGGGTGCGGCCACTGTTGTAGGTGAGTAGTTAGGAAGGTGGGATACATAAAATTATTTAGTTTAAACCTGTAATCAACGATAAACCAGTATTAACGAAAAACGATTTGGAGCGAAGTCCATATACAAGTTACACATGTTGTGAAAAGTCGTAATATTTACGATTTTCGTCGAAATTTGATTTTTAAACTCTTAAGTTATAATTAATTTGAAAATTGACTACACACTTTTTTTCTCTGGACTTGAAAAAATTATGAAAAATCACGAATTTAATGAAAATAAAAATTAATACGTCGACATTTTCACAAGAATAAACTCTATAAAATGGCTTTATTCAAACGTTTTAAAAACAATAAAATAAAGTTATTTTTTAAAATTTTTACCGTGACAAAAATGAATTGAAATATTAATGTTTGTAGACCTGATCTCCGCAAGTAACATAAAAACCACAATTTGATTACCGTTATTATTATCTCCGGAGATATTACAATGGAAATATCTTGATGGGACCCCTTGCAATCTTGCATAATATATGTGTATAGCCGAATGATGTCATTCAAGTATTATTGTAGAAAGATTTGTTGTTTTCAACTGGTTCATACTCATTTACATAGTATTATAAAACGTTGTTTACGCCGTTACAAAACAATGTACGATTCACAAAAAGTATGGCGTTTTTAACATATTTGTCATTGCCAAGAATACTCCAGATCATTAGTGCGCATTGTTTGTACAATTAGTTATGGTGGAATTGTGTTACGTCGATATTGATTTCCGACGCGAATACTTATAATGCAGTGTACAAACACGATACTTAACAATTTACGATTCAGAACCTATTATAATAATATACGAGCTATAGGCAATTGGACTTTCCTTTAAATATCGCAATACGTTTATTAATTGTTATTATGATATTGTACGGACTTATAAGGTGTTATTAATTGTGGTTGAACAGCCGCGCACTACGGGTTATTGTTTTACTGGATATAGGTGCACGCGTAGTATGTACAACAATACAATACGATCGTTAAAACAAAAACGTACAAACCAAATATTATCGAAACCAATATTATTAGCCGCAATTGTTTTCATGTATTGTAACAAACTATAATAATAATTAATAATATAGTAGTAATGTAGATGACGATTCACTATCCGCGACCGTGTTCATTTTTCGTCGTAACAACGCTGTACGGTAGGTAACGTGAATGACTTTTGTAAAGTGAATTTGCTAAAATTTGATGCCAACTACCCGCAGTGACATACCCGGAGGAGAGTGTCTGAAGGGCTTCAGCCCCCGTCATTGGCCGAGTTGTGATACAAACTATTGAAAACTGTTATTTCCTATTATACTAACAGACAGTTTATTGTCCAACACAATTGTATGCCAGTCTGTGCGAAATGACCACGAGAAAAAAGATTTATACATAATCGATTAATCGGCCCTTGACATATTTTTGTTTGCGTTACATTACTACACGTAATTTTAATTTCCTACGTTCAACTCCTTCCGTTGAACAACTCTAGGTAGTATGCCATCACTGTCCACAATTACACAATTGTTCATAAAATTTGTTTACAAGACCCCCCGATTATTTAGTTAACCAAAACAGTCTGGTGCATCATTATCATTATAAAAAAGTTCCTAACACTCCGAAAACACATATTTTTGCAATGTTTGAATGGCATAGTTTCGAAGGTAGGTACCTCGGAAAAATTGCAATTATAAATATTGAATTTAATAGACGATGATCTTCTTTTGTTTATTTTTCTTGATAGTGTCATACTACACAATAATAATATTCTACTACTACACACAAATTTTTATTTGTATTATTTGTTTTTTTTTTTTTTTACTCGTATTATAATAATATAACATTGGAACCAAATCATAGCTCGGCACGTGGCTTTTGGAACAGAGCATTTAAATTATCAGTTTGTAAATTATAGAACAATAAAAATACGAAATATGAAAAATTTTAATATAAGTGTATTATAGCAGTGGCAACTCGTAATCCTTATAAGCGTTGTAAGCTGTGAGGCAAATATTTGAAAAAATACAAGAGGAGTTGTTAATACTTAATGCACACAGAGAAACAAATGTTGAAGTATAAATTATCAGAAATAAGAAACGGGGTGCTATTGTATCATTAATTAGTATTGGTTGACTTTGGGCGTCAGTTATCAGTAATCAGCTCCTTCGACTTTAAAAATATTTAAATTAATCAATGCATTATACTCGTACATTAGACATTTTAAACGAAATTAATTTTAAGATTTTGTAAGGTTCCAAGCTAATATGTATTATTAAAATAAACGGTGCAAACAGTATGACAACAAATTACTTTAATTGTCTTCAAACTTTTCTAAAAAATCTTATCGAGCTAGCTATAAATAGTTAACTGGTTTACAGAATATCGGGCGTTGCCGTTCTAACAACAACACACGTTTTAATCTATACACCTGAAATATTACTTGAAAAATAATAATTTAATTAAATAATTAAAATAAAACGAATTTTTTTAAAATTCCATAGTCGAATGTTCCGAATTTTCGAATACTGATAATTATAGTCGATTTACGAATAATTTATTAATATTATGTAGGTAATCAAATTATCAAAATATTAATTAATAACAAACAAAAATGCATAACACCTAGGTAAGCTAAGTATATGTGTATTTAACGATAAAAAAAAAAAAGAAAAAAAAAAGAGTTTACGAATTTATTAAATAAAACAGCTATAGGTATTATACACAAGTCTAGGGGAAAAAATACAAGCAAACAAAATAAGTACATAAAAAGACACAGAAAAAAAAATAAAAGGAAAAAAAACAACAATTTAAGACAATTACGATTTAGAAAACCAAAAGTATTTATAGTTATCATTAGGCCAGACGCTTACATATTATAATATGCTATAGTACTATAGTATGTAGTGGGTACTAATAAATATAGTACTACATTTGACATGCTTTTAATATTATAGAAAACCAAAAGTATTAATAATATATATATATATATATATATATATATATATATATATACGTCTAGTATTTTCCGTTACTTCCGTGTACACGTATACTATATAAGTATACATAATATAGTAGGTACAATATTTTATTAAATATTAAAAAATTATAATATATAGGTATACTTATCTAAAACTAGGTCACAACTTCATCGAATGCAATGCATTGCTAAGTGAGTCAGTTGTGTCTCGTTTCTTTTTCAATTTCATAATTTAATTGAACTTAACATTTTTGTTTTTCACTACGTAAATTAGTTTATTGAAAAAAAAAAATAACAATAATTGTTGTTGGTAAGGCCCAAGGTTAAACCAATAATCAAAAAATTAAAATTTGTATTATTTTTTTTTTTTTTTTTTACCTGCTACCAATATGTAACTGTTATTTTTTTTATACAAAATGTATTTATTTTTATAATATTTGTCTGTTATTTATTTAATAAATGAGTATATTGAAGTATATAAGTTTATAAACATAATTAATAATATAATTAATACCTTAATAAAAAAAAAATCGTTTTAGATTGTATTTAGATTTCGAAAATATATTATAATACAAGTATAGTATATTGTTCAAGCAGATAAATTCCTACATATTATATTATTTTAATAACACAATAGATTAGTAGTTTCACGATTTGTTTTCCTTTTTGTTAAAAATGTACCGATTTTCACACGGCGCGCAGCTGAATCAGCTGACGGTGTGTACAATAACATGTTTAGTTTTTTAAAACTTTCTTGCGAAATTCGATTGATAATATTATAATATCGTGATGACGGGACAATATACCTACCTGTATCTACGATCGTTATATCGAAATTTAGAATAACAATCACGCTTTTATTCGACCATGAAATGAGTTTTTCAACTTTTTTTTTTCTTTTTAATTCCCAATTTCAGAATTGTATTGATTTAAAACTATTCTATTTCTAAATAAAGGTACCCTATACTTTCTATAATGAATATAATTTTTTCTGAGTCTATGTCAAGATAGAATTATACGTCATATAATTATATTGGTAGGCATACCAACCAACTATAATAATATAGAATGGTGTTAAACATAAAATTACGGTGAACAATGAACAATTTCCGTAAAAACAAAATATATTAATTTCTAAACATTTATAGTACTATATGCAACAAAGTACTTATATGAAATAATTACTCGTATATAATGTGTTTTTACTATCTTTTGTCCCAGAAAATTAAGTCAATTATATAGTTTTCCACATAAGTCAATTCACAATTATTTTGAATAGTGCTAAATGTATAATTTCTAAATGTTCTAAGCTAAATATGGCATAAATTGTTTGATGGTATAAATGTGTGATTCGTGTATTTTTGTCGAACAAAAAGTACAACTTAAGAATTTTTAATTTTCAGTACAACATGTTATGTTAGGATACACATATGCAGGGGCGTAGCCTTTCTAAGTAGGCCAGATAAAATAATATAAATGTTTGGATGGGAAAGACAACTAATACAAATATTTAATTTCGAAATTGTGTTCATTTCGGCGAAAAGTGGGTCTACTCACTGCACGTATGTCATTTAAATCAAATAATAAAAAGGGAAAAATTACACGAGACAAAATTATAAAAGACGAAAATGCTAAAAATTGATTATTTTCGGGACAAAATAGGGGATACATGTATAGTGGTTATTATCTAAACTACACAGATGACCGCGGTTTTTCGAAGTAAAAATATTATTAATAATTTATTGTACACCGTAAATATATTGTTAATATAATGTAAAATTATGAAGCAATTTATATAGGTATAAATTAACTTACAGATGCGGTTATAAATAATAATTGTTAGTATACCTGATTGGTAAATAAATAGTGACAGATCTAGAATAAAAAAAAAAAAAAAAGTATATTATATAAAGAGTTGTTATTATATTATATATACTTATATAACTATAAGTATTGTTAAAAATGATTCAATTGTTTTTTTTTTTTTTTAAAACACACAATCACGTGCGTTTTAATCTCGGCATAATCGTTAGAAAAAAAAATTATATTACGTTAGTTAAAAACTGCAGTTAAGTATTTATCGAAATGTCAGGTCAGCTGCAGTGATTTAACAATTCAGTTCAAATTTTCGACGCGAGCTCTGGGAAATATTGCAGTTGGGTATTTAAAATAATAGGTCAGTTGATAAAAATAATTTTAGTTTTTAATAAAGTAAATTCATTTCAATATTAAATAATAATTCGATATCTACTTTCGTTAATACACCTATTGTCTGTAACAATACATGATCATAATAGAAGGTTTTTTTTTTTTTTTTTGTGTATCTACAATGATAGTTTAATAATCAAAAGGAAAATTGTGTGTTGAAAAACGTTTTTACCGTTTAACAAAAAAAAAAAAAAAAAATGAAAATAGTTTTCTAAAGAAAATACCGGCGAAAAACTGCAGTATAAAAAGCACAATATGTATTTAAATGTATTTTTATTAAAATACTGTGATAAGGCGTAACTACATTTTCTTTAAAAGTTGGGCGTAATGTTTTCCAGTTGAAATAATGATTTACTTATGAATAATAAGCTATTTGTAACTAGTAACTAATGTAACAGTGATTAAATCGTATACAAACTTAATCTAAATATACGTGTGTGCAAAAAAAATATTTGCGAATATATGCACATTTTTATCCTATTGGTTGATATTTTAATTATTGAGTTTGTTGCAACCAAGTATAAATTTCGAATTGATTTTGTGGAAGTATCAACCACGAAGTAAAATCAAAAAATGTCTAATTCAAATTTATTTTGTATACCTTAAATTTATTCGCATTATTATGTTTCAAATTTTTTGTTTTTTTTTTTTTTTTTTTTTTTTTAGTACCTAATAGTATTATATAAGAAAAACGAGAAAGATGAAAATAAATTACGGCGAAAGTCGAACGAATACGGATATTAGCTGTTTAGTAAAACCGATAAAAATTGAATACAATTTACAAAGAAATTTTTAGAAAAAAATGTTCTAATCGCCCTACGCTACAAATGGTTTGTCTGCGGGGTACTTTGTCACTGCAATAACATCCGAGCCATAAAGATACGATAGTTACCTAACTATTCATAGGCGGAGCCACGGGATATGCTTTAAACACACTCTAAATACCTACTGTCTGATATTTTTCAAATTGAGGAAAACTTATTTTTCATTTAATATGAAGAAAAAAAATACAAAATTGTCTTCAGTTATTTCGTGTATTAACGACATTTCGTAAAACTTATGAACTAAAATAAAAAAATAATACGGACATACTTCACACGATGGGTGGGCCACTGTTGTAGGTGAGAAGTTGGGAAGGTGGGATATATAGAGTGGAATTTAATTTTTATCTGTACACAACAATAAACCATTATTAACGAAAAACGATTCGGAGCTATGTTTCTTTTATACGTGCGCGTCAATTTTCCCGTTTTTCTTAAGTTTTTTCCCAATTGTTATGAAAACCGTTTGGCATATGACCTCTTAAAATACCAAGGAGATAAAATTTCCTTTCGGAAAAACTGCTACACTTGAAACACCGGAGCAAGATTTCTGGTATTAAAGTTGCTCGCAGAAAAAAAATGAAAATAAATTCACATCATTGTAAGACCAGTACATTCCTCGCCACGCTCCGAATTCAGAACATTTTTCAAGCTTTTTAAATCACCGTGTTCAATATTGTCCTAACAACTAAATCGATCTTTAAAATAAATCTCCAATATTATACGTAGTTTATAGTTCGGACCGTTTGGAACACACCTCTGTAATTAAAGTCTAGCTCCGCCTATGACTGTGTTATGATATTATTGCAGAAACATTTTAATATTGTCGTACTCACCCAAAGTATCGATCCTGAAATGCCCACGACGGCGACTGCGATGTACACGAAGACCGCTACGGCGGACGTCGACGACGAGAACCATCCCCGGCGGAACAACATGTGAACGTCCGTAACCGTGGGTCAGGACAGTATAGGTCAGGCTAGAACGGGACGGCTGCGGTCTTTCGGACGGTTCAGCGACTCGATACCGGTGCCGGCGTAACGGCAACTGCTGAGAAACTGCGCGAGACGACAAGAGAGACGCGCCGTCGTCGTCGTGTGAGGCGCGATAGCTGCAATAGGACGGCGACCAAACTCGTTCGAGCCTCGAGGAACAAAAGCGCGTCGTTCGCGCGTTCGTCTCCGAATCCGTAACCGTAGCGGTGGTCTTGACCGCTACCGCGGTCGGGGCTAAAAGTCACTCACCTCTGTTGCGATTCTATGGCGCTGTATGACCTCCGGCGACTGTACGCGCGCGGTCTTCGGTACCGTACCGGTCCGCTAATATGCTCGTTCCGAACGTCGCTGTCGCCACCCACTACGACAATAATGCTACCTGACGACGAACCAAACCCCGAGTTTCCCATCGAACGTCTTGTGCGTAAGTACCAGTGTGTTATCGAAGTGCGACGTCTAGAACAAAAAAGAAAGAGTTGACACACTGTTCACCACGGATGGGCCACTGTTATAGGCGGAAAGTTGTAAAGGTTTGTACGTGACGATAAATCGTGGCAAAAGAAAACCGTTTCTGAGGGAATTCGGTAAAACGTGATTTGATCGATTTCAACACAAATTCGAACTTAAAACGTCAATAAATTACAAAACTTGTATCCATTCAAAATGAAAAAAAACTTGAAAAATTAAAATAGCTATAAATAATTCCAAAAACGTTAAAATATTTTGTGATTTTCACCGCGTCTATTGGAAGTTCTAGTATAAGTATTTCGGTGAAAGTTTCAAATCTTTATTTATTTTTCATTGAATATGTTAATTAAAAAACAAAATTGAAAATAACAAAGACTGCAATTATGTAATCATTCCCGTACTCTTCGTTATTAAAAAAGAAACAAAAAATTACCCTATTCTCCATTTAATAGACAAAATATTCTACCAGTGATCTCCTCTGATGTTGAGGAAAATTTCTGATAGGACAAACGAAAATAATAAAACGAATATACTTCGTCTTGTGTGAACAACGCGGGACATGTAATATTTATATTGTTTTAACATACGTCTGATGACCAGACATAGGTCTTGTAGATTATAGGCTGTAGAAAATTCGATTATAGCAACGGAGCTTTACTGCTCCATAGCCAGTGAGTGTTTTTTTTTTTAGATTTTGAGTGAAGCGAAACGAAGGTATTAACTTTAATATGATGGATTTTTTTTTGTTCTGTGTAAACAACTTTTCTACAAGAAATTTTGTTTCAGTCAAAAACTTTATAGGAACTTTCTTTTAGCATTTTTGATTTAGTTGGCGCATTGAGGAAGTCATTTTTTAAAAACTATTTGTAGTTTTCTTAATAAATGGGTATAACTGGCAATTGTTGATATAACTTTTGTTGATTTTTGTTATTAAGGGAAAACATTCGATTAGCAATGCTCAGGTTGTTTTTTTTAGGAACGGTTTATGGTTGTACACAGATGTAAATTAAATGACACTAGATATCTGCCTTACGAACTTCCCTCCTAAAACAGTGGCCCACCCGGCAGTATCAGCCTTTTTTTAATTAAATAAATAGATGTCTAATATATTATATTAAGTATAAATATTATTATGAATATAATTAGAAGGAAATTTCTTTCCTTATTCACCCCGTTTTACCGTTCCCGTATCTCGTAGAAAGACGAAGAAAATGTTTAGCGTCTGCATATTATTTCTACGTATACTCGTATACCTACTGTCGGGTGTTTATATGGATATTATAGTATACGAGATAATACACTCCTACGCGTGTGGTTCTTCGACCTTGAAACTACTGTCCGGGGAAATCGTTTTCACGGTTACCTAAATTGCGTGGTACCTAACCTCTTACATATTTATATTGACTTTCGAACAGTCGACCCATTTTTAACGAAGTGCATCGCGTTGCACACCGTAATTGAGCTCGGGGAGAGCATGCGTTCGACCCGAATATTGTATACAAGTTGTGATATTTCATTTCTAACAAATTGTTTTTAGAAACGTTCGCTCGTTAGGATATGGTAATGCGTATGTTTCGCGCGACGGTATAATAAAATACGATCGTATCGTACCTAAATACGAGTGCGGGGACTTTTATGTAATAATAGAGATGTCGGACGACCCGGATTCGAATTTTTCATTAATAATACATACCGGTATTTATAAGACCTATAATATATACTATAGGTAGTATAGTTAATATCTAATAATACATAGTTTTTAAATCGGCAATACGCATATTATGTTCAAAACAAAATATTAAAAATTAAGTTTTGTTTCGCATAATTTTATACTCAAAATTTAAAAAAAAAAAAAAAAAACACTACATTAAATTCAATTTTTTATTTTTCACCACAAAGTAAAACTTTTAATGAACTGTTAAATTTTCAAGCTTTTTTTTTAAATCTAACAATTGTACCTACAAAGTACCTACCGTATAAAATATATGTTCAAAACTCGCAAAATTAAAATGTCTATAAATAGCTAAATATAAATACTTACATTTTTTTTAAATTTTACGTTTAGAAAAAATAAATATAAGTTTTCTGTCGAAATTTTAATTCTATACAGTTGATACGAATATTTTTAACTGAATTACAACAAATAACAAAATTGAAAAAATAATAAAGCATTATTTTTGTACATTTCCCGTTTTTCTTACGATTTTTCTCCATTTTTCCCTTTTATTGGGAAAACTGCCGGAAAATCAAAAAATGACCTCTCTAAAGTACCACCCCAAGAAAATTTACTGTCAGGAAAATGTATCGTATATATCGAAGCAATATTTCTGGTAGAATTTTTGTACACAGTATAAAAAAATTAAAAATTAAAAAATTAATATCTTTGTAAAACTAAAACAGTCTTTGCTACATTCTTAATATAAAAATTGTACTAATATAATTAATGAACAATTGAAGGTTGTGATTTCTGTTTTAAAAAAAGGCAGACACACTTCGCACACGAGTGTGCCACTGTTTTAGGTGAGAAGTTTGGAAGGTAGAGGGGAAATTTAAAGTATATTTGTACTCAACAATTAACCATTGCTAACGAAAAAAGATTTTGAGCGGAACTCGGTAAATAGTGTTGCTTTGTCAACAATATGTATGTTATACTATGGTAAAATAATTACATTATACATTTTATTTAATAATATTTGTTTCATATCATACTTATTTTTCGTTTTTCCTAAATATGTTTAACTGTCCATTCAGCATTAAATTCCATTGACTGTATTACAAACAAAAATTAAACTTTTTTTTATTTTTTAATGGTTCTATTAATGGTATAGTAATATTTACATGCAAATCAAATTTAGAATTTTTAAGTAAAATTAAAACAATGTATGCTGATGGCACGTTTGAATATTATACAATACGTGTCATTAGGCGTCATTAAATGCATCATCTTACTGTGTTAAAGCTATTGATATAGAATGTTTAAAATGTGCCTGGATTTTAAAATTGATTTAATTTATACTGACTTTGACATTTTTTGATTAAAATAATATTTCTGATAGAAAACATAGTTTGTAAAAATTAAAACAATGATATCAGTAACGCTGTGATACACCGTAAATTTGCCATTTTTCCTAATTATTTTGAAAACCCCTTGGAAAATCGAAAAAAGGACATTTTAAAAATGTACCAATTAGACAAAATTTAAATGTAAACCTAATTTTCGACTGACGTTTAATTGATATTATTATTTATTTATTAGTTTATTATATTGTGAACTTTGTTATTACATTCGATAAACAAATTTTTGATTGACTTATGATTACATTTATAGTTATTTTTCATTTATTTATTATTTATGTAATTACAAGTTGTTTAAGCATCCCTGATTAAAATACAAGAATTGGGTACATCGTATTTTTCGGAACGCCATTCGTCTATACTTTTTACAGGACGCAACGCATGTGCTCTCCATTCAGTAACCAAGACCCAACTTAACTTTATTAAATAACCTAATCAACCGGGGATTTTCCAGAGTTGGGTGATTTCAACTTTCCTTTCTTTTAGATTACAATGGTCGATCGATTTGTTGGTGTTATCAGTATTTTAATAAAATGCCATGTCGTATATATATTATAAACACACTACGTTGCTATAATACCACTTTTTTCAATACTTAACAATTTCCATATGAATTATATGCATAATATAAGCCCGTGTAGTGGAGAAAAGAACGCGGTCTTTGAGAAGTAATTGCTTCTCGATTTTATTTAGGATTTAAGAATGGATAACTGCCCAATATAAAAATAATTGAATATAAGTACCTATTTACTACTTATTTTGTAATAAAAATAGGTGGAAATATTGAGATATATTGGCAGTAACGTAGCCAGAATTTAGAAATGGGGGTGAGGAGGCCAAGATAAAAATTTGAAAAAAATTACTCAACAATTAACAATAATAATTTATTTTATTGTTAAAACAATTGTTTAACACTTAAATATAATTAGTCTTCTAACGACATCATTTTAAATACTTATTGCCCTATAAATATTGATTACTTAAAAATATTGATTCATAGATACTAAGTAGATTATAGGTTGCTTCTGGATTATTTCAGTTTCATTTTGCCACTGTAGTGCCCGTATACAATAGGTAATCTGCCGAAATGCTTGTTTTTATGTAAACCGTACTCGAACTACTCGTAAGATAACTGAGGCTAAAAAAAGTGACTTTAAAAAAAACTACATCTTTTTACCGTTCCATGTCATAATGCTGTGCTTCCATGTTTAAAACCAAATACTTTAAACAATTTAACTAGTTTGTACAATAATATTGCCAACAAATTATTGAAAAGTAAAATCAAGTTTTAACATGAAGCGTTCAAATTACCACAAATATAATATTTGACGTTGACGAATGAAGGGTTTTTGTACAAACGTTTAGTTTAAAAAATAATAAAAATTGCCTATATATAGCCCCTTAAATATTGTATTTTATGCAATAGTATATTTATAGCCTGCACTTATCCCTTAATCGGATATGTATAATATGTAAAAATTTATGTGTATCACACAGAACATATAATATTACGTTTTTCACATTTGATGAGAAAAATTCTGAGAAAATCAAAAAATGACCTCTCTAAAGACTTCCCCAGTCAGATTTTCTTTCAGAAAATTGCTATCATTAAAAATCGGAGCAAGATCTATGGTATAAAAGTAGTCCACAGAAAAAAAAATAAACATCTTTGTAACTTCTCCCCAATAATTCTTTGTGGAAATTTGAACCCCTCTGGTGCCACATTTGTACGTATGTGATGAGGGAAAAAGAGCGTTAAAATTATGAAATATAATTTTTGGACTGTACATTTCAATTTAAAATTATTAAAACTAATTTGTTGAACCATTTTCAAAAGTTGTTGAAGCCCAAAAGTTTCAAAATTTAATATTTTCCTATTCCCATAGGTTATTATTAAAAAAAGTTTAAATTTCCAAAACACAACTTTCCAACATGTCAGAGTAGAAATTGTTAGAATATTTATTTAAGTTTTTGTGAACTTTTTGGTGTTAGCTTCATATATCTCTAATAATTGACTGTACCTACGCTTTTTCTCTCGATTTTAAAAAATTATTAAAAATCACAAATTGAATGAAAAGAAAATGGATAAGTCAAAATGTTCACAAGAACAATCTCTATAAAATGGCTTGAAATTATTCAAAAATAATATAATGAAAATTTTTTTTTAGTTTTTTCACCAAAACATAAAATTTAATTAAATATAAATATTTTTCATCCTTATCCCTTTGAGTAATATTTAAAAAAACAGAATTTGCAGATTATCTTTATTATCTCCGAAAATATTGCAATCGCTATATTTTTATTTTTATTTCATATACCTACATATGAGTACTAAGCCAGGCATTTTAAATCTAATTATAAGAATAATTACACGTCTATTTAATAGGTAAATGATTTAAATTAAATTATCAAATCGGGTAATTCCGGGCAAATACCGGGCAATTCATCTATTATTAAAATACACATTTAACTTATGATTATTATGAATTTGTATAATATACATATATTATACTGTGGCGTAGTTGTGAGGTTTCGAATTGATAATACATTCAAATAGTTTAAAACGTTTATCTGGATATCAGCTAAAATTGCCTGATAACAGTTTTGCATTAGAAGTAGCCACCTATTATATTATCAAAGCTGTCACACAGGAAACGAATTTATTGTATTAAAAATGAAAATATATGACAAGATAAAATTTGGAATACACGGATAGGTGGTTCAATAGAAATAAATGATAGAAAAACGTTTTTCTTGTAGATTTCTTAAAAAAAAAAAAAGCGATCACACCGCCGCAACAAATTTATAATTTTATACGCAGATATTGCCGAGCTACACGAAACAAACGCGATAAAATGATTATTTAAAAATTAAAAACCATATTATACTATAAATAATTATTAATTATTATCCGATTTACCCGATTACGTAATAACATTAATATTACGTCTCAGAAGCACATCCAGTCCTGACAGCGAACACAGTCGTATTTATCATTCTCATTGTATCACAGTCTGGCAACCGTCTTTGTTTTATTTATACGAAAATATCTCATCCACACAACCATGTCGTACAATTTCAAGTATATGGAAAAATACAATAAAGTCAAAGTATGTATAATTTATAATTCGTTGTATCGTATTAGATTTAGATCGAATCGAGGAACGTATTAGTTTCTATAATGTTCTATAATGTTTTTTTTGTATCTGTTAACTTTTCTACTAGAAATCTGACTGCGAACAAAAAATGTATAGGAACTTACTTGTAGCACTTTTTTGTTTAATTGGTGGGTTGTAACTTGGAAGGTAAATGGAAAAAAATGACATTTGTCATTTTTCGGAAATCTTATTCGCAGGGCACCAAATTACCAAGTAATAAGTCGATATATTAACAGTTTTTATTCATTATACTCTAATCACTTCATAATGAATTAAACATAAAATACAAAAAATTGTGTATTTCATGTCTAATAAAAGGGCGCCAGTTCATATTTTACCCCGGTTAAAAAAAAATGTTCCGACGCTGATTTTATAATTTTTGTTGATTTCTTGCAACAAGAAGAAAACACTAAAAACAAAAATTCTGCTCAGTTTTGTTTTTGTTGGCAACGGTTTATCTTTACATACAGATATAAATTAAATTAGGTACTTTATACGGGTATATTGTATTTTCCCAGTGGCGCACCTATTATAATACCGCATGTCACAATTTTGGATTCTGAGTGGAGCGAAGAGACTTATGGTTTTACAAAGATGTTTATTTATTTATTTTGCTATGTGCGCAACTTTTCTACCAAAAGACTTGCTCGGATTTCTACGCGTAGAAAATCGGCGTGTGGAGGTACTTTAAGGAGATAATTTTCCGATTTTCTTAAAAATGTTCTCATCAAATTTGAAAAATCGAAATAAAATCAAAAAAAACGGAAAAGTTTACGAAATATTATAAATATAATATTGCGATTTTTTTTCTGAGTAACTTTTCTTCCAGCAACTTTGCTTGAACTTTTAATGACAACAATGTTTCTGAAATGAAATTTCACTAGGGAGAGACTTTAAAGAGGTCATTTTTTGATTTTCCCAAAAACCAGAAAAACGTAGGAAAACTGGGAAAATTGGTACAACATTAAACAAATTTTGTTAAAGAAAATGTATAAAACTTTTTTAATAATTTGACTACAAAATGACATATATATTGTTGACAAAGCATCACTATCAACTCAAAATCGTTTTTTCGTAAACAATGGTTTATCGTTGCTTACGTACATTAAATTTACGTTTATATCCTACCTTCCCAACTCCCCACCTACACCAGTAGCTGTACTCGTCTCCGTTATCTTACCTTTTTTTTTTATTAATAATTATGTTAAAATAGTTTAGTATTAAATAACTTTATGCATAGGTAACAAAACAAAAATATATAATAAGGTGTCAAAAATATACTTATAAGAATATGAGCCGTTGTGACTCAGAATCTAAATTCCGATAAATTTGTATCCTAGTCTACCAAAGTGGACTTGTGTCCTGTAAACTGTAATGAGTACATACATCGTAAAGATTCTTTTAAACTTTATAATTTGATATTATTTGGGAATTTGTACCCAATCACACACCACCACGGAACTTACCATGCCAAAAATTTGAGTCAAGCTCAAAATAAACGCCGACATTAGTCTACAGCAGATTGTAGAGCTACGAAAAATATAGGTACTTAAGCAGATAAATAATTCAGATTTCAAATATAGGTATCCATTGAAATTATATTCCAGTGTAAAATATTATAAAAATATAATGCTATTGTATAACAAATACAATTCAATTGAACTATTGGATAACAAATAATTGTGTATGAAACTCAATAAAAGTATGTAATTATGTAGTTATATGAGTATATAACTAAGCAATATTGTAGGTACCTACCTACCTAACGTGTTTTAATAATAACCTGTAAATTCGATACCGTTAGAACATTGGGATTTTGGACAATGATTTAATTACCTTTCAAAAATAAAAATTCCTCTAAGTATTAAAATAAGGTATAGGTTAATTAACCTTAAAGTATCACTCATAACAAAATATTATACTGCTGGAAAATAGGTTTTCCCAACGACTAACAATAATAATCATTATTGCGTGTTATGCTGCACTGTATTTAAAATATTTATATATAATTATTATACAATATTATATTTTAATTAGAAATTCTGAAAATAGAGACAATTTTACGAAACAATTGGACGTCAAAGTATGATATACGTATATAACTAAAAATTTATATACGTATAATATTAATTAAGCGTCGAAATGAGTGTTCTTATCCAAGTTTTTGGTATTTTATCTTTGCATATTATATTAAATAGATAGCACTTTTTTGATATTGTATTTTAATTTGTTGACGTCCAATTGTCCAAACGGCCACGTCCATATTTTGTCCTAGATCGTATAATCTGTTATATTCATGAATAAATATAGCTGTCCCGCACCCGGCATTGCACGTGCCAATTTGTATTATTATTATTTTACCCGTGTTCATTTTTGGTTTTGGCAGTGTCAGTATTGAATGAAAACGAATAAGTGGAAAGTGAGTAGTCCACCATCAAGGGATTAAATGTGTTCTATTGTGAAATTTTAATAGTGTAAATAATAATAATTATTATCATAGTTTTATTTTCCGTGGCAACCAAGGTAATATTTGAATAAACAAATATAAATAATTAAGCAATTAGAGATATTCGTACCAAATATACCTAAAATCCCCTATTTTACCCCCTTAGAGGTTAAATTTTCAAAAATTTCTTAGCGGATGCTTAGTGTCTACGTCATAATAGCTATCTGTATGCCAAATTTCAGCCCGATCGGTCCAGTGCACAGTGGACCAGATGACTTACTTTTATGGCCAAAACTATATATTTAATATAAACTATTTAATTTTTAATTTTCTTATAATTTAAATAGTTTTAATGACAAGAGCTGTTCAGACTAAAAATAAAAACTCTATCTCTATCTTTTTTGAGGATGAAACAACTATACCTACTTTTGATTTAAAATGCAGATTATAATAAAAATTCCATAAATAGGTTAAATACTTATTAGTATATATTTTGGTGTTGACATTTTTGATTTCAATCAACCCGCTGACAAGATATTTCACTTTTAACAGGACTCGAATGTGCTATTTTAGTCTCAACCTTTTGTAGACTACGTAGAACTCGCTTAATTTTAATTTTAGAGTAAAATAACTTATTATAAAATTAAAAGAGAGCAATATTCCGGAGGGCAAAACGATGCGTTTTATCTAATAGTCCGGATTTAACATCCAATACATCGTTTAGCAATAAAAAACTAATTCACCGTTTATTCTCTAGAATATTGTCTTCTTTGAATTTTTGTAAAAGGCGCTTTTACTCTAAAACTAAAATTAGCGAGTTATACGCAGTCTGCGTAAGGTAGATTTTACTATATTGCTCGTTAGGTAGACTGAGTCAGCACATGTGGGCATAAAGTCCTCTTGGGTTTGAATATGGGGAGAATAGTGGAATATTTATCTTAGACCGTATTAAGAGAGGGTCCAAGGGAGACCATGGCCCTCTAGCCACCAGCCTTGCAGGGCCTCAGTTTTGACCACAATATGTTCTTCATACATGCATTTAGCCATTGACTTTGTACTTGGATATTTTAATATTTAGTCATTGTCTAATGACGACTTATTCGTATTAACAATTATTATATAGTAGAAACTACTAGTAAAAATAATGTATTTATTTATTTAAATAATACTTGTGGTTTTTGTATTGAGATCTATATGATATCCATTCTATTTATAATTTTTCTTTTGTTAAAACATATTGATTAACATTAAATATTAAACATTTTTAAAAATTGTATATTATTAGTCTTTCAACGAAAGCCTCGTAGAAAAGTTTGGACCTGGGGCCTCTAAATGTCTTAATCCGGACTTGCATTTACCTATGAAAAATGTCTGCGAAAAAATATTTTCCAACATTTTACGCTCCCTTTTTAGTGCTCCACTACTATCCCTTTACCCAAACTGAAAAGTAGAATATCCATTCAACGGATTGAAACCAAAAATCAACATATTCATAATTATTAAAAATATGATTTTTAATACTGTTTATTTCTTTTAGATTCTGATTGTAGCGAGGGAGCTATTAGTTTTACTAAGATGTTCATTTTTTTTTCTTTGTTCTAGTCTGTGGACACTTTTTTTTCCTAATAAACTTGCTCCGATTTTTCCGAACTACCAATTGTTTTCTTAATACATAGATTTCTACAGGACACGATATTACCACACACCACGAAAACTAACTAAAATTTAATATGCAATATTTATTATACATAACTATTAATTTATGTTAATTAAAAATATTGAGAACAAATTAATTATCAACATAATAAATTCATATACAAAAATACCAAACAATATTTTACAATTTCTTTCTTGCTTTATCTTGGGTATAAGATAAAGATAAGATTCACTTCCAATTCAAGTCTTGGAACACAAATTTTCAGTTCCTGGATACACCCAGATAGAATGTGACTATTATATATAATGTAACGGTTAGCGGATTAAAGGGGGTATACTCCCCACAAATTAGGTTGCCCTGCAAATTGTTCGCAACCCCAACAATGTGACCCAATTTACGTCTCTCAGTGAGCGGGTCAAGGAATTCTTTCAAATAGGAAATATGTATTTAGTGTGACCACATAACATGACGCGTATTTTGTTGTTTGATTTTAGCACAACATCCATTTCAAATGGGCTACAGAGTTCGAAAATACTATCCAACAAATGACAGCGAAAGTGTTCAACATCGTCGGAACAAAAGTGGACGGAAATGAAGTGAATGTGGTCATCCAAGCTTTCGACGAGTTCCAGAAAAATCTATTGACCTTAATGGACGATTTGGTGAAACGGGTAAATTAGAACTATATATTTTATGTTTTAAAGTTTTTAGGCAGGTACCTATATTTCGCGTTTCCTTACGAAAATCAATGTCGGTTTAAGTGAAAAATACGCCGAATATTTATCGGGACCTAATTGCATGCCCAGGGATGGCTAAAAAGATTTCAACCCTCCCCTCCCATTGGCAGTATTAATACACAAAATAAAAATAATTTTAATTGTTCAGCATTGAAAATTTATCAAGCTATGCTAAAAAAAATTAAACGAGGCGTGCCAGTAAATCGTACCTATTTAGTCATCCGTAAAATACTTATTATTATCCGATCAACTAAATAACTAAATGAGATTAAACTACGTCCATAGTGGATGGGGACTGACATTTTAATTGATCCTTAATATCCGTGCCAACATCTATAAAACGATACAATTATCAACATTCTACGTTCATCCAACCCGAAATTCTATGAGTATAAAAGTAGTCGATTTGGTGCATTTTCAAAAAAAAACTTCAACTGAATGAAAATAAATCTCAAAAAACCGTAAATGTGATTTCAACGCATCATAGTCAAAAATCTCCCAGTGGGCCCCCATAACCCGAGTTATGAAAAGCAATTAACTATTACAATTTAAAAGCATACATTAACTTTACCCCATAAAATAATCCTAGACATGTGCCTGTATGTAGATATGTTTTGCTACACACTGCACGTATTTACTACACAAAGTGTTCTACGAAGATACACTCATCATCAATAAAGATAATAAACATATCTAATCAAATTCCGTGTTTTTATATTACTTGCATAAGGACAAAAAATAATTATATTTGAATTCAATTTTTATGTTTTGATAAAAAAAATTTAAAAATTATATTATTTTTGCAAAATGTGAAGATAGAAATTGTATAGAGTTTTTAATTATTCTGAAAATGTTTAATTTTTAATAAATTGTTTAAAGTTCAAATAGCAAATGCGATTTCAGCCTGCTGCATAATTATAGTTACCAAATTGAAATAATAATTAATATAACATCTTTATTATTATTATGGTTATAATAATTACTGTACACTTTAACTCTTTGAACTCTCTGAACATTTTTAAAAATCACAAATTTAATAAAAATGAAAAGTTGAAACGTCAAAATTTCGACAATAATGAACTATATAAAATGGCTATTTTTAAATTTGTCAAAAATAATAAAATGAAGTTATTTTTTTAGTTCTTTTCCCGAAACATACAAATTTAATTGAAATATTTGCAGTCTTTATCCCTGAGTTATATAAAAAAAAAAAACAGAATCTGATTATCTTTATTATCTCAGAAGGTAATGTACCTAATGGGTATATCTTCGTGGAACATTGTACATGTATTTAATTTATTATTTTTTATCCCCTCCTCTAACACCATTGAAAAATCCTGACATGATCCCTGTATAAGACGAGAATAATAAGATTTTCAATTTTTGATCGTTGAAATTTCGCCTTCATCCTCAGTCGGTTTTTTTTTTAGACTAAACAAATTTTACTTGAATTATATAAGCCATATCTGAGGAGAGATTGATGGAACGAGAAATATATAGTATATTAAACAAATTTTGGACCCCCCTAAATTTGTTTTCAGTAACGATAAGTAGGTACTTACCTGAAGTAATACCAGTTCATACTCCCTTTCATGAGCTTTAGATCCACCAACACTTACACAATGGTTTTACTTGGTTAACAAAAAAAATTGCTCTAATTAGTAATTAATACATTAATGTATTATTATCGTCATCCACAGATCGCAGATTCCTACGAGTCGTTGGAATCCGCCAAAAAGAATGCAACCGGATGGGCCAATTCCCTGAGATACCAAGTGTCTCTCAAGCACCATTATACGAGCGCAGGTCCGAACATCCAGGGCGTCCGTTGGGGCTTCGAAAACTCCATTAAATACATAATAATAAGTGCCACTGAATTAGCGGACGAGGGAGGTAATGACACAGAGTTCAAGAAAATGGTATCGGACTACGTGAAAAACGTCGTTATTCAAAGCCTGATCGATACTCTGGAAACTATCAAAGTACCTATAAATATTAATATACATTATAAATTGGACACTGTCTGTTAGAGTTTAAAATAATTAAGTGAACTGGACGATTCAAAATATTATTATTCACTTTCCGAAAAAAAAGTTATAAATGACTTATCTAAAGTACTACCTTAGTCAGGTTTCCTTTCAGAAAAAGAGCTATCATTGTAAATCGGAGCAAAATTACTAGTAGAAAAGTTGTTCACAGATAAAAATAAAAATAAATAAACATCATTTTAAAACCATAAACTTCTTTGCTTCACTCAGAATCAAAAGTTACTGTTTTTATTTAATTGTAAAAAAAAGGTGAATTTTTATTGGAATATAGTTTCATTCTAGTAAATTGAAAATAAATATGTAAATACTGTTTTTTTTTTCATAATGGGTAAAAGTTTCAAAATTACTGAAAGGAAACTTTTTAAATTAAAGTATTTGAAAATGTTCAAATTAATACATTTTTTTATTTTTTTCAAACATTTTATTACAATTTCTTGTGTGTAGTAACCTCACCCTTTAGATATTGGTAGTGTTTAATACCTGGTTAATCATAAGTTAAACTCAGTGGTATCAAAAAAGTTGAGCATAATGTAGTAGTTTAAGTTTAAATTTTGAAAACATATACAACCAAACTTCATATCTAGTGACACACCTATTGCCAGTATCAGATATTTTATTTTAATATAGGTATTTATATAATCGTTTTTAAAATAATGGGATTAATTTTTCCTTGGTCGCTAATAACACTGTGGGTAAGTAATTATAAATTATTGCTTAACAATTTTTAACATAACACATATTATCAACAGCATTATATAAGTTTATTATGAGGTCATCAAGAAAAATATTTTAGGGGTTGCATATAGGCAGTTAAAAGAATTTTTAAAAACAAATTTTAATTTATCAACCTAATATATTCTAATAAAAAAAAAAAAATACTTCGCACAATGGGTAGGCCACCATTATAGATGGAAAGTTGAAAATATATAAGATATAGAACGGAATTTAATATATATCTGCACGCAATGATTAATTATTGTTAACGACAAACAATTCTGAGCAAATGAAAACATTTTTTTTTTTTTTTAATTACACCATAATTATTATTATTGTATTGTTTATTTCAGAATAAGTTAGATCAGCTCAAACAACCATAACTATTATGGTGACGTAACAAAGCACTTCGGTGGACAAGATATTATATTTAATGTATACACAATATTATACCTATAGAATTTTATTTTCATCAAACATTTATTAATTATAGTATTTTATAGTTTTATACCAAATACATTATTATCAAATTATGTTTACTTTCACAGTAATAAACATTATACATTTATATTTAGTTATTCTATAAATGTTGACTACTTATACCTCCTACTTACCTACTTTTTCCCATTTTCCAATAAAATGATACCTATATAGTACATACTTATACCTGCCAATAAAGTTGACTGATAAATATATTTTCTAAACATGCCTAAATTCACACTAGGTATATAGCAAGCTAATTAAAATACCTACAAGTTAAAATTTATTGCTTAATAATATATCTTAAATGTGTACCTGTCTTATTATTTAAAACAAACAAATAAATTAGTTTGGTATTATATTTATTTTATATTTGTTTTACTTAATAATCAGACATAAAATACTATGACAATTCATAATAATTGTACTAAAGTTAATAGTAATATAACTTACTATGGTTTCATTATAACCAATCAATACTAATTATTTTAGTCAAAACTTAAACTACAAGTTAAAACCTAAAACTCCTAAACTAAATAAATATAGTCAAACATACAAGAATTACCTATACACATTTATAAATTAGCTGGAGAGTAAATGATAGGTTTAGTTGAAGACGTAGGGATAAAAGGGCCTTGGATTTCTAGTATTAAGAGTATTTAAACCGAATGAGACTAGAGTTTAGTGAAATCCAATTGACTAGATAATAAATTCCAAGTACAAAGACAGTCTTTCACTAAATGGTGTGAGGTTAAAGAAATTTAAAAAATGATGATATGAATCATGTAAGGCTTATATTAAAGAAACACCACACTGTCTGTCTTACAAACACGCAACATAGCAAATTTGTGTACAGTAAACCAAATTATATGCTGTTAGTTTTAATATTAAAGCTAATTGAATTATTACTAAACTTCCATGTAAGAAGATTATAACATGTGCCCTATCGTTAATGTTTTTTTGATGTTTTAATTTTTAAGCAAAATATAATCATTTTTAAATTGTAATGTTTTCCAAACCTACTCATATCTTGTATCTAAATTAAAACATCAGTGTTAGGGCTAAAATCTTCTTATCTTTAAGTTTGGTAATAAGTTAATTTGCTTTAATATTAAAACTTGTGGCACAAAATTTGTCTTACTGAACACAAATTTGTTATGTCTTGCATTTTTAAGACGGAGATAGTAGATGTGGTTGTTGTGTCCTCTTAGTATCAAATTTAAACTCAATTAACCTCAGACAGTAATTTTGTGCTAATTCAATAGCTTTGGTCAATTTTAACAAGTTGTTGCTCCAGAATATAAACAATACTACATTGAACATGAGCTTAATGAATTCTAAAGTTATTTTACCATTACCTTATTATTTTATAATTTTAGTATATTAAGAAAAATTTAACTTTGAGTCAACTAGTATACATAAATCTTTGTAATTCAATATAATATCTATATTCAAGCCAGCTACAGCATCTTGGAAGGATTTTATTATCTTTATAATTTTTATGTCATTGGCAAATAAGTACACCTGAGAATTTTATATGATATTGGCAAGATTGTTATTAAATATATTTAAAAATACAGTGGTTAAGTGGTTGCCAGGCTAGAAGCGAACTATTAAAACTGAAAGACTCAAAGTTTTTAAAATAAAATTTTATTGTTGACACTGGCAAATGTTTGCAAAATGTGCATAAATTATATTCGCTTGGGCGTTGCACTCAAAATATTTTAGAATAAGGTTTATACTGAAATCAAGTTATATCATGTTATTGAGCATCCCATCACCCGCTTAATTTTTTTGTGTAAAACTTCAGACGATTGTTGGTTAGCCAACAATTAGGTAGGTGGTATGCAGTTATTATGTTAAAAATAAATTTTTAACCAAGTAAATTTTTAAATAATGATAATGATACAAATTTATTATCTTAAATGGCAATGTATATAAGTGTAATAATGGTTATACATTACCATACAGCATAGTAGAACCACAGTGAATTAAGTATGATGTTTTAGTCATATTATAATATTATGTTATTTCTCGACCAACTTATGGCTAGGGGAATGGATACAAGGCTCCTCAAAATTAAATGAAATCAAAAATACTATCCTCGCATGGCCCTCCCCACCAGACCTCTCAAGGAAAATGGAAACATCAATAAATAGAATGTGAATTGGACACACGTCGCTAACCCACCAACCTGATGAAGAAGGAAGACCCACCCATATGTGCCAGCTGTGGTACACTACTCTCAATCAAGCACAGTGTATCCGAATGCTGTTCATTTGAAATGGACAGACAGGAAGCTGGGGTATCAAATATTATGGCAGAAGCTCTTCACTCAGACAACATAAGAAACATGATCAACTTCATTATCAAAACCAACTTAATCAATAATTTATCATCACTAACCTTTATAGGTTAAACTCTTTGTATGCCAATGGCCTTAGTTGCCGAGGTTTAATTTAATAAAAAAAAAAATTATGTTATTATTTGTCATTTAATAGAGGCTTTTGATTTCTCGTTTTTAATTCATAAACAAATTTATATATAGGTCTTAAATTATCTTGAAATAATGAACAAACATAGAGAAATATTAAAAATAAAATGAAATCACTAATCAAAGCAAGTAATTGATTTAATTTTAAATTAATTGGAATAATTTAAGAATATTATTGAAAATTTTAAAACAAATGATAAACCTATTAAACTCATAAAAATAAATTCACTACTGATATTGAAAACAGTGTTTATTGAAAGTATAGACAAATATTTTTTAAATAATAATTTATTAACTGCAGAATTTTCTATTGCATTCAAAAAATTTTAATTGATTTGTAAACAGACTTTAATATTACACTTTGACTGTAAAATTAAATCCAAATATAGAAGGTAAAATAATTTATTTGAATTACTATTTACTACTAAATGTGTTTTCATCTTAAAGTAATTTGAAGTGTTTGTACTAATTACTAATACAAAAAGTAGATTTTATACACATGTTGTATAACAATAATTTAATATGTGCAATGAAAACATATCAATAAAGAAATTTGTTAAAAATTAAAAGTTATCTAATGTCTATTGTAGTGATTTGAATAAATTTTTAATTCCTGGATTGAATTTAGTTTTCATTATTTCTACACAATACCAATTAAACAATAGCACCTACAACTAATTAAAATCAATATTATAATCCAATATGGATAGTAAAAAATATCTAAGCCTTTCAAATTTTCTAAACTCTATTACTTATTACTTACAAACTAAACAAGTATAAAACATCAAATTTAAAATGAGATTGTATGACAGAATATGTAAAACAAACAAATATTAATCCAACTGAAATTTAAAGAACTTAATAAGTGTTTAATCAAAAGAATATTAAATTGATCAAATTATAGAAACTTAGTACAAAATGATAATAATAATAGTAATATAATTTTTCATTTATGAAAAATATAATAAGTATTAAAACTAACTTAAGTATATGATATCAAAATAATAAAAAATAAAAAAAGAGAAAATAGACTCCTTTAAAACTTCTTTTTAAGTAAATGTAATGAATAATAAAAAAAAAAAAAATACAAAAATATATAAATATTTAAAATTTTAAGGTACTACCTAATATTATCAAATTAATAAATCTTAAGTTTTTAAAAAATAGTAGGTGTATAATTTGTAAGTATTAAGTTAAAATTCCTAATACTATGAACCTATCAGTGAACCAATCCATTGGCAAAATGAGCAAGCAAAAAAAAGTAGGTGATAAATTATACATTATGATATTATAATACACCGTAGAATAGTTTTTGTATTATAGAAATTTAACAATCCAAAAACTTGGCTACTAGAAAAAGTTCTAGAGCAAGTTGTGGTTCTATACAAAACCCTGCAAATTCTCCATTTAATTGGGGGTCTGAATTTGTGATTGTTCCATTATACCGAGCCTTGTATATAAGATACATACAGACTTTTTTCATTATAAGAGAACTAAATGAAAAAAAAAATTGTTATTAATAATTTTCAAAAATAATATTACTTAGGCATCTTGGTATTGACAATATTTATGTTAAGATCTCTTACGGTATTTCTTTGAAACTAATTTCGTTTGTTTGGTTTTCAGCAAATTGTCCGGGACCACTCAACATAGCTTCGATTGTACCAGACATCAAAGCTTGATTTCGTTTCACAACAAATTCATGACCATCTTTAGATATCAGTTTGACATACATAGCATCCGGACCTTCGCAGTTTCCATACTTTGTATAACATTCATACAAACACACATATATAATAATATTAATCAATTTAAAGAGCCATTTTAAATGGTAATAATGTCATTATAATTTTGAATATTTATTACTTCACTATAGTCCATCGTTTAAGTGTTTGAAAACAAGACTTAATAATAACAAAGGCTCAAAAACTATAAACTCAAACTAATAAAACTATTTAATTTATTTTGTTTATTTTGAGTTAAAAATAATTTAGGCGTTTGCAAATGACAAATGTTAAAGTACCTACAATTTTGTTGAATCTCGAAAAATCAATAAACCATTAACCAACGCCGGATGCCAATAGCCCATTGGACATTGGTAGCCGCCAGATGGCGGGCGGACTGCACATCGTTATCACCTATTTTGAAAAAAATACCATTGTCTTATCTGTAATATTATAATATATACCATAAAATATATATTTAATCATGGTATAAATTGGTATACATATTTGGCGGGAGCTGCATAAAACATTGGAAAACCGTTCTTTTCTTTAGATCAATCATTTTTTAGAATAATTTTTTCTCCGAGCAGTTAATTTTTTGAACATCAAGAGCAAAAAACGATCATGATTTGTAAAATTCAAATTGAAGACCTAATAACTATATGGCTGAAAATATCTTGGACTTATCTACTTCAAGAAATACATTTATGGAAATATATTTTTTTAGAATAAGATAAACGGTGTTCGGTAAAAAAGCAGCTAATACTGGGGACGTATGTGAATATTGTTGTAAGTAGATAGTTGAGAAGATGGGATACATATTTATTTAATTTATACCTGTAACCATAATTGAATTATACAAGGTTATCGCAATTTGCAATTTGCAGAAACCATTTTTGATATAAAAAATAAAATAAAAAAATAATGGTGAAAAGGTGCAGTCTCTTATCAATTTCATAATTTACATTTTCAATTTAATTCAAGTGTTAAATCATATTCATTTGTAAATTATATGGTATTTAATTAAATTTGTATTAGTTTAATTAGCTATAGTTTATTTATTTTAGATAGTTATTGTACAGGTTATTACACTGGGGTTTACACTTTGGGTCGTATTCATAGATTGATACGTCATACAATACTAATTGTTTATTTTGATTTAGGTACAATATTGATGACTAGTTCCATTATGATCCATTGTTTACTAGTACATTAGCACATATTTTTTTTAAATATTTTAACTTAATTCATAGCACATTTTTTTCTTCCCATTTTAATCAGTATGAAAAAATTAACAAAACTAAGTACCCATATATAAATAGTAATTTATTATACTATTATATATTTTAGTGTAACTTTTTAATAATTAAATTAAATGTTGAAAAATATCACTTGTTAACAGCAAATTACAAAACACATGAATGGTATTTTTAATTTCCATCATAACATGATATTCAACTCAACTTTACCTAGCCTGGATATTATGAATAATTGAACAATATGATAAAATAATGAAAATCATACAATTTTGTATATTATATCATTTTTTAATAGAGACATTGAGTATATTTTAGTTTATTCTATTATCAACAGTTCAAATAAACAAATACTGCCGCCAATTCTGATCTCGTATCAGCCAATAAAAGCATGGTCCCTTTTGTTGCCATTTGATTTTTCGTGTATTGAAAAATGATGAAATGGTGAAGAGCGCGAAAAATAATTCGGCCAAACCGTATGTAAGCTGAAAAATATTTTAAAGGCACACTTAAATCAAAAATATTTTAAAAATTTGTCCACGTCTAGAAAAAACAAATAGAAGTTTTTTGTCAAAATGTCAAGTCTACGGATATTTTTAACTGAATTACTACAAAACAAAATTGAAAATGATACATTCCATACATTTTCCCTTTTTTTCTCAATTATAATGAAAACCCCTTCAAAAATCAGAAAATGGTCTAGAAAAGGTACAATCCGGATAAAATTTTATTTTAGAAAATGTGCTACACTTGAAAATCGGAGCAAGATTTCTGGTAGAAATTTCATACGCAGTATAAAAAAACATAATGTATAATAAACAATTAAACATCATTGTAGAACCAATACATTTTTCACTCCGCTCAAAATCTAAAATATCCTTTATAAAATGCATATAATGTTTTAAATAGGTATCTACTTCTATTTCAATATTTGTATAAAATATAAATAATAATAATCATTTTAGATAATAAATTAACATTATTTTAAATCTTTAATCAAATAAAACCCCGAAAATATCCATTAAACCTATTACATGCATACTTTATACATTTGTTTTATGTACACTGTACAGCACATCACTAGATAGGAACAGAAAATTGATTATTTTCAATCTAATGTAATATTATCAATCATTTTTAGATTTACGCCCAATAAATAATACGGGTAGGCAATTAACATTACAATCTCAAGAGATAATGATAACAGCCGTTCACCACTTTTGTTACAAAGTGACTCGTTTAATTGTCGTTTATTATTTGGAAATGTAAAACTTTTCATAGATAATAATATATAAATATAGATAATATTTTTTATCTATGCAACTTTTGTCCGTGTGAACGACGTGACGTGCCGTGTGGTTAATAGTGGTCATCTTTTTTATAGCTATGAGCTAAAATAAAATTTTGTATTGTAATTTTGAAATTTTATCTATGTACAATGACACCAACGGCTTTAGTTGTAAGTATTTTTTTTTTAAAAAATACAAAATTGATCAAGTGCATAATACTTACATTATTATGTATTATTTATATTATGTGCCAATCTACCAAAAGCAGGGCAAATTATGTGCGAACTGTGGATGTTTCATTCCAAATGAATTAAAACAAAATCATAAATGTCAACGACAAAGTAAGAACTCAAATTGTACATTTAAGTATTTGTCTACACAATTTTAGATTCAACTCATTTAATTGTTATACAAAGTAAATAAAATTACTAAGGGGTTTAATTCATAGGTATAGATAAGAATATATCTAATCATATATCATACATCAATAATCACTATAAGTCTAAATTGTATAGATATACTTAACAATATTTAAATATACTTTTTACTTATATTATCTAATGTTTTAAGTTCGTTATTGTAAAATTAAAAATTATTTTAGATTATACTTCAGACCAAACTTTAATTGCATGTGTGGAAGCTCGTCGTCCATTATGGGACTCTAAAATGCCTAAGGTAGAAAGAACCAATGAAATAAAAGATCAACTTTGGTCAGAAGTTCAGAAAGAATTAAACGGTAATTACTTTTATTTTATTTAACACAACAATACTGTTAACATACCAGTATTTATATTTTAGGCAAGTATGAAATCCATGTGCTTGCAAATAAGTGGAAATATCTCAAAGAAGAATATACTAGGCGCAAAAACTCTCAGGCGCAAAAAAGGCGTTCTGGTAGTAACAAAGAATGGGTGCATATGAAACAACTCAAATTTTTAGACAGTATTGGTACTCGTAAATCGTTAGTACCATATTACCTATTTGAAATATATGTTTACTTTCAATTATAATATATTTTTCTTTGGTCAATTAGGAATGCATTGTCTACACCTTCGACAACTGATATTTTTGAACCTGAAACTTCAATTGATGAATCTGTCAATTTTGAAGATATATTAAAAAATAAAAAAAGTAATATTCTATATAAATATTGTAACTTAATTCTTTAAAATATTCAATTTTTTTTATTGTTTTTTTTTAACATTGTTTAGGAAACAGACAACAAGACGATAGTACTCAAGACAATAGTACTCAAGACTATAGTATTCAAGACTATAGTACTCAAGACTATAGTACTCAAGACTATAGTAATCAAGACTATAGTAATCAAAGCAATGTTGAGCTAATATTAAATGAGTTAAAATCTTCCAGATCACTTAGTTCACCACCTCCAGCCCCAACTAGTGATGATTTGTTTTGTAAATACTTAAGTAGTATTATGGCACAACTTCCCAAAGAAAAAAAATTAAAATTGCAATCTAAATTTATTAGTGATATTAATGATGTTATTAATGAAAGTGAACATTAGAGAGTTTCAGTTTATAGTGTATTTATTGATGTTAAGTACATTTAAAATGTTCAACTATTTAAAAAAAAAAAATTAATTATGAGTGTATACAGTGGCGGTTCCATAGTAGGTCGCAGCCACACTAAAATCTTCCTGAACTACGAATAGTCCACCCAGTATAGTTTCATAGTATTTTGTGTGTTAAATAATATTTTAAAATATGCAGAAATCATAATTATATTGTTTTAAAATTATAAAATGAGCCCAAATTAGTAAAATAAATCAAATCTCTGTGTTAAAAAAATGTAATACACAAACTATATTATAAAACAATGGTGACCAACTACGGCCCACGATCATTTATTAATTGGCTTACCAAAGTATTTAATCAAAATTGAAAAATGAAAGGCCCGTCGAGAATTTTTTTTTATGGCTTCTCTGTTATAAAAGGTTGGTTACCACTGTTATAAGCAGCATAGCTCACTACCATCAATATGGGTATAATAATTGTACTTTTAGATTTCTTATAGAAAAATATTTCATTATAATATATGGGTATAACTTTTTTTTGTTAACCTGAAATTGTAACTGTCTGATAGGCAATAGATAAAAAAAATTCTTGTTACGCCACTAGCCCTCCCTATAAATTGATGGCCTCAGCATAGCCACCCAGACAACAAATCTGACACTACCACTGAGTACATACCTACTTATTATAATTTATTAAAAGTAACACTATTGAAATTTTTTTTAAAATTTTAATTTACTGTATAATACAAAAAAAATATTGTTTTTAATTTTTATTAATAGTTCATTGTTAATAAAATAAGATTGTTTTGTAAATAATTATTGTTTTTCTTTTATAAGTCCTCAAACTTAAAATTTAGGTATTGACTAATATGCAACCCAGCAATACTTACCAATACCAATAAATAAAAATTAGTAATAAATAATACCATTTCTCATCAATATAAACTATAAATAATAGCTAATTTTATTTATATGCATTAAATTAGTTTTTGTCATTTTGATTTTTATTTAATCAATCAATAAGGCTGTATAAAATATATTGTATACGCTTATATATAAATTCATATGGTATCATAAATGATTTAATCATCTCTACCACGCAATCATTGATTTGTATAGTTTACTTGATGATAATACAGGTAAAATCATATTATTTATTAGTTGTTAAAGTTAAACATTAAATCCAATAAAATACAAAATATTTTTACTTATTTATTTTTTTACAACCCACTATAAAAACTCACTACCACGAGTTTGGGAGCTGCTGCTTTATAAGAAAGTAATTAATACCTCATAAATCATAATATTCATTTCTATTATATGTTTAATAAATTTAGAAATAATGTGTAAAACATTGTAAGAATGTTATAATACATGGCAAAATTTTAAAGTTATAATCTAGGATTCTTATAGTAGCAATTTTTGAATATTTCACTAAATGGGCGTTAGTTTAACAAAAAAATAAAATATAAATTATAAATTATTTTAAAGTTAAATTAATTGAATTAATTATGGGTAGGTTTACATTTTGGTTTTCACCATGATTTAAGATATATCTGTATCTTAAACCATTGTTTCCACCCACAAGCATAATGAATGATAACATCTTGGTAGAAATAAGCTAGTTTTACCATCTATACTCTTTATAGAGTATTAACTCTTTTAACTCTTAAAATTAATGTTATTACTTTTTTTTAAAGTAAAGAGTAAGAGTATAATGTACTCTTGAACAGGCTTTTATACATCTGCGTATTGATATTTGAATCCAAGATAATATCATGAAATTATAAGTTTTTAGTGCATTTACTTCAGTTACTTAGGTTACTTATAATATTTCTTTCCATCGAGAACAGTGAACAAAATGTTTGCAATGGGTTTGAAAAAATGAAAAATTCAAGTAAAAGGAACAGTATGACATGACAAAAATATTAAACATTAATAGACAAATCTATAATTTTAATTAATTATAATGTATTTAGGTAGGTAGGTATCTATTTAATAAATCACATTTCGTTCAAAAATAAATAATTTACTTTATAAGAAAAAAGAAAAAAGGTATTATTTTCGAATAATTAGCATACGCTAACACTGCCCAAATTACGGCTGTTCAATTTAATAATCTTCCATTTTATTATTATCACTTTCATTAATTAGGTGCAATAAGAAAAATTAATATTAATAAAAAAAAAAAAAGGAATAGAAAATATATTTTCGAGCTATCAATAATAGCGCGGCGTTATCAAAATCAAACATACGGTACATATGTTTAATACCACGATTTCACGATTTAAAGATTATACCTGATCGTATATTATTAATCGTGTAGTAGAATACTCTATGGTTAAATACTGGTAATAGAGTAACCACTTTAAAATAAACACGTCGGAACACGCGTCACACGGTGGAATGTTGATGGTGGAATACTACGATATTATTGTATTAAATAAAAATGTGTAGTGTTTTAATAGAGATGGGTGGCGATGAATAATAATTATCGAATTATTCGAATCATCTAATATATTACAGTATATTTAGCCCATATAGACATAATATGTTTACTATTATTATTATTACTGTTTATTTCTTCGGAAAGATAATGATTTAGTTTATGATTTAGCAGAGCATATTATTTTTATTTGAATTAAACCCTGCAGAATTTATTCGAAAACGGCCCACTATAGAAATAGGTATTCGAATATTTTATATAATTCACAATCCGTTTTAATTCATAATTCTTAATATCCAGTATTCACCGCACTGTTGAAAAATGAAATTATAATTACAATTGAAATGTATCGATAATATTTTGTGTTTCAATAATGTTTACACGAGATACAACTTACAAGTATAGCATAGTGTTCTGTATAGTTGCATCCAGATAGGTACTGAAAAATGAAAGCCGATGTATCTGTAAGAAAAATATTATCGAGTGGGCAACATTGAATATGATCTAAGCTAAAAACGTTCCGAATAGGACATTGACCATATTTCCGAACTGCACCATTGCACGTCATGACGCAATTCGTGTGATAATATTAGGCAGTCGGTATGCAGGTAGGTACCTATGTATTTTAATATTTAAACCTGCCAAATACTTTGGTCATACCTATAATTATAATAATTTGCGAAAATGCCATTTTTAAACCGCACCGTATAAACCTGGGTTTGCGGGTATACGTTTCGCTAGACAAAAAAAAAAAAAAAAAAAACAATGTTATATACAAGTTAAATAATCTGTTTACACCACGGTTATCTACACAATGTAGATGATTGCGATTTTTACCGTAGATTAAAACGCCCGTTAAACATACGCGATATTACAACATCATGGGTAATATTTTACGTACACTTTATACCGTATACGATGAACCATGCCACCACGGGTTATCGTCTTTTCCCCGTGTAGAACTCAGCAAATACCGCGGAATTCTGTAAAATAATCGACGAATGACTCACCGGACGACGGCACATGCTATTACGTAACACCGTCGCGCGCGATTTTACCGATAGTCACGACTCACGAGTCCAACTCGATTCCGATTTGTAGTTACAGTCGCGGTCGCACTCGTACAACGTCTCGTCAACAGATTGCTCGGCCGGCGGTATACCGTTTTCGTTTTCATTTTCCATACGAACGTTTCGTCAATTACTCCGATCAAAAAATGACCCACACCCTGTCGGATAACATCAAGTGTCTGGACGGAGTGGACTACGACGTGGTCAAAGTAAGTACGCTTTGTGACAAACCCCACGGGCGGCAGCGTTTATCGGTTTTCCAGTTATTGATTGTGTACGTGTAACTGTAAACATGTTACTGTTATTCCTTTAATATGTATAGTGCCGGTTAGGCGTTACGGTTTGGTCTGGTTTGGTTTCTGAAATACTGTAGCTCGAACATTTTTGTACTTTGTTGGTGGATGGTTAAAAAATAACAAATAGTTCAGTAAGTTTTTCCTTCAAAATGTGTACTTGGACCCATTTACAGTAATTGTGTAAACAAAAATTGCGTAGCGTTTAACCTTTCCGAGTTCTGACAGAAAACCAACATTTTGTAAAAAAAAGTTTACCTTGATTACCTACTCAGTATAAAATCCTCTTCGAATTCTTTATTTTAGGCATTTTTTTCTTCGTAGAATTTTTCGTAACTACTACCTACCGCGTTCTCATTCATAGTTAACTGAACCTGGTTTTATTGTATCTTTATATATCCTAAATTTTTTCTTATGAACTAGGTACTCAACACGTGGTATAACATAACAAATCGAGGGATATTAAAAAATTGGACTTCATCAAGGGTACCCGACATTTCCCTCTTCTCCCAATAAAATACCTAATACATTTTTTAACTAAAATTCACCATGAATTATTGCGTAACATAAATATTTACTATAAATGCTTTAATATTTTGAATTAAGTTTGTTAAAAAAATCAATTAATATAGTAAACTTTCAAATATATTGAAAATTGATACGAGATAATAAAAAAAATCAACAAATTATTACTATTTAAAAACTGTTGACCAGACAATAAAATGTCTTAGGCTATCTGCGAAATTCCCATTTTTAGACCTTCCACAGTTCCACTCCGTTCCTGGTAGTATTATATTTTGGATTATTTCTTATTCAAAATTAATTCACCATTGTTTTTATTATTGTCTTTCAAACAAAAAAAATAGTTTACAATTTTTAGTTTTAAAAAATAATACATGGTTTTCCACGTTGTATTGAATATAATCATTGGAAATCTAATTTAAATTTTTTAATAATAATTATAATTTATTTAATTTAAACCTACCATTTTATTGATCTATACATAATAAATAATAATAATAATAATATATTCTGTAGCTTTCATCAATATTCGACATTCGTGGTTTGCAAACGCACATAATATATTCTGAAAATACAATTTACGAATTTACCAGTAATATTGTGAAATACCTACATAAATAAAAACAATTCTAATGTCGTTTTTCTCCGATTTTCCAGAGTTTAAATACACAGGGCTGCTCTTATTAGGGGACACTGGAACAGGCAGGGCCTGGGTCTCGCTTTTTTACGTTCGAGAAAAAAAAATTAACAAATTATAATCTAATAAAAAATGGGAATTAATTAAAATTTCGTTTTGGGCCTCGCAAAATTTAAGGACGGTTCAGTTTCAATATTGTAAATCGCATTGAAATAAAAACATTCCGGTAGTACGCACGATTAGAATTGACGTTGAAAACCGTTTTAACATTCTCGAAATCTTCCGGTTGACCTATGTGTAACCAAACCGTATCTAGTTATTGTTTTTATTACACCATAGTACATAATATTGCGCAATACTATAGGCATGGACATCCGGAGGGGGACAAGACGGGTCATCTGCTCCGCCCTGAATTTTAAAATTTCAAACATAATTTTATAGTTTTTAATAATTAATTAATGTAAATTTATTTCAACTTAAAAATTTTAATTACTTTTTGGTGTTTGGTTTTATTATGCCATCCTGATAAATTTACTGTGGGCGCCCATGACTATATGGGTTAGGTATATATATGCGAAAGAGAGGAAAGGAAGACCAAAAAAGTGGTGGTTGGTTGCGATTGTGAATGATATGAGGATGGCGAGTATATGCGAGGACAATGTGGTGATTTGGGTCAAGTGGAAGTTTAGGACGAAGGTGGTCGACCCCATGGCTAAATATTTGTTTAAATATTATTGGCCAAATTTAGCTATGGCCGACCCAAAATAGATAGGATGAAGGCAAAGGAGAAACAGATAGGTATGTATAATACCTACACAGGGTGATTCACTAAGCGTGCTCACCACAATTTTTTGTTAAATTTTGCATAAATTCAAATTCTGATTTTTAAATGTAGTTAAGGCTGATATTTTCGAATATTTAGATTTTTAACAATTTTTAATGAATAGGTATCCTGTATTGAAACCAACTTTGGTTTTTCAAATGAGAACTTATATTCAAATACTGGGGACAGGTGCAGCCACTCATGTAGGTGAGAAGTTAAGGAGGTAGGATACATATGGTTATTTCATTTATAACAGTAACCATTGCTGACGAAAGACGATTCTGAGCGTAGCTCAGTAATACATAATTTGAAGTGCCCTAATTTTTTTTAAAATAACCTTCCTACTTTTTTTCCCGATTATTATGAAAACTAATTCGAAAATCAAAAAAACGAAGTGCATCAATAAAAACAAGATTAATAATTCAACGAAAGAGGTTTCTTGTCGTTTTTCAATTAGCGCCCTATATTAGTGCTAAACAAAATATAAAATATTACTGAAAACAATGAAAATTGAAATTTGAAAAATTAAATAATATTTAAAAACTTTTTTCTTGGTATAAATCTAGTTTACAACTCAAGTTCATTTTTCAATTTTTTTTTTTTTTTCTAATGTGTGATTCATAATGTACAAGTAGAATCACACATTAGAAAAAAAAAAAATTGAAAAATGAACTTGAGTTGTAAACTAGATTTATACCAAGAAAAAAGTTTTTAAATATTATTTAATTTTAGTTAAATTTAATTATAGTTATTGTACATAAACCTTGAAACAACATTTTAGGAATTGATTCAAAATGTGGACGTTTTTATTATTATGATTTGTAGTTATTGATACTTGGTAACAAAGTTTTTTTTATTTAAGTCGGAATAAGTCTATCAGACTTAGATTTAAAATTACAAAAGTAACTCTATAGGTCTATATGTGCACTCAAAATGATTTTTCACTTTTCCCTAATACCTACCCGACGTAGTTTTGCACAACAAATCGAGGGTTATTTATTTTCAATTAAAAAAGTCCAAGCGAGTGACACCGCCAGGTCTCTAGGTGCATCCAAAATGCTATTTTTCAAGGATTATGTACAATAACTTCAAAAGTAAGTATGATAGATAAGTTTTGATTATACCAATGGATTAAGCATTAAAAATTACACATTTTTTTTTGGGGGGGGGGGGTTTCCCCCGTAACTTCCAAACGAAGTACATAAGACCATTTTTTTTTTTTAGATTCTTATTTTAACGGCAAAGGCACACATTTAGAAAAAAAAAAAAAAATGAAAAATGAGTGAGTCAGAAACTAGATTTCTTCTAGAACCGTATATAATTATTACATTTTTTAAATTTAAATTTATTCGCCAAATTTAAAATTTAAAAAACTAAAACAATAGTGCTTATATAGGCACACAAGAAGGTACTGGTAGCTTTTAATATATATTTTTTTTTCAAAATCAAATTTTTCAATTCTAGTTATTAGAATCTTTTACTTGGTTATTTAGGTATCTATTATAAATTTATACTTTTAAGACTTAAATAACTAAATTACCTTAAAAAAAAATGGTGACACACAAATAATATGTCAAATAGTTGGTTAATTTTTGTTTTTCATAAGTATAGCGCCATTTCATTATTTTACACTAAATATAATCCAAACTGTTTGTTTATAGTTTTTATTTTTTATGTAGAACAATGTTCATTTCGAATGGGTATCCGGATTTGAAGATACTATAAAACAATTAGCCTCAGATGTGTTTGATACTATAGGAGTGAAAGTCGGAGATCAATTGAATGTGGTTCTCAAGGGTTTTGACGAGTTCCAAGTAAACTTGGAAAAGAAAATGGATGTATTAGTTGAAAAGGTTATAATAATTTTTATTTTATAAATATGATAATTGTATAATCTATATTGTATATTCATATTTTCTACAGGTTAACATAATAGCCGGTTCTAATGAGGCTGCTAAAACATTTGTAGCCGAATGGGCTGAGGCTGTCAAATACCAAGTACAAAGTAAATATCATTACGCAGGTGATGGTCCAACTGCCCAAGGACTTCGCTGGGGTTACCAAAGCTCTATTAAGTATATAATAATATGTGGTACAACTCTAGCGGACAAGGGCGGTGATGATGTCGAGTTCAAAAAACAAATATCAGATTACATAAAAACTGTTATCATCCAAAGTCTGATCGATTCTTTGGAAAATGTGAAGGTGATTAACATACTTATTTTGAATAGACAATTTAAATATTCATCTTAAAGTTTGTATATTTATACCTAATCATTGATAATAAAGTTACATAATCCTCATTAAAAATAATTTGTTTATCTAATATGGTAGGTACCAATATGCATAAAATAATAAATATATTGAACTGTGTTTTTTTTTTCTGAAATAACATTAATAATATCATTAATATCAACCATTATTATACATAGGTATAGATAATTATAACAAACCATAATATTATGTACTGAATAATACCAACTTTAATTTAATTATTAAAGTTAATAGGTATAATAATATTGTGAGCTCCTAAATAATTTACCTATATTATAATATTTCAGAATGAATTGGAAACGCTCAAAACTAGCTCGTAACCATGACGATGACATTGTGTATACCATTGGAAGAATCTAATTTTTTATGAAAACACCATTATTATTAATTTACTTATCCTATATTTTTTATAATACTATGCAATTTTCACAATAATATAAGTTTACCTATTGTACATAAAGGTCTTTTTTTTTTTTGTTCATTGTAGGTAACTAATCAATAATTGATTTTATAACTTCTAGTGAAAATGATATATTTCTGTAATATTACTCTCTATTTCAGAATAAACAATAAATACTACATTTATGTTTGGATATTTTGTTTATTTCTTGTAATTGGGAAATAGTTGTTTTCACAGTATTAAAACAAAATAACAAAAAACAGAAATGGAAAGAAATTGTGATTGATAATAAAAATAATAAAATCCAATATTTTTAGTTATATTATTGTAAAATATTAAATAGTAAACTTATTAGAACAAAAGGTAAGTTTGGAAAAATGTTGGATACTACATATAGGTACTATAAATGTTAGTGGCAGCTTAAGGGTGAGGAAATTTTGTTAGCTGTTTTCTTAAAGCTATGGATTTGGCAACCTACATTTAGAACTTACTTTTATAAATTAAAAGGTAATTAAAAATAATTTTTCAAAAGTAATTAAAAATATTTAAACAGTAATTAAATTTTTATTTTTGAGCTTTAAAATGAATTAATTTTGTGTGTGTACAACATTACTTAATATAATTTTATAATTTATATATTTAGATTCATTATTTTGTATAAATTATATTTATTGTATATAGACCTTAACTGTAGCTGTTATTTTGATGTTTATCACATAATTTCATAGCTATATCTCAATTTTTAACCTGTGTTCGAAGCAATGTTGAACAGTTTTGTTTTTATTGTCTGTGCATGTGCAGCGATCAAATATTATTTATGCATTATTTGTTTTAAAATACCTTAATTGTCAATATTTTAGCATTAGCATTAGCTCTGGCGTAAATAGTTAAGGCATAATTTAACAACAGTTAATAAACACTAGGACTAACAAAACTAATGAACTACTAAAACTGAGGTTATTAAAAATAAAAAATTACAGTTAAATAAATAGGTATACATAAAACAAAAAAAATAAATAAATAAATTTGGTAACAAAATTGGTAATCTATGGTTCTTCTCTTTCTCTTTCCACTTAGGCTTGAACTAGGTCACAGGCGTACATCTAAATTTTCCATCCACTTGATGACATTATCGCTGGCTGAGTGAATTTCCTTAAAACCTCCCATATATTTCGTTATTGAGCATTCATTTACTATGTGCCTGACAGATTGCACTTGCCCACAGCCACATAAAAGAGATTCTGCCATTCCCCATTTGTGTAATAGATAATTGCATTTTCCTTGTTCGGTTCTAATGCGGTTAAAGGTGGTCCACAAGCCACGCGTTAAGTCAAAACTGGGTGTTTTGCCTTTTAACTTTATTGATGGTACTTTGGAAGCTCTTTGTTTCCTAACTTTTGGTTATGCATTGGCACTGGCTTGAGTGAGAGAAGTCAATCCCTCCCATAGTTTTAATCCACGTCTATCTTCGTTCCTCATCAAGTAGTTTTGTTAACCGGTTTGCTGTTACTTCAGATTTCATTTGTTCATATTCAGACAACAGATTGTTGCATTCCTTTGATCAACAAAGTATGGAATCTTGTCTGTGACCCCTGGGCATAGCTTTACCAGCTGCCGTTTTAATTAGCTTTATGATCCTCTCGTAGTTACCAGGTATCGGCTCATATGATTTTTATTTTCTTCCATGGAGGTTGTATATTTGACCCAATCTGCTTTCTTAACATTCCATATATTTAATTTTGGTTTACTCATTTTGGGCAAGCTTAGACCCAAATCCACCATAACAGGTAAGTATTGACTCTTCTTTGAGAATCCTTTAAGTATTTGACAACTAGCTTTTAGGGGGATTTTACAATGATCTGTTGTGACAAAACATAATTCAGGAGAAATAGTTGAGCTCCATCTGCCTGATTTAAACGTGCCATCTTATTTTGCATCATATGATTGATGAAGATAGTTTAGTTCAGCCCAGTTACTGAAGTTTTCTCTGTTACCGTTCTCACTGCTGTGGCCTCATTTTGTGCTGTGTGAATTAAAGTCCCCAATATAGACTTCTACTGGGTGGTCGGCTTGTGTTGGCACAGACTTAGTCAAGTCTTCCGACTACAGTTAGTATACATTCAAAATTTTGGTATTTCCTATCTAAATTTCAACCATATGTTTATTCCTCTCTATTCTCTTAATATTTGTTGGGTCTAAGTATTGGTTCACGAAAGTAACCACACCATTTGGTGGGCCGGAATCGGCATATGGGAAGGATACCCCTGGTCTAATACATTAACACAAATTTAAATTTGAAGCCGTGGATGAAACTAAATAAATTTCATCAAGATAAAAATAGAATTTTAGGTTTTAGTGACTTAAAAAATTTAAAACTTGTGCACTTTATAGAAAAATTTTTTTTTTTGTTTTGGTGTTATTTAACCTATTTAATAATGCATTATGATTTATCTTTCGAAAGTCATCAACATTTATTTATTTATTATAAAAAAATCAATAACTAACATATTATTACACAAACATTTTACCAATAGCACTAAATAGTTATTAACAAATTTATTTATTTAAAACAAACAAATAAGATAGGTCTAATAAATTTGTTTTCGAAGGATTAAACCATTATTATTTAAGAACTATTTAGGATATATATATATTTTTTTATTTAATTTATAACCAAAATTCTATTAAAAAACAAATTTTAATTCAAAATTTATAATACAGAACTTTATAATACAAGATCCCAATAAAATGTTGCCTAGGAGGTGGGTACCCAGAAATTAATGTTTAAATAATGATCATCACACTGCACTAGTATCAAGTTTTTTTTTTTACTATAAACCAATTTCTATAGATTAAGTACAAATAAAATTAATGTTAACTGTATTGAAATGAAACAATAAATGAGCAGCTCATTTATTTTCTAATAAAGTTGTTTAAATAAATATGAAGAATACATAATGCATATATGTATTAAATTACTTTTCTATCATAATATAAAATAAATACAATCTAGTAAATTTAAATTTTCAATAGTATATTATTATATTTTAATATAGCTAATAATTTTTAAAGGAATCATATTTTGAATGTTTTCTATAAAACCATTAACTAATAATTTATAGTAATTACATAAAGTATACATTATTTTTTTCAATAATTTGTTCATAGAATGTATACATTTCTTTTTCTAATAAAGTACAAAAATTGCATGTGTAATCTAGACTAAATCAAATTTCACTTAAAATTGATACCATAGATAAGTAAGTATCCTTACTACAAATAAACAAAAATTATGTATAGAAAATTTAAAAATAAGTATAATTAATATTTAATAACCACATATCATATCAGTTGGTAATGAATGTTGAAATAAAATACAAAATAGTAATACTTTGCGAGAGAATTGCACTTTTTGCGTACAATCAAATTAATTAATTTCTTCCACCATGGGGTAGCCGAATAGGTGTCTAGCCAATAATCTATTGGGGATAGGCAAGAATTTGATGAGCTTTAAGTACCACCCAAGTACATTCTCTTAACTTATAGTATGATATTTTGGTAACATAATATATGTAAATCTAAATTAGGTGTTTTCATACAATTAGAAAAAATATTGAACAAAATATAAATTGCAGATAGATATTAGTTATAAATAATATAATGTACCTAATAATATATTATTATACCAGTTACAACTCACTATTTTACTATAATGTTTAAATAAGAGATATTAGGATAAAAAATATTTTAAGTGCAGCTTGAATTGATTCGAAGAATAAAATTTGAATACATATTAAATGTTAAAAATTTTAAATGTATTTTTTTTTTTTTTTTTGTAGTCCAATATTATGTTTAACAATCCAAAAAGTTAGCTGCCATAAGTAATTCCAAAGCGATTTGTGGTGGAATAGGAAATTCTGGTATTTCAGTGGAACTGTTTGTATACCGAGCTTTGTAAGTAAAATACATACAGACTTTTTGCAAAACGTGTGAGCTACAAAAACCAAATTATTATTAGGACATATATTATCAAACTTTATGTGATAACTACTTACGGTATTTCCCTGAAGTTTATTTCGTTGGTTTCATTTTCTGCAAACTGTCCTGGACCACTTAACATGGCTTTAATAGTGCCAGACATTAATGCATGTTCTCTTTTCACAATAAATTCATGACCATCACTGGATATTAGTTTTACATACATGGCATCAGGACCTTCACAACCACCATATGGCACATTCTCCTCTTCCTAGAGAAAAATACACACAAATGAAACAGTACAATTTATTATAAATACATAAAATTTCGTTTTAATTGCATTTTATATATTTAAAAATACTTTAGCTGTTACTAATCTATATATACCCATGTAAATTGAACTGTTAATTCCGTAAAACAAAAATAAATAATTCTGTAATCGAGTGTGGTTATTATTATTATTATATCATTGTTACCTGTCCATCTTCGATCATGTCAACGCTCATGTTCTCAGACAGCGTGGTAAACGGAATGGATGAACCGTAAACAATAGCAAAAAAAAAAACAACAGCAATAGGTAAAAGACCAATAGCACAAAATTAAATTTCTCAGGGCCAAAAAATCACGAAAAACAAAAATGTAACGAAAAAGTCGAGAACTTTCAACGTTATCATTAATTTATATAGTATCCACTGTCCAATTTGACTGTGTCATTATTATGTGTGGTTTATCAGTGTAGCCAACATAAGAATCCCGGAAACAAATATCTTTTGATTTTGTAATGGCATGGGGGAGGAAACACAGATAATAAAGAATTGAATTGGCCACTCCTATAACAATAATTTCTTATTGTGTGGCGATGTTCCCAGGTCTGGAGGGTAGCAAACTGAAGCGATTCATCACTATCTAGATGAAACGCCATACTTTATGAAACTGTACCCGTCTCACTTGAAACACTGATAGGGTATGGATAACCCTTTCATACTTTTTTCATTTATGGGAGAATGAGGCTGATTTTTAAACAACTCTTAGGTATATAGGGGGGTATATCCCCCCATTTAAATATTGATCACCCCTGTAATATTATTATTATGTAGGTAAACAACATTGTTTATTTATTTTATATTTTATCTATTGTTATACATAGATATTAAAGATATTATAAATATTATTCTTTAATATCTGTGGCAGTATCATAGACTATAATAATTCTAAATTATTATAAAAATCAATGGTAATTAGTAGTTGGCAAGATTTATACTATAAAATAAAATAGTTTGTTGGGTGTCCCCAGAATTTCAAATGTGTGTACCAAGTTTTATGGCGCGTATATTAATTTTAATTTTGGACATTTTTTTAAATTATTATAATTTTCATTCCGTGTTAACTTGGATACAACCATATTATATATTCCGTTGTACCATGAATGCCTAAAGGGGAGTCCTCAACTCACCGTGTTGTTTCGTTTCGTATGTTTTAAACACGACACGGTCCTTTTTGATTGCACAAAATAAATTGTACCTATCGTTCTACTAACAACCAACATTATCACTCACTATCACTATTAATTTACAATTCACCAAAAATACGCGGTAATTATTATATTAAAAATGTACATTTTACGATTACATAGCATAAGTTATTATTTATCTTCACAAAGTTCATATTGAATTTAAACTAGTATTAAAATTAAATATTAATTCACAGTTAATTTTAATTTTAAATAAAATCATTTGAAAATGAAAATTTTTATACTAATTAAATTTATTATTGAAATGAAAACAAGAAAATGACGTTACCAGCACGTCCGAAATTTGAATTTATTCAACTCTGCGGTATCCGCGGTAACGTCTTGGTAGACACTATCAAAATGTGTCTACCAATATAATATAAGCCAATCAGAAAAGAATATTTCACACGAAACGAAAAACGACAGTGAATTGAGGACTCCCTTTTACTCCCCTTTACTCTATCCAATACATATTAATTTTTAATTGTTTTATATCAGTAACATTTTTTAGACTTTTACTTATATTTAATTTTTGTAAATAATTATTAGTCCGTACTTTTTATAAATAATATAAATGCGATAGATAAAAAGTGTATAAAGTACTACGCCCCCCGGCCAACACAGATTGTTTTGTTTCTTTAAGAAAATCTGATAACTATCAATTAAATTTTAAAAAAAAAACGTGTCCCTTGAAATCTAATGTATTTTAGGCCCAGGATAATAGATAATCTGTAATATATAGGTATCAGGCACGCACATAAAAAAAAAATCGAGAGAGGTCATAAAAATTGTACATTAATCAATATTTAAAAAAAGATGTTCTAGGATAATGGAAACGGATGCAACCACTGTTATAGTTAATTTAATGTATATCTGTAAGCAAAGATAAACCTGTTCTAACGAAAAAACGATTCTGAGCACAGTTCAGTTGATAGTGGTGCTTTGTCAACAATATACATGTCATATTATGATAAAATAATTAAATAGACATTATATATTTTCTTTAATAATATTTGTTTAATACTTAATATATCGTTATTATGAAAACCGTTTGAAAAATCAAAAAAATTACCACCTTAAATTAACATGGAGATAAAATTTCCTTTCAGAAAATAAGTTACACTTGATACATCGGAGGAAGATAAATTTGCACAACAAATCGAGGAGTATTTTTCATAGGGAAATATCTAACAGGGATATAAAAGGGAAAAAAAAGTGTAAACAATTTTTTTTGAATCACGAATTTGAACTCGCAAACCCTAGGATAAAAGTATGTATAATTTTTTAACAATATATATAACTATATAAAAATCAACTTAAAATAAACATATGGGGCTATATATAATCACTAGGGAACGGATTTGAGTGCAAATTGTATTTTTTTCTGAATGTCAGAAAACATTGCTTTCCAAGCACAAAGTTCATTCACAAAGCATTTTTTTAAGGCATTAAGTTGTATTTTTTTAGGACATTTTTCTTATTTTTTATGGCATTAAAGTCCGTTTCCTAATAATCACATTTTATTGAAAGTATTGATAAAGCTATCATTTTTAATTCATCTATCATACAATAATATTTATTTTAGATTCTGATTTGAGAGGTTTTACAGTGATGTTTATTTTTTTTTATCTGTGAATACATTTTCTACCAGAAATATAACTCTAATTTTCAAGTGTAACAGTTTTTCTGAACGTAAATCTGACTGGGGTGATACTTTATAGAGGTCATTTTTTGATTTTTCAATGAATTTCCTCAATAAATGAGAAAACCGGGAGAACGGAAACATAAGTACAATATTAAACAAACATTAAAGACAATTTGTAATGTATATATATAGTGTATCCTACCGTGTTCAACAAATTTTTCTAGCGCTGTTAATATTGAATTTTTTTCAATTTTTCTTTTTCGATAGGTTTTATGCCCTAAACATAAAAATAAAATAACTATTTATTTATTCAATTTAAACAATTTTCAAAATAGCGTTTTTTTAAAAAATATTATTCAAAAAAATTTAATGTATCATACATTCGTATATACACATATTCGATTAATAGTTTCTTAATTACAGCCGTTTTAATTTCTTGATAATAGGTGTGAAAACAGTACAAGTATTCAATAGAAAGTAAATAATTACCGTGCTGATTGTAATTCCTTATCGTATAACGTATTATTTTATTGAATATTGTTTTCATGCTTAATTAAAACGTCTATAACTAAGAAATTATTTATTGGATATAAATGTGTCATATATTAAAATTGTTTCAATAATATTTTTTACAAAAAGGCTATTTGAAAATTGTTTAAAATTAATAGATAAAGTTATTATTTTTTTTGTCTTTAGGGGATGAAAATAAAAATGTATTTTTTTTCCAAATTTTTAAACCGATTAAAAAAAAAATCGAAAAAATTTAATATTACCAGCACTAGAAAAGTCTGTTTAACACAATGGGACACACGGTATACTGTTGGTAAAGTCAAACTTTCAACTGAACACCACTCACAACTGATTTTTCGTTAGCAATGGTTAATCGTTGCTTGCAGATATAAATTTAATTCCCATCAGTATCCTACCTTCTCAACTTCCCACCTGTAACAGTGGCCCACCCACATTCGAAGCATGTCCATATTTTTTTAAATTATTAAGTATAGTACAAGAAAGGACCGTTCACTTTCATAGGTGATAACTGGTATTCTTAAAAAAATTCGAAACGCTACCTAAATATGTGGTAAAATGATCTAGAGATAATCTTCAATTTTTAGCATTTTGACCGGGTTTTTTGATTTTTCAAGATATTAATCAAAGTTATAAATTGCTTATATTCGTTGTATTAACTTTCACCTAGATCATGAGTAAACTTTGACTAAATTATTTACAAATATTTTCAATACATTATCGCCAATCACATATTCACGTCTAAACGAACCGAAAATCCAGAGAGGTTTGTTATATTTTCATAAGCTGAGCTACATTTTTTTAATTCTGTTAAAAATTTATCTATGATAACTAAAAATGCGTTGATTCTAAATTTATCTCTTTAATTTATCTACCTTTAAACTTTTATGACCTGTAGTACGGTCTGAATTTTATGTTTGTTTTTCCTCAGACCGTTCTTTATTAACTGAGAGACTCAACATTATTGGTTCATCTTTAACTACGTACCAAAAACTTTTCGAAGTTCATCAGCAAAATTATCAATGATTGTAGCGTACTATTACCAGTAGCCATTTGATACCATTGACCAGTCTTCTGACAATTATACTTACGGCCCAGGACCAAAGCCCTTCCTAACCCCCCTTGATCTAGCCCTGAGTTTTGTCTCTACGATGTTGACCGTAGAACATTAATAAATTCAGTCTTTGATATTATATTAAATCATCAAATAAATTTAAAAAAATAAAAGAGGTAATATTGCTGATAGATGTACCACTGTTGTAGATGGGAAGTTGGGAAGGTAAGATGCATAGGATTATTTAATTTATATCTGTATACAGCGATAAATCATTGTAAATTAAAAACGATTCTTAGTTGAGCTCAGTTATGCAATTCTTTAAAATAAATTAATAACTTTTTAAATAGTTTTCAAAATGATTGGGGAAACCCCCCAAAAATACGAAAAATAAAACGAAGTATGGCGTACGGTTTCATTATTACTAATTTTTACAACCTATGTTTTCTACCAGAAATATTATTTCTATCGAAAAAACGATAAAAGATATTTTTGTTGAATTTTTAATCTAGTTAGTTAATAAGAAAGTCGTTTTTTACATTTTAAGTAGTTTTTATAATAATTTAGAAAAACTGGTAAAAAAACGAACAATGAAATCTGCCAAATTTACGCCGTCGATCAGTTTTTATCTAAAAATAAATTATCGCTAGATGTCTAGATAATTATATGTATTAAGTATCTTCTTCACTTGTACCTATATTTTATATTATTATATATATATATTAGTTAAGACTAATATGCAATTAGTCATCAGTTATACCTTATACTTATTATAATATTACGTATAAATATTATAAATTATCAGATCCACTGATCAAAGATCAAAATGCTACCAGGCACCACTTCAAAAATAAGTGTGGCTTTATCCACACTTGGTTCCTATAACATGTGTGCCCCAGTCATTACAAATAAATTGTAAACTCACACTCGAGCATGATCATGTAATAATGAAATATAACATTAGAAACGATAATAATTATTACCAAAAAATCAAGGCGAATTTATCTTGCCAAAAATCAAATTTGTTATCAAAGTTAACATGTAAATGAGCCGTGACATGTTTTAACATTTTGCTACTGGTCTGGCTAATAACAAAATTCAGAGATAATTTTGATGTTAGGAACGACTATTACAATGTAATTGCAAACTCGTGCCACAAATTCTGTCAAAAAAAAAAAATTTGGTTTTTATTTTCGTGGTTTTTTTCCTGTTACCATATTATCCTACCACGATTCACGACCGTGATTTATAATGGATAATCATAATAAATTATTATTATTATATTTGTTATCTGTCTGTGCATGTATTTAAATTATAAATAATTATAAATTTATAAAAGTAAATGTATATAAAGAAAAAAAATATTCATCATTGTTTTTAGTTTAATTTGTTTATTCTTTATTTCCGTTGTTCTTTTTTTTCATTGGTCTCTTATGGTCAGTTCTTTTTTCCCAACTACCATTCCAGAAAGCATTAACATATTTTTTTTTCTGTACATATCTATCCAGTTTTGGTGATCAACTGCACACATAGGTTATCTATAAATTGACGGTGGTAGGTCTAGATTATAGGGGTCACCAACTGGTGGACCGTGGACACTTTTTTCATGGATCCTTGCGTGCATTACAGTTTTTATACTTTTATAATATAAAAACTAGAAATGTGTCAGCAAAATTATATCATGACAAACCAATTATGTAAGGAATGTAAATAAGTATCTAATCTGTAGGTATTTCATTAATCATAAATTGGTGAAAACCATCGCGGTGACGTCAATATTATTATCGTCGTACTTATCTATTGCGTTTTTGACGAATATATTTAAAGATACCAATGACTTCAATTTCAAATTACAAGATAATGGTTATTTACAGTCAATGACTTTATGAAAATCAGTTACATTAAGTTTATTCTTATAACATTAATGAACTCGTTAAAAATTAAAAATGCAATTTTTCACATTAAATTTTACTAAGTTTTAAAATTGGCTTAACTTGTACTTAGACTGTGGTTACATAACATTGGAAGTTTGGTGAAAAAAAATAAGATATGTAAATTTAAATACAAAATTGTATAAAAATTGTTATTTTTGAATGTGTGAACAAAATGTATTAAAAGTATTAAGGACCGCGGACAGTTTGGTGAATTTGAAAACGGACCCCGCGGGGCTATAGAAACTAGTTGGTGACACCAGATCCACAGCTTAGCACTTGACAGTAGACGTTTGTGAAAACAGGTTGAATTTAATAAAAAGATACGGACATACTCCGCACGATGGATGGTCGTGATCCACTGTTATAGGTGAGTAGTTAGGATTTTGGGAAGACAGGATATAGAGGGGAATTTAATGTCAGTATATGTACTCAACGATTAATCTTTGCTAATGAAAAACGATTCTGAGCAAAGTTTGGTTATACACGTTTTGAAAGGCTGTAATATTTACGATTTGAAAATAATACATTTCGTAAATTTGCCATTTATTATTGTAATCCCTGATAGAATCAAAATTGACCTCCCTAAAGTACCACGTCAGTCAAATTTCCTTTAAGAAACAGTGCTACACTCAAAAATCGAAGCAAAATTTTTGATTAAGTTGTTCACAGAAAAAATAAAATAAACATCATTGTAAAAGCAAGCAATACATTCCTGGCTGTGCTGAGAATCTAAAATAGTAAATACCAAAATTTCGAAGAAAAAAGAGTAGCGAAAGTGTGATAAAAACCATGATAACATTTTGTTATCACTCGGTTTGTGATGATAGTATTTTGTGCGTGAGTGCGATTAAGATATAGATAACTATTATCTTCGGATAAAGAATATGGCATGCGGACGTAGCTGATTGTGTGACCGAGTGAGATAACATGAGTAGACACTAGACGAGAGATTGTCCGAATATTCAGGTATTCGGGACACGGTAACAAAAACGTAAACAATAATAACAATAAAATTGTAATATAATAGCTCTTCTCTTAGTTTGTTTTAGTCTCCGTTGCATTGGATCGCGTCGTGCGAACGACACGACTTCGACGTATTCCACAAGTTATGAAAGCTTCGGTAGATTTGTTTCTATTCCTATTCAAGTCCAAATACCGACGAAAACGGACAACGGCCTTCGATTTTGCTTTGGTGCTATTGGTGCTCGTGTCCGTCTCGACATCCGTTACTCATTGTTCACTAGATAGGTGCAAAGACATTGAGTGCGGTAATGGAATTTGCCTGAACGGTACGTGCCAGTGTAACGATGGATGGCAAGGCCCTCAGTGCCAGTATTGTGGCGGAAAAGTCAAGTGAGTGATGGACGGATCATGTATGTGTGTCATGTACATGACGAATATATTAGAGGACCTCCACTGATGTGACTATAAATCCTGTATATTCCCATAGTCTGAAAATGAAAGTCTAGATTAGTCGTGCTTCATTCTAGACACAAAACACATTTTGTTCACCGTTTATGCTGAATTACAATTCTCCTTACGATTTAACAGAATTTCTAACTAACACATTTCTGTTAGAAGTTAAGTTAGGTCTAAAAAATTGCTTCCTTCCTAGCTAGGTATAGATTGGATATTATTATTCTGTATGACCTAATTTGTTTTTATCTGTAAGTCTAAATGCATGGCTCTTAATAATTGATATACTCCATTCTACCTATACTTCTAGTTTTCTTTTCAGCTCGATTATTAGTTAGATATTCTTTTCAATTTGTATTCAGTATAATTTTATACCATCAAACATCATAATTTGAATACAAAAATTGTCTTCTCTTATGTTTTTCCTTTACTTACACATAGCAAATACATCCCAAATATAAATTTTAAATTGACTGTTATTTAGTTTCAATCAATTTTAAGTTTAAGTATAATATATGATGTAAATAAATTATTTATTCTATAAAACATGCACTTGGTTTATTCAATTCTACTCATTGTTTTAATAAAATATAAGAACTCACAAATGGATCATTGCTAACAAAATACCATTCTGAGCTAAGTTTGGTTAAACATGTTTTAAAATTTTATGATTGTCATCAAGTTTTGCACTTGAAACGTTTACCTATAAGAAAATTTAAAATATTATATTAGATAAATATGCATATACAATATTTATTGCTTACAAATCAGAATTTATTTCAGATTAAATGGAACTTCAGGACAAATTTCTGACGGTATTGGTAACTACTCACTAGATGTGAAATGTAGTTGGCTAATTGAAGCTGGAAATTCTACCAATTCTACGATAAGACTGCATTTTGAAGAGTTTATTACAGAATGTGGTTGGGATCATTTATACATATATGACGGTGACAGTGTTCACTCTCCACTTCTTGGTGTTTACAGGTATTAATTGTTTGTATAATTTTCTTGTCGAAAAATATACACTATTATTATAATATTATTTGAATTTCTGTATTAATTTTATTTTTTAGTGGTCTTATGTACTCAAATGAATACTCACTACAAAGTATACCAGAAATAGTTGCTCATTCTGGATTTGCACTATTACATTTTTATAGTGATGTTGCTTATAATTTTTCCGGCTTCAATATTACTTACAGGTATGTAAAATTTGATACGTTTAAGTATAAATATACTATATAATAATACTTTATACTATATAATCATAGTTTTAAATTTATTATCTTAGATTATTATTTTTTTGATTTTGTAGTCTCAACAAATTGTATACAAGATTAGTATTAACTTCTTAATGTTAAAATCAAGTATGCACTCTGGTTAAATGACTTGTTGAACTGACCACTTGTTGCATCCTCCCGTCTGTCAACAAATTTGTATTTAGCTTATCATTGTTAACTAAATAATATTCTTAGTGGTATAATATCTATTGTATAAAACTTGAAAAAAAATTATTTATAGTTGATTTTTGATTATTAGAAATCATTTTCAAAAATTTTATTTTAATAGGTTTTCATAAACTAAATATTAATTTTAAAAACTCTATCAAGTTCAGGATAAACAAATATTAATAAAATTGCATTGGGCTTAAACTAGGTACTAGCTTATACCGATTAGTATTGTAATCTGCCCAATTGTCCAGGTTATTTTGAATGTTGCCCCGTGGTTTACACTACACCTGGAAAACCTGGGAAATTTAGGGGATTTAAAATTGGTCAAGGAAGTTGGAGAAAGTCAATGATTTTTTAATTTTTTCTGGAAATTAAAAAAAAAAAAATATTTGCTTGCTATTTTTGCCATTTACAGTTTTAAGAATCATGGCATATCGAAAATTAAAGTAGGTAGGTTACAAAAAATAATATAAATTTTATCAAAATTTCAATATTGATTTTCAGAAATTTATACAGTCTACTATTATCATGGTTAACCAGATTAATACCACTGACTAAATAGGTTGATTCTGCCGTTGACATATAACATTTCAATAAACTTGTGAAAAAATGTTATACCTGGTTACACAATATTTTAATATTTTCCTTTAATATTTAACTTCAGTTACTTGCATAGTTACATGTGTTATCATGTTTTGTGTAACATTTAATTTTATCAGTAATCAATTTTAATTGTTTTTATGAGCAGTTAGTTAACTCTATAACTGTTAAGTTTTTATTCTAGACTTAAATTTTGCTTTTCATTATTTTTAATTTTCCAAAAATGTCCAAAAAAAAAAATATTTAACGATAAGTGGTGTGATATGATAAAGTTCAATTGTTGGCTTAAATTAAATAAGAAATAAAGGATAACCATTATTTCTGTTGTATTTTATTTTATGATGGACATTTTTTTTTATATTTTAACTAATATTGTAATTTGATTTTATTATGGAAAATTAAAAATATTGGCATCAAAACATAGAAAGTCAAGAAATTTGTGAACTTAAAAATTGTGGCAACCATTTGCCTGAAACTGATATTTTCCAATGCAATATTGTCTTACAATATTATTCATATCATTTTACTGAATAGATATTTTATCACTTATAAAAATGAATTGATTGTAAATATGAAGTACATTTCTAAAATTATTAATCAATAAAATATGTTTCTTTTTACTATAAATATTTATGATTATAGATATATCATATATTATGTAAGAACATTATAGATATGTACAATTGTGATTTGAACTTGGAATAGGGTTTTGATAGTAATTTTATTTATTGCGTATATTGTAATAGATAATTCTAATTTAAAGTTTGGTTTGCTTTTGTAAATACATTTCATTCTATAAAATAAGCTACATAGAAAAGTTTAATATTAAATTAATAATAATAATAACTCTAGTCAATGATCTTATATCCTACATATATATAATATTCTTATTAATTGGGCTTAACTTGTGTACAATATAATAGATGTATAAAATATTTTAGTTTAAACACATGTCCGAGTACAACTTCTTCCAAAGAATGTTCAGGGAATGGAATTTGTATTGACTCTGTATGTACCTGTGATGCTTTATTTACTGGCGAAGCATGCCATATTCCAATATGTCCGAACCAATGTACAGCCAGTAATGGAGTATGTGATCAGGAACAGCATCGTTGTGTCTGCAACCCAAAATACAAAGGTAAATTATAGGTTTTTTTTTTTTATATTGTATTTAATTCAATGCTGGCAATTTTCTTTTCTGTAGGTGACGATTGTAGTCAAGTAGCTGAACACGGATACTGGGAAGTACTAAAAACAAGTGATTTTGTTCCTCAAGGATCAGCGTCTCATGCGGCAGTTGTTTGGCAGGATTCAATGTATATTGTTGGAGGAGAGTCTTTTAAAAAAGGACATATGTTATATGTTTACGATTTTAATGGTAAGTTAACAAAAGATTTCCTAATTCAAAAGACTAAATGACCTTTTAAACAAATATTAATATTAGGTCATGTATGGGAAACTCCTCATGTAATAAGCAAAACAGCACCAACTATACGATATGGCCATTCTTCTGTTCTGTTTGGGGTGAATATTGTTTCGTATAAATAATGAATTTAAGAATATTATTATTATTATATAGTAAAATAATATATTTTTTACTTTTTAGGATAAAACATATGTTTATGGAGGAGTAAAAGAAGATGGTATAGTTTGTAATGAATTGTGGGCTTATGACATAAGTGCCAAGTCCTGGGAAAATGTCACAGTCAATACAGGTACATGTGAACGTAATCATATGAATATCGGTTTTACAAATCAAGCTTTGTGCGGGCCATTACGTAGTGCTGGGCATACTGCAACATTAGTACCACCTTCATTAGTGTTAACTGGATCTGGACCTGGTCCAAAATATGTGACAGAACGAATGATTATTATATTTGGACATTCTCCGACATACGGATTTTTAAATTTTGTTCAAGAATATTATTTTGGTATGGGATCAGCTATGTAATATAATTTATAATGTTCATTAAGTTAAAAAATTAAATATTATAATTTTTTCTGCAGGTACTAGAGAATGGGCAATTGTAAAAACAAAGGGGTTTCCTGTAAAAGGTGGATATGGTCACAGTGCTGCTTGGGATCCTGTGACTGAACGTATTCTTGTTTACGGTGGTTATGTGTCAATGAGCCCTCTACAATCAGCTTTATCTTCAAAACTATATGCCTATGATCCATATTCTAATACATGGTAATTGTATTAAACAAATGAAAATTATTCATGTTATTGGTTGAAGATATTTTTAATTAACTACTAGTATTAGGATAAGTTCAAATAATTTTGTAGATTTTTTTAATAGTTTATTGTTTTATATTTGTTTAAGAGGAAATGACTAAGTTCATACTATTTAATATTTATCATTAAAGCATTAAAAACATTAAAATTATTGGTACTTGTTAGTTATTGACCCAGTAATAAATTTATCGTCCCACCTCTCTTGTTTTGATATTGCCCCGCCAAACAGTATTAAATAAATAAATACAGAAAATAAAAGTATAAATAATAAATTTATTCTTAAAAATGGGATCCCAAAATATAATACCACATCTATATCATATAATTTTATTGATCTGAGCACAGGCGCACACACCTAAAATATTCAGTGGTTGTGTGATTCTGCTAAATAAGGAACTAAAAAGTGCTGTGGGAATCAAAAGAAATTTTTGGGAAACATATTTGGTAGAATTTATGTGGAGAAGAAGATGCGTTTGAAACTATATTAAAAGATATTTCTGAGTTTTAGCCTCCATTCTAGTTTATAATAATTATGATATATTTTTTAAATTTTACTTACATACAATATAATTTTAATAGTTTTTAATTGTTTACTATTATAATAAAGAATTTATTTAATTATTATTTATTTATATGTTTGGTGGGGCTATATCAAACAAGTATCAAATTATTAGTATGAAGTTTGTAAATAAAATATCATTTTTTCTTATATGTTGGTAAAAGTAAATTTAATTTAATTAAAAAAAAAAAAAACTAACTTAGATTTAGACATTCAAATAATTCTAGAACATATTTTAATTATTTAATGATAAAATAATTTAGACACATTTTAGTTCTTCAAGTTTTAAATCAGTTTTTATCAGACATGTAAATTTTTTTTATAGGTATTTAATGAGTAATGGTCCTAGTGGTAGGTTTTTACACAGTGGTTCAATGCTGAGTTCATCTGGTGGCTTAATGTTGATATATGGTGGAAACATACACAACGATACCGGAGTAAATTTTGTATCAAATTGGTCTGGTGGCCATTGTTATACTGCACAACCATTACTGTATGACACTTATTGTGATTCTTGGACGCACATGGCATTGCCTTCAAATTTGTTCACTAGTCTCATGAGATCTGGACATTCTGCCATAACATTTGAAAAGTCAACATATATTTACGGTGGTTTTAATGGCCAAATGTTAAATGATATACTAAAGTAAAAACAATTTATTTTTCATTATCTTTTCACTGTAATCTTACAGTGGTTTTTATATTTAGATTTTCTCCTGGAAATTGTTCATCAAATAATATGATGACTAATTGTTTAAATAGTCATCATTTTGGTGTTAAATGCATTTGGGATATTAAAAAAGCTATATGTATACCATTTTCTGAAATCGGACCCAGTAACGATATAGAAGCAACATACAAGTAATATTTTTGATCAACTAAAAATATATAGTGCAATACATTAAATATGATTTAAATTCCAAAAAAAAAAAATATATATATAGCCGTTGTCTAGAGGAAAGTAAGTCTCAAGTCAGAGGAATATATTTACAGTGCAGTCATCAAACTACCTGTGAATCATGTGTTCATACTCATCGTTGCGGCTGGTGCCCTTTGTTAAACATCTGTGTTCATGGTAATGAACAATGCACCGCGATGAACAGAGATGATATTCCATACCACAGTGACCGTGTAAGTACATATTGCTATATCATGTGTATCATCAAACTAATGCACTATATTTTTATTTTTGGGCTTAGCCTCATTAAATGTATTTTTAATTTTGGACTTAGCCACATTAAACATAAGCTAAAATAATATCAGGTATTCTGTAGGTTATATATTATAATAAAATAATAAATAGCAATATTTACAATGTGGTCAATCCTCAATGAGCCACACATTTTTTGAAATTTTTTTTAATAAAACTTATTATTAAATAAGTTTTAAAAACTATTTTGCACTAGAAAATTATTAGACACTTTTAAAGACACATTTAAAATTGTTTAAAATTAACTAATGAGAATGTTAATATTTTGTTTCCAGCCAATAACATCTGGTGATCAATGTACAAATGAAAATACTGATAATATGCGGTGTAGTTACCTTCACTCTTGTCAATCTTGCCTTACTCACACAGGATGTTATTGGAATACAAATTCTGAAATATCCGTGTGCGCACCAATTACAAATTCAACTATATCATATGATAATAAAGTTAGTATTTTTTTTTAATCCATAAACATTTAAAACAAAAATATTAATTGTTAGATAATCTGTTCTAGTCGCCTGATGTATGTGAAAGCGCTTGCGATCATTATACAGAGTGCACGAATTGTACAAAAGACGAATGCATTTGGTGCCAAAACAATGAACGGTGTATTGACAAAAATGCTTACACATCTTCATTCCCTTATGGTCAATGCAGAGAATGGACAACAGATGAGCATCGTTGTCGAGCTTCACCTGGTAAGTAATCAAATTTCATTACTGATTGTTGTCAAAATTATTTGTCCGAAAAAAATATACAAATTTTAAGCTCTAAGAGCTTCTTAAGATAATTTTTTTTGTCCTCCTTTAACCTATAACCTTCTATAATAAAGTTTCTAATTTAAAATACATTAGTTTTGCATTGTTTATATAATGCATTTGATAATCAAATATGAGTCATTTTATATTAACTATTAATATTAATGTATTAATATAATATTATTATAAATTTAAATTATTAAATTTACCATAATTAAAGTTGTTGTATGCTTTATTTTAATAACATATTTACTACATCAACTGACAACTGGATCATAACATGTAGTTACATAAATTTAATTTATCAAGAGTAAAAACTATAATTAACTTTTTTATTCTTTTCAATTGTTTACATTTAAAAATTGTTTAGGTATTGAACATAGTGAATTTCCAGTTATAATGTAAAGTCATAAAATTATTTTACCAAAATAATAATATTTTCATAAGGAATAAATTTTTTTTAAAAAACTTACTAGATCATAAATTTCAATAAAATACACGGAAATAGAACGAACATCAAGTACTATCAATAAAACAAAATATTGTTTGACGTACAGTAAGGAAGTGTTTTCCACTTTTGCTGTCAGTTAAACTAAGAAAAAAATATAAAAGGTTTGCCGTTTATCGGGAATGTTCCAAATATAATCTATGTTTATTGAGTTTATAGGAAAATAAGCAGGTACAGCCCATGCATTTATAACTACGTATATTCAATATTTCAGTATATCACAGATTAAATGAAACCAGATTGTGCATTCTATGAATATCGAGAAAAAAAAATAAATTACTAAGTTTTTACTCTTGATAAATCTAATTTATGTAACCACATGTCGCCCAGTTTTCAGTTGATGTAGTAAATATGTTATTAAAATAAAACATAAAATAACTTTAATCATTGTAAACTTAATAACTTCAATTTTTTTATAAAAAGTGTTTTTGTTTTTCCAATTTAAGTCATCTAAATTGTGTTCCGAGCATTCCTCGACAAGGTATTACATTGCCTGAGCCATTCATTCTACCTCGCATGATTTTATGTTTGTTAGGTTCCACTTTTTCATTAGGTAATTAGACCTTCCTTACCTATAATGAAAGCAGTTAAGTCTCGATCACGCTCTCCTTGGAATCTTAAGACCTGGTTCCTCTTCAAGTTTGTTGTTATGAGGTCTTTACATATTCCATTTTTTTTTTATTATTCCTTAATGGTATGTTGTATGCTAGTATTATTCGGCCAGCCAGGATTCCATGATTTCAGTCTCATTGATATCATTATAAATTGGTATATTAGGTTTTGATGTATTTCCCATTCCCTCCTAAGGAAATCTGCTCGTCTGATATATGATAGTTGATATAGTATGACCCATAATCAATGATCAAACAATTTTCAAAGATGCGCCATTCTCAAATCATAGATTTTCAGGATATTTTAACCAAATTTAAGAAAACTGAAAAAATGTATAAATAACAGAAAGAAAGTGGTATTTAATGCTTGATAAACTTTTTTTTTTCCCATATAAAGTATCCTCTTGATAATTTCCATGCAAGAAAAATATTATAAGTCAATTCTTTATGCTTTATCCAATAAAAATTCAGAATAAACTAAATAAATAAAATAAAATGTATATTAAATTGAAAACTTTACCTCGTTATAGGAAAATGAAAAAATTGTCTGGGCTAGGAAGCCTAACATTTTTATTTTTTTTCGAACAAAGTTAGGGGGGTCAAAAATCACCCATCACCTAATTAAGAACCACCCTAATATAATATTAATAAAACAGTTGATATATTTTCAGGACACTCTCAGTGTAGTTACTTTAAGACTTGTGTAAATTGTCGAGATGATCCTGAGTGTGGTTGGTGTGACGACGGGTCGGGTACTGGTTTGGGTTCATGTATGGCAGGAGGTAATACACCCCCCCAGTCATGTTCTAACAATAAATGGTATTTTACACATTGTCCGAGTAAGTATATATTATATTTTTTTTAATTATTAAGTTTCTCCATTTGTTGTAACTAAGTTTTATAATTTTTATCAAAATAAATTACTGTAAAGGAATAATCCGTTTCACTTGATAGATTTGATTTTTTTGAATCCAAACTGTATAATATTTAAAAACTTTTATTATACCTTTAATTTTTGTTTTTTTTTTTGTAATTTTTATGTGGCGTAAATAAATTATTATTAAAATTTATTAAACAACCATATAATACAATAAAAGTAGGAAACATTTTTGGTCATTTTAAGATATTTAATGTTTATTTAATAACATGTAAATGTGTGTGGGAATATCCTATTTTTTTTTAATAGTTTTCTCTAGACAAAAAACAAAAACTGTTACTATCACTTTCTTTAAAGATATTACAATTTATTTTATTATAAAAAAAAAATCCATTTGGACCATTTTTATGAATTAAATTAATTAATAGAATACTATCAAAACAATATGTAATCATTATTACAATAAATGGAACTTGTATGATAATAGTTTATTAATTGGGTATTTTTTCAATTATATTTAACAAGCATTTGTTTGATAATTACATAGCTTGTCAGTGCAATGGCCACAGCACTTGTATGAATAATACTGATGTGTGTATACACCCATGTTTAAATAACACTGAAGGCCAAAACTGCGAGACTTGTATCAAGGGATTTTATGGAACTCCGGTCAACGGTGGCGAATGTAAAGGTAATATAATATGTTTACAAATAATTTTGTTATATTAATATTATGAATTCTTGTGAGATTAACTGTAACTTATTTTTTTTTTATAGAATGCCGGTGTAACAACCAAGGGAATCAGTGTAATCCAGAAAATGGCAAATGCTATTGTACCACAAAAGGAATAATTGGAGACAATTGTGAAAAATGTGATACTAACAACCATTATCTAGGAGATCCATCCAATCACGGTTCCTGTTTTTGTAAGTATAACTTTCACTAACATTCTAATAGACCATAATCCTGAAAATTAGAAAAGTTTATTCATATATAGGTATTTTACTTTTAAATATAATAAATAAATATATAAATAAACAATTTATACATAAAAATAAAAAATAAATTAATGATTGAATGCGTCGCCTGGAGTATTATGATAAGTTTATTATTACAACCATTTTCGAATTAAAAATTCATCATCAAGTATATCACAGTCAAAATGTAAAATGTGACTGAATATAAAAAATTAGATGAAGGAATACATAGAACATTTTTTATAAATTGGTCATTTTACAAGAAATATTAATTTTAATAGGAGAGATTATTTAAAATGGGATATTATTAGTTATAAATATGATAAGAAATATAAATTATTTGGTTATCATTTATTATTTAAAATATTATTAAAATTATTTTATTTTATTTCATTGTATATATGTAATTCTCCTAAAAGTGAATTAATGTATATGTTATTTTGGGTATTTAATATCTCTAAATCTGTATTAATATCAAAACTTATATTATGGTTATTTTCTAAAACATGTTTATCAAAATTTGAATTAGGGGCAGTCATTTTTAGTTTTATTTCAGAAATGTGTTCATTATATTTTTTTTTTAAATTTCTATTTGTCTTACCTATATAAAATTGATTACAAGTTTATAATATATATACCAGCATTTTTTTAAAAAGGAGGAATTTTTGTGAAGTTTTTATGCTCAATTAAATTATTATTAGTCTTAAAAGCGATTTTTACATTATTTGTATTATTGTTCAGAAAATTAGTGAATTTGTTAGACATATTATTTTGATATTTCATACTAAAATAGTTAACAATATTATTTGGTGAGTAGTGTATTTTTTTTTCTTTAATAAGTTTATGAATTTTTTTAATATTATTTAAATTGAAATTATTTCAATGAGCTATATTAACGATAATATTGAGCTTGTGTTGATTATTATGTTTATTTAATGGAATATGTTCAAGCTTATGTAATATTGAATTAAATAATGATTTTTTTTAGAATAAGGGTGATTAGAATCATGTGTGGTATTATAGCATCAGTTTGTGTTGTTTTCTCTGTAAATACTAAAATCAAATTTATTGTTGATTATGTAAACTGTAAGTTCTAAGAAATTTTCTTTATTATTCATTTGTGTTTCAAGTGTAAATTGAATGTTATTAATTATTTTGTTTAAGTAGTTAACTAAATATTTTGCTTGTCTATTTGAACCTCTAAATAAAATGAACATGTCATTAACATATCTATAATATGCTTTTATGGACTGTATATTTTATTCTTAATAATATTATTGGTTTCATAATTTTGCGTGTCAATTTCAGATATAAGAGCACTTAAAAGACTAACCCATCTTTTTGTAAATTTAATTTATTATTATATTGGAAATAGTTTTGATTATTAATTACATTTATTGATTGAATAGTTTATTTTGTATTAAATTTATTACTATTTATAGTTATAGGTTTATTTTTTAAAAAATGTACTGTTCCGTGTTTAGGAATGGATGTATAAATATTTTTAACATCAAGAGAAATCATTTTATACCCTGGCTCAATATTAACTTTATTAATTTTATCAAAAAAATCATAAGTGTTTTTTTATAAAAGTATTAGTATTCATGTTTACTACTCTAGGCAGCACGTTCATTTATTTTTTAATTTGTATGTATACATTTTTAATAATATATTTGTTTAGTATATTTATTTACTTTTACCATTTTAATAATTTTGTTTTAATTTAATTATTTTATCATTTATTATACTTTTATTTATCTTTGTTGATAACTCAGGTTGTGAATTTAATAAATGCTTAATCATTTAATTCCCTAAAAAATTGTGAAATTTGTGCATAAAATGGCTGGGCAATTTGGCATGAGGGTGGACTACTGTTATAGGTGAGAAGTTAGGTAGGTAGTAGAGGGTAAATTTAATGTATATCTGTAATCAACAATAAGCTATTACTTACGGAAAAATGATTCTGAATGGAGTTCAGTTGAAAGTGTTGCTTTGTTAACAATATATATGTCATTTTATGGTACAATAGTTACATAGGCATTATATTATATTTTCTTTAATAATATTTGTTTAATATTGTACCTATTTTCCTATGTTTTTTCCAATTTGTTTTGAGAAAACTCCTTGGAAAATTGAAAAATTACCCTTTTCTGGAAAATCTGATAAAGGAGGTACTTTACCTCCTTTATCAGATTTTCTTTAAAAAAAAATTGCTATCATTGTAAATCTGTGCGAGATATCTGGTAGAAAAGTTATCCACAGAAAAAATAAATGTCTTTATAAAACCATAATTTCTTTGATCCGCTCAGAATCTACAATAGTAGGGGTAAAGGTTGAAAGTTAAAATTCCCAAAAGGCTTATCCTTGAAATTAAATGTAATACATATGCTGTTCAATGATTTTTTTTTTTTAGTTTGTTTTATATTTTTTAATGCATAAAATTCACAGACATACTTATTACTAACATAATAGATGTTAGTTTTTACTAGTATTTACTGGAATTCAATTTGGTAGTCGAGTCTACTACATTAAACCATAGCCATTAATGTTTATGTAATATTCAAAAGTATAGATCACTACTTTTAGATTTTTCAAAAATTGTATGGAAATAATTTTTAATTCTTTAATTTCTTTTTGCCTTGATATTAAATCAAAATTAATTGTATTGATGCTTTAGTAATAATTTTATTTAGACTGAACATTTTTAAAATATATATTTATTAATTATATACTTTTTTAGATGCATAATTAAGAATTTAGTTAATGAGATAATATAATAAATTAGCTTTGATAATATCAGTAGTAGTATTAGTATTTGAGATGTAAGAAAGCAGTATGTCCTTTGTCTTGTCGTCTACCAGATTTTATCAACTACTTTATCTCAAAAATGTGCTATTATTATTTTTTTTTTATGCAGATGATCTGACTATAGACTATCAATTCACATTCAACCTATCAAAAAAAGATGATTTGAGATTCACCCAAATAAATTTCCAGAATTCACCTTCAAAGTCGGATGTAGATGCTGATTTTACTATCACCTGTTCAGTGATGGCCAAAATGAACATTACCGTAAAACCAGGTATATAATGCACATATTATGTAAACATATAAATGTGTGTTAGTATTTGCCTGTACAATATGTTTTGTGTTATTGTATGTATAGCATATGGACAAGAAAAGATGTTGTTGCCATTGCAAAACTGCACAAACTTCAAGACCAAGTTTTTGAAATCTGAATATATGTTTGGCACTGACAGCAATATCTCCCTAACCACGTTTTATGTTTATGTTTATGATTTCAAGCCCCCACTTTGGATACAGATATCATTTTCTCAATATCCAAAATTGAATCTCCAACAATTTTTCATCACATTCTCATCGTAAGTAATCACTTTCAGCATTTTTTTTTTTTTTTTTGTTGTTTTTATTGCATTTAAAATATTATTGAATACAATTACTAAAAATATGGTTTTGAAAATAATATATTTTGTGCTCACTTAAACCTTTATAAAGACCTATCATTATAAAAATTATATTATGGTTATAAGGTTTATTTGATGTTATTTAAAAAATATATACATAATATATTCAATAATACGGAATAATAATGGTTTGTAGAATATAAAATACAAACATGATTATTATGCCAATTATAAAAAAAAAAAAATTTATATTTATCTTGTAGTATTTAAGAGAATAATTTCCAATAATAAATAATTTTTTTTTAAGAAAATTGTACACTTTGAATATATTATCTTTGTTATTACAAATTAGTTTTATACATTGTATAAATTATATTCATGTTAAATATCACTAGCTGTACTGAAAACATATTTTGAAAAATAATCAATTCATCTGTAGATATTGAAAATCAATGTAATTATTTTTAAATGAGGGTGGATCCAATATTATAAATTATCATATTTTAGAATTTATTGATGTATTTATTCAGTAATACCTCACTGCTAATCAAATTATGATTTTTTTTTATATTATAGGCCATAAATAAAAAAGATTTCAAAAACATATAGAGTAATATACGGGGTGATCAATCTATTATAAGACACTTATTATTTAGGAAAGTATTAATTTTTTCTGGAATTTATTTTCTAGAACATTTTTTAAGAAAAAAGCTGCTCTACAATTTTATATTTATGTTATTTTTTGTTACTTTTATTTTTAGGGGTAAAACCACTACTTACTTTTGATTTTCAAATGGCAACCTTTATAAAAAATTCCATAAATAAAAAAAGTATTAGTTAAAATAAATTTTGGCGTTGAAATTTTTGATTTCCGTTCATCCGTTGACGAGATATTCCACTTTTAAACTTGGATAGGAGGAGAGTAGTGGTGCATTGCTAACCGTATCGCCACACAAATGATACTCCACTACTCTCCTTCAATCCAAACTTAAAAGTGGAATATCTTGCCAATGGACTGACAGAAATCAAAAATTTCAACACTAAAATTAGTTTTAAATAATAATAATATAGTTTGCTCTTTTAAAATTAAAAGTACATAGTGGTTTTACTCCCAAAAATAAGGGTGACAAAAAATAACATAAATATGAAATTGTAGAGCAGCTTGTTTCTTAAATATTCTAGAATATCAGTGGTTCTCAACCTTTTTTGTATGACAAAACACTTATTTTGATCCATAAAAATCATGACACACTTAAAACAATTAATGAAACACACAACACTCATGGTAATTACGACTGAGGCCATGCTTATTTTCTTATAAATAAACAACTTTTTTGGCAACACACATCACAGTTACACAGTTACACGCTACACACTGGTTGAAACCACTCTCTTTTAAAAAACAAACTCTGGAAAAAGTGAATACTTTCTATGATAACGAGTGTCTTATTATGGATTGATCACCCAGTACACTGGACAACGCTGACAATGAAAAACAATTAAAACCTATTGAAAACAAATTTTTATGTCTTTAAGGCGGCAATACATAGAGAATCTCTTAGATATATAATATTTTTATTTTTATTATTTCAATAGGTTATTTATCTTCCCAAAAGAATTTTCCATAAGATAATATCATTATAAAATTAGTTTTTTGCTCTACTTAAAATCAATAATAGAATAGTAACATTAATTTTATGATCTAAAAATCAATTTTGTTTAAATCAATCACTAAATAAACAATATGATAAGATTATAAGTTATAAAGTTGATTAATTATAATAAATTAACATGTATAATTTTAAAGTTTTAGATATTGGTGAATATTTAATTAACAACATCTTATACAATTTAGCTAAAAATATCATTTGAGTATTAATTTGAAATGCCATTTAAGATACTTAAAATTTGATCATATTATTTAGTATAATCATTAAAATAATAAAATATGTATTTGCTGCCTTTCACTTCAATTTCGTAATAAGTTACAAATTGTGTAAAAATTGAATCATTTCTAGCCAACTGTTTTTTTTAATTAAATTTAAATATGTTTATTTTTATTAATTAATATGATGGCATACAAATAGAATAATTATGATTTAAGAATATACCACAAAATATCACTTTTTCTGACCATCTGATTATTTTTATACTTAAGCATGACACTAATTTCAAACTTAGATTCTTCTTTTTTTTTCAGGGCCTCACAAGGAATGTACTCTTCTTCTACTACATTATCTACTATCACATAACCAACATAATTATGATTTTTTTATTTCTTATTAATTGTTTATTTACATTAAGAACTAAATTAACCATCACAAAATAGTTTAATAACATATTATAGTTTTCTTATTCTTAACAATTTGTCTTCTCTTCTTGCTTAATAACTTTTACTTTTTACATTTAAAATTGTCAATTTTTCTTCTTGTACATTCCACTATTGAAAATGATTTGAATAAACTTTCATTTTATTATTTTTTTTTAATTTTAGACAACAGTATTGATTTTACTATGATATTTACTTTTTTTTTTATGTGAACAACTTTTCTCCTAGAAATTTTGCTCAAATTTTCAAATGTAGCACTTTTTTCAAAAGAGGTCATTTTTTGATTATGCCAGGAGTTTTCATAATAAATGTAGAAAAACTTTGGAAAATCAAAAAAAATTATGAAATATATTATTTTAAAGTCGTAAATATTAAGACCTTTTCAAAATATATATAAGTGAACTCTACTCAAAGCTTTTTTCATTTAATTGAATCTTGATTAATCTTTGCGTACAGATATATATTAAATTTCTTCACCTTTTCAACTTCTCACTTAGAATAGTGGCCCACTCATCATGTAAAGTATATCCGTTTTTTTTTTATACATACTTCCTCCACTATTGACAATAGCATAATTTAAGTAACAAACATCATATCTGTTTAATGATCAATTACTGCTGTGTTCATAACTTACTTAATTAAATAGGTTAAACCAGAATATATACGTAATTACTTATTTATTCAATAATAAAAGCATTATCTCCAAAAACCATTCATAGTAAATTCTAAAACTTAAAACATTTAATTACTATACAATTTAATATCTCAGTTTTCTGCATCAGAAGATATTATAGTTTTGATACCTAATTTACAGCTTAACAAAATGTTTATATTTTTATATTACTCTTGGAAATGTTATTAATTAACTTTATAACTTTAAATACTAACCATACTTATAAGCTATTCAACTTTATACTAAACTTATTTATTATTGTTATACATAATTGAGTGTTCATAGTTTTAATAAATATTGTAAAATTGAATTATTCTACCGATGTATGTTGGTTAAACTTTGGGTTATTCATCCTGCCTTTATATTTAAATTATTTAGACATTTTTTGTATAATGACAACTATCAATTAATTAATTCAAATTTAATACAAATCAATCATACAATTATATTTTGATGATAAATTTAAGAACAATAATCAAAATTATATAGACCAAAATCATATTCTATATAAAAAAGAAAAACTTTTGTGCCCGAACCCCACAAATCAGTTAGTTTTTAGTTATATTGGACTAAACAACTTATTTTTCATATTTGATTAAATTAAATTTAGCAACCATACATCATACAATTCAACTTATGAATGGACTAAGCGAACTATACTTAATACTTACTATATGATAACATCTAAACTGTAATTCCATTATCAATATTTTTAAGAGTAAACAGGATTAAAATTATGGAGAATGGAGTGAGATTAGTCTGATTTGGTACTCAAAGTCTCATACAATAGTGATGATAGAAATGAAAAAAATGCATGGTTCATACATCATCATACTTAATATTATATATATATATATATATTTTTTTTAAAAAGAATGATCATTTGTGTTAAGTCATAATAGTACAAAATATGATTTTAAGACATATCAATTGTCTAGTATTTAAAAAAAACCTAATGTTTCTCCCTAGTTTTATATCAAATCTAATGACTTCAGATAAAAATTTAAAGTGAGATTGGAAGATATGATTGAAAGCAACATTTTTATGTAACATTAATATTTGTCCTTGATTTATAATTAGAGAAACAAAACTTTATATTTTTAGTGGAGCTATAGTAATATAGAAGAGAATAATAAGAATACTTGAAAACCACCATAATAATAATTAAAATACAAGTTCTTTAAATCAAGATACCATCTTTAAAATTTGTTGAATGACAGATTAATTATTGAAATTTATTATTTATAATATTTTGGCAAATTATGTTGTGTTGTTACAGATGCTTTTTGTTACTGTTATTGGTGGCTGCTATTTTATGGAAAATAAAACAAAAATATGATACATTTCGAAGGAGACAGGTAGATTATTTTGTAATTTATAATAGTGCTTGAAAGTGAGATTTGTTTGTTATATACTTATTGGTAAAATCTATTTTGAATTTTTAAAATCAGAGCATTATCCCAGAATGAAATCAAGTTTATTGTTTTAATATTTTTGTTTGTGTAGCGAATGTTTGTAGAAATGGAACAGATGGCCAGTAGACCGTTTTCTGTGGTGGAAGTAGAAATTGAAAAACGCAACACCGTCCATGGTAACCAGATACCAACCATTTCTGTTTCAAACAACTTGAGAAAACGCAAAATCGTGAGTATGCCACATACTAATTGTTATTGGTTGAAATTCATGTATCATAAATTAATTATTAAATTCTCCAAATTACTGTAAGGTATGATGAAAATATTATTATCTAATAATCATATGTTCATAGGATGTACCGAATCCTGTGGCATTAGAGCCATGTGCTGGTAACAAAGCAGCTGTGCTCACATTGTTGGTTCGACAGCCAACCGGTAACGATAGGTTCACGCCACATGATAATTCAGGTATATGAGTATATTAATATGCATCTTTTCTTTTTCAACAACTTTTTTTTCCCAATATCACGAGAAGGACATCTGATAAAATAAAATTCTGGACGCCCTTATATATATTATGTATTTAAATTTTTTATATTATTTTATACATTACATGACTTTTTATTTGTTGATTTTCGTCAGGTCTAGCGATAGCGTCAGCCCTGGTTGTGATCGGCAATATTCAGCAGACCAAGACAAACGGAATTGAAATTGGCACATCTCCAATGCGCGGTAAAGAAGACATTCGCTGGACTGGCAGAGGTCTGAAAGCCAGTCAACATCCAAGCGAAGCACGCATTTAATAAATAAGACCACCACCATCACTCATCATACATACATACATACATACATACATACATACATACATACATACATACATACATACATACATATATATATATACATATATACATACATACATACTTATCTCTCTCATGTCTCTACTTTCCTTGTTGCAGTATTCAGTAATAATAATAGTCTAACCCAATAAGACTGATGAGATTGTGTATATACTTTTATAGTTATTATATGGTGCATTTATGTATTTATTAATGCTACTACTATTTCTACTATACAACTATTATGGTTCAGGGTTTTGGGAAGTCATTTGACTACAGTCGTAACAGTAATAATTTTACTAGTTGATGAGTAAAAATAAATGTAAACATTTGTTATTTCTATGCATTTAAAATTATATTCTTATAATTTTAAAAATCCAAAAGTAGTAGTGCACAAATCTATGTCCATATGGGGCAGTCAATCAAGAAATCCATCTCTGCTGCTACTGTATAATTTAACTTTTATAACAATGACTAAAAAACTACTACTTGAACCACAATTATAAGTAACAACCAAGTGATTTTTCCTTGAGTGCAGAAATATAATATGTCTTGTTTTGAATCCTTTTTATTTTTTATTACTATAACTACACAGTGTCCCACAAACTTACTATTTTAGCAGGTCAGATTTTAAAATGGCAAATTCTCATGAGACACTGTTTGATTCTCTCATTAAATGGCGATTTTGTCTTCTTGATTATATTGATTCGTCCCTTCTCCTAATCATCATCGTCACTTACGTTACTATTTTAATTTTACGCTGCTCAAAAAAACTCAATCGATGTGTGGCGGTGGCCAAATGTGTACAATTTTCTCCTCGCACTCATAAACATTCCTATATATATTAATATTGTTCCCGACCGAATAGCACTTACCCATGTTAACCTTCTAATATACTATTATTAATTTTGTATTTTAGCACCGAAATAGTATTATAAATAATAATGATTCCTTGGTATTGAAAAAAACATTGTCTCAAATTCAATACAACATGGTTCTATTGTTGATCTTATTTTTTATTTATGATTTCCATTACCACATTAATGTCGTTTATTAGGAATGGGACCAAATTCATAATCACCCGCCTCGGTGGGTGTTTCTGATATAACACACATATAATTTCTCATTAGGCAGTATACTACGTTATGATAAACATATTAAAAATAACTATTATTTAATATAATATTATGTTATATTTGTATAAGAAAAAAGTGTATTATTTATAATATTTTCTGTGATTTAAGATAATATGCTTACTCGATTGTGAGCAGTTTCTTTTTTAGTGTTGATGAATTTTGTATGTATAGGCGGTTAATTCTCCAAAATAATACTGCTAATTATTATTAATTACTACAGTTATATTATAATACTATTTAGTTTATAAAATTAAATAAATTATTATTATATTATTAAACATATATATATATATATATATATATATATATATATATATATATATATATATATAAATATATATATCATTAGTTAATAATGTTAATTTTAGTTTTAAATTATTTTTAAATATCCAATTTTTTTTTTATATTGTATTTGTCTGTTAAAAACCTATTAAATTATATTTCTTTTTTTTAACGTTATATCTGTTTTATCTTTTAATAAAGTGATATTACCTGTTATCTTAATTGTGTTTTCATATAAGTAAATGAAAACTGGATAGGATATAAATTACAGAGTATCATATGTATTTATTATACAATATGACTGAATAAAACAATGAATCCTCAAACTCAGAAAAGTGATGTAAGTAATCAATATTAGCAATTTAAAAATAACTACTATATTTTAATATTTTATAAAATCTGTTTAATAAATTACAGTATTGGATTGTATTATACCCAAAAAAAATTAAAAGAAAATTTGTTTGCTAGTGTAATCATCAAGGTTTGGGATTTTACACATTTGTTGATTCTTTTGGCTTAACATAAAATATAGCAGAGAATTGTTATGAAACTCATGTTATGTTACAATGATCTCAAATGTTAAATTTGAAAATGTTTTTTTAGCTCATTTTGATTGTTTTTAAACAAATTGCTAATTTCTAGATTTTTTTTGTATTTTCGCAAATTTCTATTTAATTAGGATATGTGTCAATGACAAAAACCTAGACATTTTAGTTAATTTCAGTTATTTTTGTCCATGGTAAAGCTAGAACAAAAAATAATTTTACAACACTTTTTTTGATAAAATTATGTAATCAATTTTTGTTTGGAATTTATTTTCAATGAAGTTCAAAAGTGTTACATAGCACATCATTCCCATACTCTTTAATTATTGAATCCCAAGTCATGTCAAATCAGACATATTGGGTATTTAACAAATAATTCCAGGTATATCATTCAATTAATTTAAATAATTGAGTTATCTTAACCCTCTATTGGTCGCATTGAAAATATCATCGTCATTATGACTGTAAAAAGTAGTCACACACAGTCCTCATGACATATAATAATGGAAAATAACTTTTAAGTAATAAATTATAAAATACTAGCTGTCCCACTCATGGTGTAGCCAAATTTTTATATTATTATTTTACCAATTTTCATATCAGAATTGAGTAAAAACAAATATGTGGAAAGTGGGTAGTCCACCTTCAGCAGACTAAATGTAATCTATTGTGAAATTTTAAGTGTAAATAATAGTAATAATGGTTCTTTTCCATGGAAACCAAATTATCATTAGTGACACCAAGGTAACCATAAAATAAACAAAAATAAATAAATAAGCAATTAGATATTCATATCAAATATCCTTAAAAACCCCTATTTTCCCCTAGGGGTTGAATTTTCAAAAATCATTTCTTTGCAGATGCCTACATCATAATAGCTATCTGGGTGCCAAATTTCAGCCAGATTCGTTCAGTGGTTTACACTAGGTGATGATTAATCAATCAGATCATGTTATTTCATATATATAGATTTATACATCGAAATTGTCAGTATATGTAAATAAGGTACTATAAATTACAAAATAAAACTACAATTAAAAAAATTTAAAAATCAAAATTACAGAGCTATTGGTCTTTTAGACAACTATACAACCAACAAAGGGGCAAATGAAACAATATTCCTTTTTAATCACCTTATTCATTTTGTTGCTAGTAATATATTCTTGGCTCAAATTACCTTAAAAAAAAAATGCTCCAAGTTGACAAATTGAACAGTAGTCAAAATGACAAAAATGTATAAAGAATTCTTATAACAGTATAGACTCAACAAAGAGAAAATATCCAAGGTCATTGAAAATACATTATAGTATAACCTTCAAATTATTTATCTAGTAAAAAAAAAAATAACAGTATTGTCTAATTTGTATTATTTGGCTAAATGTAGAAATAACTTAGTGCTTGAGTAATTTATGTAAGTTTCGAAAGAACAAACTTTGTACCAAACTTTTTAGTACAACACAAAAATATTAAAATGTTAGTTATAAAGGAAATATATAACACCTAAATGACCAAGAATTGTAATCTAATATCAATCTGAAAAGTAAATTATTCTATCATGACATTAATATAAAATTTATATTTGTGATTAGAGAATCAATGTTCTTGTATTAAAGTTTTTTTTATATATAATTATAAAATTTAAATAATGTAAAATGCTGTGTAGTCAGAGAAGAAAATTTATGTATTAATCTGAAAAATTGTATTTACATTAACAGGAAGGAAATGATAATTCATTTTACAGAAGATCGTGTATGTTAAACGTGCTTATTTATTATTGGACCTCATTATCAGTCTAAAGCATAAACAATGATAATTCTCTCCCTTAAAACGTGTATCCTAGTTTTACATTGTTAAGTCCATGATTGCATTGACAATATCATTGTTGTTTCTAAGTAGTGCTTCAATGGCTTTACGCTTGGTCACTTGTGCTTGCGCACAAACGAGGTCCACGTCCTTTTCTTCTACACCCTTGTAATCAATCTCTCCATCTTCTTCTTCTTCTTCTTGGATCGGTTGACTGACCATCGGCCTAGTTGCATTCTCTTTGTCTAATAAACTTGGCATCATATCAGCTGACTTGAATTTTTCAGCAGCCGCAACTTGTGCTTGCTGGCTCAAATCTTCAATCTTAGCTTCACCAAATATAATGTACGTGTCAGAGGCCGGATTCTTGAAAACATCTGGGTTGTTGATAACAAACAGAATGTTTTTTGATTTACGAATAGTTACTCGGTTTACTCCATGGATCTATAAAATGAAAACAAGTGTTACAATATTTTTACATATGCGTGCAATAATTATCTAGGTACATACCTGTTTAAGGCCCAATTTGGAAATAATTTTCCTGGCTTTTTTCTCACCCCTTGACTGTCTAGCTTTGTTGGACAAGTCTTCGGCGGTAACACCGCTAACCCCTTCGCCAGCTTTGTTAGCGGCCGCATCTGCACCACTCGAATCGCTATCACTGTCGGCAGCAGCATCTTTTTTAGGTTCCTCGAAACTAATTTTTTTTGTCGCATCAATTTCAGTTAATTCAGGCATGTTTCCTATAAAACCACAGACACACTCATATGAGTCAATATTCGGTTTTCTTAGATAGGTTAACCTATAAATGAAAAACGTCTTGAATTCTACTTACTTGAATTTTATGTGTGTACTCTGTACAAGTCGTATAATAAAAGAATGGACGGCGTAAAAATTTTGTGACAGCAAGGAAAACACCGGGAAAAAACGTGCAAAAATGTCTCTAAAGAGTATATTGAAAACTTCACACGAGCAGCGGCTGAACAAAAAAAAAAATTATGTACAGTGTGACCACGTGTGATAATGTAAAAAGTCTTTTTGGTTTTAAAAACCATAATCTTGTTGGTAAAAACGACAAGTGCCAAAGTGCGCGCCAATCGCAAGTGTAGAACAGTTTTAATATATTAACGCCGTGAAAAACGACAGATCAATAACTATTAACTATAGAATAAAGCTTACGTTATTGACGTCTAGACAAAATTAGCAATCACTACACTTCTTGTATTATGGTGTATGATTGGAAGTTGTGGGTTGATTGGGATAAGTAGCGCCAAACTGTATTGTGAAAAACTGTTAAATTCAAGTAATTTATGTAGGATTCATCAGTATTTACGGATTATTAACAATTCCCGATCGTAAGTATCCGAATATCCAAATACAGCAGAGTATTGTCTTAAACTTATCGTTCACATCATTTTCAATATGCAATAATATTTGTACCAACATACTTAACTTATAGTTAATAGTCATTCTTCGCACTCGTATTGGATCTCATAGTCTTACAAGTTATTTCACGAAAATGTAGTTACTGATCAACTACCTATAAAGAGTAATAATATCACTAGTTAGTATTATTGCCTAATACCTTTATATATAATACCTAAGCACTCCACATCGTTATTTCTCTAATTTCGCTCGTTCTTATAATATATCTTTTACAATTACTTCCAGACATCTTCTCTTTTTTCTTCTATAGGAATCAACTTCTTCCATCTTCACTTAACTTACCTATCTTTTTGATCATTTTTCATTCAATATTTCAAGATTGGTTCCTCTTATTCTATCTGCAATAGCTGCAGCCAATATAAGCTATATAGCGTATTATACTTATATTATCAACTACCTACTTATTTTATATTTTATCTCTAATATCCTATAATGCACATCCAGCTTGAATTCTCATTTTGCTACTTCAATTTAATGTCCAACATTTGGACCCATAGGTGGGTGCATCATCCCCAAACGTGACATAAAACATTTCTTTCATGACAACACTCCCTGTATCACATCCATTTAAAAGATAATTTCATCTGGTTACTTTATATACTCAGATACATGTTTATAATATGGGTAGGTAATTATATAGGTATGTCCGGTATGTCTATGCCGAAATGATATATGTAGAGGAAAAGAAAATATTCATCGGAGGTACAGTGTCTGCGGTAACCAACAACGTGTCTGTAAATGTTTCCAAACATCAAAAGCTGCCACACGATTTCACAGTTATTGATCGTCAAATAGTCCGCATTGTTGGAACTGGTGATCGCATGGACGCGACAGTCTCTCAAACTTATTTGGATACCAAGTCCGATGTTACCCAAGTAAAACACTATACCTAAACACTTACTACCTGCAACTAGTTACTAGAATATATAAAAAAAACCTCCAATATTGTACATATTTAACAAATTTTATTACAAAATTTAAAACTTGCTTATTGTAGAGATCTGTCTTAAAAGATTGTATACAATGACATCTAATGAATATAAATTAACTGAATCTCTTTTTTCAGAATTTAGTATTATATTTTTAACTGCCAACAACCATAATTCTGGTTGAAATGGACATGTTCAATATTGCACAGATAAAACTGTTTTAGCATAAGATTTATATAAATTTAAAATACTACATGTATTGTATAGTATGTCAATGTTAGAATTAAAGGGTCATCATAGCATTTCATTTTAACTAATACATATCTTGGCAAACTAATTCAAAATGGATTATTAGGCTGGAGACATCAGAGTTAAATGAATTGAGATAGTTCTAAAAATGGTTTTTTTTAAGCCCAAAGCTTTGTAAGAAACAAATATAAACTTTAATTAAACTTTATAGAGTAGTTAATTTAATATAAACCAAAACTTCAATAACCTTACTATTCTGTTAATACTTTATATCTTTTATTGTATATTACATTATATTCTATTAGTGTTATATGTAAACCACATGATAAATTAATTAATTAATCTTGATTTTTAGTAAATAGTATGAAATAATTCCTGTAGGTTTACTAATCTAATATAAGTATTTCAAGATAGAAAACTTAAATTATAAACCAGATATAAAATAACATAAAAATTGGTAAGTGATCAATATTTTTAAATGAACTTCTTAAAATGAAGAGATAATTAAAAACACTGAAAGGTAAATTATGCAAATTACACCTCTCCATTATGTTATACCATAAATTAATAATCAGAGTTCCGTTGAATTGTTTAGTTCCAGAAAGAAATGTATTAGATAACTTGTATTATAGGTACTATGGTGTACACTTGGATACATAAATTGTCTGGTAGTTACCAGTTCAGAAGGTGTAATCATTTATGATTGTGATCAACAATTCAAACGCATATTCTTTCACAATTGTGAAGATAAAAACATGAAAGAGAAATATGCCAAAGGGATAGCTACATTTGAATGTACTTATTTATGTGTTGGTATGTGGGTAATTAGCTTCAGTATAAAAAATTACAATTTTTAAAAATTATTGTACTCATATATATTCAGGAAACAGTAACGGAACTATCAGGACTTTTGGTCCTGATGAAGACGGTCAAGTAGTATTTTTGGACCGTAAATTGATTCATGGAGCACCTATTACAGATATGTCAGCATATAAACAGAACTTGGTATCGTGTGATGAGTCCGGTTGTACAGTACTTTCCAAACTTGATAGTGGAGAACTTATGATTATAGCTAGGTCTAAAATATTTGAAGGGTTGGTAAAAGATAATGAAAAATAAGAACTCTTTTATTTTTAAAAAACATTGATAGCCTGACATTAACTTATGTTTTTAGACAACCGTGTACTACTACAGAAATAACAAGAACTGGATTAATAACTGTAGGTTATGGATGTGGAAGAATTAGAATATTTGATCAAACTATAAGAGTAGCAAATAATGATGCTGAAGATCATTTTCCAATGATAATTCAGGTATCTGCACATGCTCGCAGTATAACGTCCATGTCTGCTGCAAAAGATACAGATTTGTTATTAACTGTATCTGAAGACTCGTGGATAAGAGTTTGGAAACTTAACTCTACAGTAATTGCCGATGAATTATTTTGTTTGGAACTTATATTTTATGATAAATTTCAAAATTTTAGACAATTACATTAGCATATTGTTATACAAAAGAGGATACACTGTTTATGGGATGTCAATTTATCACCAGAAATGGATCAAAGTTTTGTACAACAGCATATGATTCATCTTACATTACATGTTATGCATTAAATCAGTTGAAGGATATGTAATTTTATATTTAAGAAAATAACAAATTAATTATGATGTAAAAAATTCGATTCAAAACAAGACATTGTATTATTTTATTGTATAAAGGTGGATCTTAAATTATATTTATATAAAAAAAAAGATAATATCAGAAATAAAACCGTAGTTTTAGTTGCTTCAATATTTTCTGGATGCATTTAAACACAATTAGATAGGATTCTTAAATATAAGTTTAAATCATCTACTATTAATTATAGAATGAGGTCCGACTAAATAAAGTTGAAATTAAAAAAAACTTAATTGTTAAATAAATTAACACCAGAGGACAGTGTCTCTTGTTTCATATGGAATTTAAAACATCCAGGAACATTAAAGCCCGATGTTTTTGAGTTTAGTTACTCTGAAAAAAAAAAAAAAAAAATGTTTAGTAAGCTATAAAACAATAACTACATAATAAAAATAAATTCAAAATTTTATATTATAATATACACAGTGAATATATTCAGTGATGTATTATCTAGGGGTACGTCCTCAGTTTTTTTTGCACTATCCAATTTTTCTAAAGATAACAACTTAACCCTTTGAGGCAATGTGGTATTATAGTGAAATTACCTATTTTTTGAATTTAAAGAGTGGTAAATTTGAATAAAAAAAAAATTTATGTGTGCCTCAAAGGGGCTAAAATCATAAACGTTATTGCATTCCTAAATATATCACTGAAGTATAATAAAACAATGCATCATATAGCACAATAGCTTAATAGCTTTAAGATAAAAAAAAACCAATAATAATTACTTCGCTGTCTACTTTAGGCCTCTTTGCAGCTTTGCCTCCTTTTGAATTAGAATTAGCTGCTATTTTACGTTTTTTTTCATCTACCTGAAATAAATTTATTATTAATATTTATTAAGTAATACATTAAATAAAATAAATAATATTAAGTTGAAATTTAACCAACACTGTTTTTTTCTTCTTCAATCACTTCTTCCTCTTCCTCTTCAAATTCTTCATCAATTTCATCATCATCTTCTTCATCTGCGATTCCTTCACCAGCTACTCCAATTAAAAATATATGTGTTAAATAATTGCTACTATTTATCAGATCAAGTCAAAAATATAAAAAATAGCTCAGAATACATATTATGTTCATCAAAAAATCTATCAGATGCAAATTACCCAAAAATTCATCATTGCTATTTAAATAAAATACATTATACCAATAATAAATACTTACTACCAACTGAGTGATTTCCCAATAAATGGACAGGACCATTTCCCTTAACGAGTTTGAATGTAACTGGTGGATCTGGAAATAGAAGGTCGAGCACACATTGGCTAAGACCAGTACCTCCTTTCAATACAACAACAGGGAACTTGATATCAGACTTGTAACCCATGGCTTCAACTTCAACAACATTAACTTCCCCATCCGGTACTTCTGATCCAAGAACAGCCTAGAGAAAATAAAACAATTATTATATTAAAATAGTAACTAAGTGTTTTTTTTTTTTTTACTAACCTGTTTCACAAGCAAAGTGTGTTCACCTCTGAATACATGAGAACTGTCATTGGCATCAGGTTTTACATCAGGATCCCAAACTTCAGTGTTCTTTGACTTGTCCAAAGTAACTCCTATAAAAATAAACACTATTTTAATCACCAAGTTTTTATAATTAATCGATACAATTATAGACAATTTAGGTTTTCATAAGGAAATAATTTCAGATATGTGTAGCTTTTCAAATAGCTATCCTCCAGGTTTGTTCCATAATGTGTTCACTAGTGTCAAACATTGATTTACCTACCACATTTTGTAAGTTTACAAAAAAAATAAATGCAGGTTAGAGCTACCATTTAATAGATTATACAGAATTACGAAAACGAGTTTGAACCCAATCTTAACGTTCCTAATTATTTCGTTCTTTCAGAGTTTGATGATCAGATAGTATTTTTAATAGGTATTCAATTATTTTGACTATATAAATATTTAAAAAAAAATCTTTTGTTAAATAATTAATTTGATACTCAAGTATAATCCAACACTACGCTTATAAATTCTGAAATAAAAGAATTTGGCGGTTATAACATTTAATGTTCTATCAACGTGTTTGAACATTTTCCGTAAAACACCACGTTTTGCGTTTCATGATCATGTCGTGTAGGTAGGTACTCAACAAAATCGGTAGTAGCGACATACTAAAATAATTATGAAGGGCGCACGAGGTACAGTGCTAGGATGGTAATAAACGTGTACACGCGGGCGCACGCGCACAATCACGAAGTTGACTGAACAGCGCGCGCCAAACGCACGGAAACGCGAAATTCAGCAATATTAAATATGCGACAATTGAAATATATAAACGGGGGCTGAAAAAATGTACGTTCAATACGCGTGTGTAGACAATAGATTAACGATTAAAAAAAAAATAAAGAACGCGAACTTGAAGACGGCGGCGACCATGTGATTTTTTGCTATGGCCGGAGGACAACGCGAACGCGGGAGGCCTCCAAGGGGACAAAAATGGCGCCGTCCTTTGTCGAAAAATAATTGTTAAGAAACAAGTCGATCGCGCACGACAAAATATGATGGAAAACACGAAAACGGGAAAAATTGTAATTTCACACAGTATACATGTGAGTTACACACAAGCGTAAAAATTTTAGCCTATTGCGCGCGAACTATACTAACATGCTTACCCCAAAAGTAATCTTCAGTCATCTTGATATTCTGATCGTTTACTCGACGATATTAATTGGATAATTATCGTTTATGCGAGGTGTTCGCAGTTCCGTAAATACGGATGAGGAAACGTAGGAGCCTGGACGGTAGAAATGAAAAATCCACGAAATGCAAAACGTACAGCACAACGACTGCGACAGTAATGGCCGACTTGAGTTGACGTCGTTGTAGTCGTTGCCGGTAAACAAAATCCGTTGTTTGTGCAGTTCACCCGGTCACGGTGGCGCTACCTACGGACGCCACGCCGGTTCAGTGCAGACGTTATAAAGGGAATTTACCGTTCCTCCCTGTCACCATTCTCATGGCTCACTGCAACTACACAATATGTGTTATCTTAGTTATCTGTTTATTTTTCATTGGACAACGTATCTGTGAATCTGAATTTAATCAGCGGGCTTTCTGTATAGACTTTTCTATAAAAAAAATAGTTTTCTACATCCTATATTACATTTGTTTTTCAATTTTTTTTTTTGCATTTTAAATCTATTCACAAAAAACAAATCAGACGTCATGTATTTTAGATTCATGCTAATTACTAACGTCATTATCTGATTTTCCATACGTTAAAGTAAACAAAAGTCATAAACGTTTAAAATCTACAAATGTGTTTTATTATTTACACAAGTCGTTTGAAAAACAAATTAAAACATACACGTCAACTATCGGTTGGATTAGTATATGTTACTAAGTATTTTGTGTGTTAGATATTATAGTTTTTCCGTGCAGTAACACAAATAATTTGAAAATGTTTCAATTATCTGGAACAAAATTGTTCCTATTAATTTTGATAGCTGCATCGCTTGGTGCTCTTTGGTACCTGGACACCAATTATTATCATTGGGGTCATACTTTACCTGAGCCTGAAAAGCTGTTGGTTGAAAATGAGCCCAAGCCTATAAAAAACAATTCGTTCAAGACAAAAGAGTTTTTACCTACGAATGAATGGCAAACAATCGAGAAAGGTATAAAATAGAATCATATTATATATTATTTTACAAACTTAATTTTTACATTTTTAACCAACAACCTAGTACCTACTCTGAATGATTTAAAAAATTAATATGTATTACCTATTATGTTTATTATGAATTAAGCGTAATGTACCCATTTAAATATAATTAAATTTTATATTTACAAATAGACAGATTGGTAGTATAATTATTTGTAATATTTATTCTTTCCTATAGATCAACCGATTCCTCCCGGATTACATGTACAAATTGATCTTAAAACTGGCGAGAAAAAGGCTAAATTGATAGATGGTCATGATAATATAAAAACTAATGATTTATCTATTTTGGCTTCTAATTTATCAGAAAATTTAGTAAGCATGACAAATTAAACAATTTGTATTGTATTTGTATGATGCTAAGGATACTTCTTATTATAATTACCAAATTTGTTTATAGGAAATACCAAAACATATTGATGTAAAAAATTTCAAAACGTATGAACAGCTTAAAGATGACCTAAAACAATTGAATATGACTGTCAAAAGTGAAATAGAAATAATGGATGATCTTTCAGCTAAATTCAAGGAACAAATGAAATTATTCGAAGATAGTGATAAAAATATTAGGAATATTTTATTTGATCTTGAATATCTGTTACATCAAGTTGATACTGCAGAAGTTTTTATAAAGAATAAAGGGTAGATGTTTATATTATATTTTCCTATTTTATATGTATGTGTTTTACTAAATGTATATGTTAACCACATCCATATTGTGTTATTGAAATTTTAGTGAAATGGACAGTGTTTATATCTATTTCACAAAATGGAATTGTGGTTTATACACTTAATTTAATAACATATTGTGGATAATATTTTGTGAAGTAGATACCTAAATTACTCACAACGAAACTTAGTCTATCATTTGGATGTCTGTATTACGAAAAACAATAAACTCGTATTTTTTCCATTACAAATATAATTATTATTTTTACTAAGAAAATAATTCTCTTTTTATGATTTCAGAATTACTTTAAAAATATTTATTTATTTAAATAAGTTTAAAAATTATGGCAATGAAAATTACAAAGATTCAAAAATAATATTCATGTCTAGTTTTCTTATTTCTAATATTAAAAGTATTTTATGTTTTTTATTTATATTTAAGACAAAAATAATAATTATTATTAATGAAATAATTCACTTATTTAATTTGTCTTGTACTATTATAGTATTAATTTTATTAGAGCTAAATTGTAAAAAAAAAAAATGTTTTACTATATGAACATCCAGAGGATAGAACAAGTTCCAATGTGTATAGTTTCCATTTCAATTAATGTTATGCTCTTTGTATTTATACAAAGTGGAGAAACCCTAGTTCCATATCGTAAAATGAAACACAATATGAGTGTGACATATATATACTATGTAAATTAACTTTTTTTTTTTTAAAGCAAAAATTAAACCTAGATCCTTACAATCATTAATTTAACTTTATCTTACCTACTTTTTTAATTTTTTATTTAATTTATAATAGTTTAAATTGGCTGAATAATACTATCATTCAATATTCAAAAGTAAAAGGTCTAGCCTATTTTTTTTGTTCAACTTGATATTGAACAATAGCATAGATTAAATTTTTAAAGATACTGTTCCTTTCTAAAATGCCTATTTTAGTTCAATTCTAATAATATATTGTATATCCAATTTCTTCTTTTTGTCGAGTCTGGTTATGTTAAAATGCTAATAACATAGTTAAATAAAACAAATAAATACCTAAATAATAAATAAATAAATTTAGAACATTTAATAAAAATCATATATTTGGTAATATGTCTTGTTCTAAATGTTGTGCTGCAACTAGTGTGTAGCCATCTCTAGAGCATTTGTATTAGTCAATATTAGTCTGTATTTCTCCACATTTACAAGTTTCGTCTTCTTCATTAAAACCCCATTTTACCATGTTAGCTTTAGTTCTATCCACTCTAGCTTTTAATCTATTTAAGGTTTTTCATAGTAATCATAGTAAATGTCTGTCCAATAGAAATTATTGTGTAGGCTGGATCAGTTCTTCTGGTTTTAACTCATTTTGTCACCTTTGGAGACTAGCTTTTTGTACAGTTCTTTTGCTGTTTGTATAAAACTCCTTTGGGATTTCATAGGGTGTCTTTCGTCCTTTATCTATTTGGTTTTTCTATGTTGGTGATTAAACATCTTCTAATTTCCGGTGGAGTTACGCCTGCTAAGAGTTATAACTTGCATGTAGGCGTTAGCCTAACAAATCCCATTATGATTCTACAGGTATTGTTTAGTGCTACAGATACATGTTTGGTGTGTTTAGATTGGCTTTACTCTGGACACGTATATTGTCTAGTTAGAAACATAGGACCAGTCCAGTTGTACGTATAATGTGTGATCGTTCTTCTCATTGTGTCCCTGCGAGGTTCCTAAGTAGGTTGTTCTTTGCCTGCAGTGTTTCTTTCTGATGATTTTCTCCGGAGGGATATTTGGAAAAATTGGAGGGGGTAGTTTATATTACACCAAGAAAACAAAATTATTTGATAATAATTACCTTTTTTTTTAAATTTAAGAAAAACCAGCTCTAAAATGTTTCATTACCATCATTTTTTTCATCCTTATTTTTGTGGATGACTAGGTACTACTTTCGATTTTCAAATAATAACCTATACTAAAAATAACTTAAATATATGAAGTATTAACTTAAAAATATTTTAGTAGTTATATAAATTTTTCCATCAATTTGTTAACAAGGTAATCCAGTTTTAAGCTTAGACAAATACAAATAAGCAAATTATTTAATAAAAATGTACAAAAAAAATATAATATACCTACACCATATATATGATGTATACATTATGCATTTATTGCTATACATAGCTTAAAAGTTAAAAATATACTGAAAGAACTGAAATAAGATTAAACCATTTTGTTAAGTAATAATCTCCAATATACAATAAGGTTAGAGTTTTTGCAGTAGATACTTGTCAATTAAACTAAATTAAATTTAAAAAAAAATATATATTTATAATTTTATTTTTTTAATTGTGTAGTGCAAATTGCAATCAGATGTATGTATCTGTTGTAACACAACTACAGTCAACCCACTTTACTATTTAGAATATTGTAAAGTAATAAGTACACTACCACAGTTTACAACAATGATATGCTTTCGATAAACTAATGAAATATTTATCTGATATTATTTTTAGTAATCAATAATATTTATTGTTACCGGCACCCAACAATATTATCTAAGCAGTTAATGATTTTCTTGGATATTCTCCGGGAGGGGCTGAGCCCCCCTGGAAACATGCCTGAAAGAAACACTGCTTGCCTGTATTTTTATTTTAGTTATGAAACAATGCAAAACTAAATGTTAAAGTCATATCTATGGTGACGCTTAGGTACACTGGGTAGTCAATGTTCTGCAACATTTTCCCTAGCCATTCTATATTAAGACATCTCTTGACATCACGGTTTTGTAGGTGGAAGTAGCATACCTGAGTTTTGTTTGGGTTGGGTTTTAATTGATTATTATCATAATAGTTGGTCATGACTTCTAGTGTATTTGCCAGTTTGTTTTCTACATTATCAATTTTTATCTTGAGCTGTGATTACTAGATCATCGGTGTTTCGTGTATAAGTTAAAGAGCATCAGAGCTATCATGTTACCTCGTAGATAGCAATCTTTTTCGGTTCTCCATCTACTCCACTTATCGCTTAACTTTACTGTAAATCAACGGTTTTTTAGTAGGGAAGCCACTATTTGAATACATAATGTAGTAATACATTTTTTGTTACAATTTATTATTTTTAACTGTATCGAACGCTGCTGTAAAATCAATGACAACCACTCTAGTTATCTTTTTGTATTTAAAGCCATCCTCAATATGTTGACACATTCTAAGCAATTGGCCTGTACAAGCCTTGCTTGGTCTAAAGCCAGCTTGCTTGGGTATTAGTTATTTATCTATTTGAATTTTAATGTGGTTCAAGATCATTCTCTTATATAGTTTAAAGGTGTGGCATAACAGAGATATTGGTTGATAGCTTTTTGGATCACTTAAGTCTTTCCCTGGTTTAGGAAGGGTTATTTAGATTCTCTTCAGCTTTTGGGTACACATTTCCTATGGAGACATATATTTAATAGCCATAGTGGCCATCGTGTGTCACTTTTTGTTTGTGTCATCACCAAGTTGCTTAGTAAGGTTATCTCCTGCCGCAATAGTATCATCATTAAATAGATCGTTTTTAAACAAATCTTGACATTTTTCCACCGCGTGGTATGTGTTGTCTAGACATTTTCCTACTTCATCCGCAAATACTTGGTGTTGGTTCTAAGTTCTGAATTTCTTTATCAATGGCCTCACTGTATTTTCCCCAGTTAACTCTTCTGTAATTAAATCTCTTCTTGATTGGTACCGTTTTAGACCTAATAACTTTGTTTATTTGTAGTTTTAATGCTCTATGTTCCAAGAAAAATTATAAATAAATATCATTGTAAAACCAATACATTAGCCTTTGCTCAGAATTTAAAATTGATTTTATTTAGTTTGTAGTTTAGCTGATGACTTTATTATGAACCTTGATATATTACTAATTGAATTACTTTAATTTTAACTTAATATTGTGAGCATTACTAATAAAAGTAAATTTTTCTTCACAGAATAGAATCAATTATAATTCCATGTATCAACAGTAACTCAACTTTTATGAAAGCACAAGGAGCACTACTCCTTGGTTCTGCTGCATCTAATAATCAAAAAGTTCAAATTTCAGCATTACAAGCTGGTGTTATTCCAATTCTATTAGATCATCTTAGTAATGAATATGCATTTTTAGTGAGTGTTCAAATATTATATTTAATTATTAATGTTTGATGTATTATGTATTTATTTAAATTTTAATTGTTTAATTTGTACCTAGGTTCAAAAAAATTGTTTCTTTGCATTAGCATCAATCACTAGACGATTTCCTGCTGCACAAAAAGAAGTAATAGAAAAAGATGGTATTCAAAAATTCTTGACCGTATTTAAAAGACCCAATTCTGATTCAAATACCATTTTAAAGGTTGAAACTAATTTATTTTTGTACAGCAAATGTGTTTAATTTTTTTATATTTTTATTTTAGTTAAAAGTTTCTCAACTTTTAGAAGATTTAGTAATAGAAATTGAAGATGCACAACTAACATTAAGAGAAGAAACTAATGAACAGCTTAGTTCAGAAGCTAAAGAAAGAGTTCGGCAATATAGTGAATTGCACATGGTTGATAAACTTGTTGAAAATGGATGGTATGTTTTATCTTTTAACTAAACATTTATTTTTGATTGATTTTGTTATAATTATTCAGATGTTAATTATAGAATTAATCATGTGTGATTTCAGGTGTGAAATTTTGGGAAATGAATTTATCAGTTTGTCTAATCCACTTCCGACAAATCAAGATAGTCATGATATGATTGAAGCTTCTGGTAAATCTTTATTAGCTTTGAGTAAATCATGTAAAGCCAAGTTACAGGGAAATAAGCAATTATTCAAGTCATTATACATTTTGGAAATTCATTATAAAAAATTATTTCAAAAAGATAAATATTTCAATACATTATTTCAGCTAATGAATGAGTTGACTAATACATATGATCCTGTGTTAGAATAGTTTTATGTTAAAATAATATTAAGTGTTAGTTATTATAAAATGTGTGTGCAACTAATTATCTGATACACCTTTTTTATTCTGTGATATATTTAATTGATTTTATGCATTTATTTTGAAAATAATATTATCATAATACCTAATTTATAATAGTGGTTATTATTTATTATTTGAAATAATAAAATAAAATTTGATGCATGTAAAAATCTAAATAGCATTTTTAAATGCTACATTGAATCATAATATATGGCTCATAATTATATGTGCAATTATAGTATAGTAATTATTATAAAGAACTATTACCTTTTGGTTTTTTAAATGTATTTTATTTTTATTTCATATGACAATCGGATACAACATATATTGAAATATAATAAAATAGTGAAAAGTGGTTGGTAACAATATCAATAAAAACATTAAATAATAACAGAAATTGTATAGTGGTAACATAGATAGCCATTAATAGAGGTTAAAAACAAAGTCAAACATTTGTTAAATAATTAAAGTTAGGGTCTAAATGTTGGTTCATAAGCGTTTCAAAAAAACAGAATTAAAATATCTTTATTATCTCTGGAGATATTACAATTGGCATATCTTTGTGGGATACTCTGTATCATGTCATTTTGTTATAAATGAGTTGCTTTCATAGTTGTTTTCCACAACTAAATTCAAATATATAATAATTTTCCTCTTAATCCCACATAACCAACAGTAAAATTTCTTATAAGTATACATCACCACTATAGGTAAGCAGTTCACTTTATACTTTTTTTAAAAAAAAACAATTGATCATTGGTATTGCTTAATAATAATAATTTTAATTGCTCATTGTTGTGATTTAATATAATCGTTTAATTAGTAATTTAGATAGTTAATGGATTGGGAATAGGGAGGGTGCGTTCATTTTGGAGTTTGGACACTATGGTGATTACAAACAGTTCACTTTAGGTTTATACTGTTTGTAACGCTATGCTAGCTTTGCTTATTGTTCCAAAATGCATGAGTATCTATATTGGTGAGCGTTTGAAAGTTTGTATGTGTTATCGAATATATATAAATAACAAGCATTTATATACAAAATTTATATTAGTGTGCTGTATTTTACGCAGTATATTTAATTTTTTAAACAAATTTTAAGCTTCCTGATACCAATAAAGTACCATCAGATACTACATGGCAGAGTACGAGTCGAAGGAAAGCGATTGTAACGAACTGTCAAGGAGCAATCAAGATATTCAATAGGGGATATCTGTGATTGATTGCTTTTTTTGCGTTTAGTATAAATTCAAATATGCAACACTTGAACAATTATTTTGATTTAAATTTATTACACAGATTTTAGTTGTAAGTGTATTTTTATTATACTTAGTATAAATATTAATTAAAGTATAATATGTGGTAGATTTGACTATTACAAAAATGTTAAATTCAAATAAATAAATAATATACCTGTCATTAATTAAAAAGGAAAGTTACAATAATAAAAACAAATTGAAATAAAGATATATGCCTATAAATAGATAACTATGTAATTAATTTTTATAAATTAAAAAAAATATAAATGTAGGTAACAATAATAAGAACAAAATAGAATCGAGTGTTCTAGTTTTACAAATAATAATTACTGGGTGCGTGACGTTTGCGCATTCCGAACCAAAGTTCGTATTTTGAGTGAATAGTGATTCATTTATAACATTATTAAAATGGTCAGTTATCACAAATTTCGGTGTATCTATTACACAGACGTATAATATATTATGCGTCTATGATCTATTATCATTTATTATTATAGTCACGAATTAAAATATATCTTATTAATTTGTGATTATAGCCTTCCAGCGTTCGCTGCCATACCTCGATGGGATAACTGTTTGTGACACGAATTATGATTATACAGGATATTGAATGGAAAAGTTTTATCAATATTTTCTTGCTTCCGCCCGGTTCTCACTGTTAGGCATAATGGCTAGTGCTTTAAAACAAAATTGATATGAAAATAAACTAAAACCAGTTTAAAGTTTAGACTTTAAGAGTAGGGTGTGTAATAAATTACATATCTATTACACACACATTTTATAATAAATATTGACATAATTTGTAAAAAGTACACTTTATGATGTTAGAAGCCTTGCCAAAAATGAGAAGGTTCCAGAGATTCACTTATCACACGTTCGTTCAGTATCATCTTAATTCGTGGTTTGTGAGCGCGGATCGATGACGTATTCAATTCAGTGACGTCATGGTTGTAATCTGAGCTCTACCAATTGCCGTCAAACGCAAAACCGAACGACATGTTGGATTATGTCAAGTGCTGTCAGTAATTGCCAGTGCTTCTCAAACTTTTTCGACTCATGGCTCTCCTTTTGAACTGTTTTCTCAGGGCACTCTTGCAATTTATCGCAATCAAAAACCTATTCTGATCGGAGTAGTATCAATCGTGATGTTTATCCCACTGTATAGCCAAAGGTAACCAAGGTGAATAAAACCGATACGTATCAACAATTTTTGTCAGTTTTTGGATTCTAAGTGGAGCGAGGAATGTATAATTGGTTTTACAATGATGTTTTTTTCTTTTTCTGTGAATAACTTTTCTACCAGCAATTTTCCTCAGATTTACAATTATAGCACCTTTTCTGAAAGAAAATCTGAATGGTGAGGTACTATAAAGAAATCATTTTTTGATTTTTCCTTAAATTTACTCAATAAATGGAAAAAACGGGGAAATACGTACAATGTTAATATTAAAGAAAATATACAATTATTTTTACCATAATGCGACATATATATTGATGACAAAGCAACCTTAGAATTGTTTTTCGTTAACAATGGTTAATTGTTGCATACAGATATACATTATATTTCCCCTCTACCTTAGTGGCCTACCCATGTGCGAATTATGTTAGTCTTTTTTTTTTTTTAATTTTTGAAGTAAAAAGTATTGAGAATCGAATTGTTTTATTCTAAACGAAGCACTACTGAGTATCCACATTGTTCAAGGTACAATGCGAACAATTTAAAACAATTTTTACTAATTGAAAAAGTTTGTTTCAAGAAAAGTCCAGGAATAAATGATGCCGGCCTCACTGTTTCTGCTGTCAAATGGGTTTTAAAATTTATTTTTAGACCGGCAAATATTCAAAATGGTTACGCAACGCCCCTGTACAGACATTGAGGCACTGCGAGTCACAGTTTGGGAATCGCTGGGGTTGTGCCATAACAGCCATACAGGGAGTGTAAATTGCTTAGGTAAGGTAAAGATGTATGCACATTGTGGATTAGGTTAATGCCGTTTTTAGTAATTATGAACAATAATATCTAAATTATAATTTTAATAATACAAATTAAAAATGAATTACAATTTGTACGATTTGTTCTAGTAATCGGAACCGATCAACGTGTTCGAAGTTACACAAGTATATCAATATCATACGGATAATTCCAAAAATGCAGATGCATTCAAAATAAAAATAAAATCGTAACAAGTTTACAAGTTTGAAAACGCAAATTACAATTTACAGAGAGATGACAACAAATTCATTGTTAAGCGATAACATGCAATGTGATTATTTCTTGTAATAATTCACGGAAGCGGAAAATGCGTAACGATAATGTAATTTAGTTATCCTGCTGAGATGCCTGTTTATTTATGCCATGCATACTATACACACATTACAACTTTAAAAGCTACCACCCTCTTAACCAGTGTCGCGCCGCGGAAAACCGGAGAAAATCGTCTCGCTAAATGTGGCTCTACTGGGTCCCCGTATGCAACCCTTCCCCATGGCCGACGGACAGCCGAGATTCCATGAATCGCGCCCGATACTGACTCACCGCGCACCACCCACAAAAAGTGAATTGATAAAATTTTAATCGCTCTACCGTCCCTCCGCAGTCCGCATCGCGCGTCTTCCGACGGAAATTTGCAATAAACTATAGAGGGCCCGTCGCCGTCGAGTCCGACCGACCGCGTTCGCGTCCGTGTAATGTCCGTAGTGTCCGCTCGGTGCGCGTTTTCGTATATTTCAGTATTATTATTATTATTATTATTATTATTATTATTATTATTCACTCTCATCAGCTCATTATCTGTTTACAAGGGGATAATATTATGTGCGTCGGATCGGTTCGAAACGTCGTACTTGCGGATTACCAAAAAGTACCACCAGTAACCGTGAGGCGCGAGGTAACTGGTAATTAAACGTTGCGTATCGCAATCTGACGCAATTATTATTATTATTATTATTATTGTATCTGCCGAACTGACGTAAATACGTAACTAATAATATTAATATCGTTAATAATTTATTACGAATTGATTCCGTGTTCGCGACGACTACTTGGCCGCACTCCTGCTTATCCTGTCCCATTGACAGTCGCACGTTTCTGTCGCGTTTCTCGTTTACTCGATTATTGGCACGTACACCCGTAACACTACTACACTAGATTACAACGTCGCCAGTTTCTCGATAACATTCGACATCAGAACGCTGGCATGACGCTGGATTACGGTACGGCTAGCCGGGCGGCCGAACTCATCGAACGTTTAACCAGATCCGGTGAAATTGATGTCGACCAGAGCACCGAATTCAACCAGATCGAAAATATCTGCAAGTAAGTGTCAACAAATCCGTAACGCACATTCGAAAATTGTACCTACCTATTCGTAGGCACCAGTACAAATACCACTGATATTTTATTACTACCTACCGACACTTCAACTACTTATCGTCATTGGGTAAAGATATTGTGTTTTTAACAACATTATTCTTCGGCTCTTTTTCGTATACCTTCTAAAAAAACGTCGTTTGCCATCATGCCGCACCGTCTAACGAGTTCACAGCGTCACCCTGTTTAGCAGCTATCCTCCCTAAAAAAATTTGTTCGAATATAATAATATATCTATTATTTAAATTGCAATCGAATAAATATGGACAAAAGTAACGAATCGGATTCAACAAACCGAGGCAATCTCAGGCAACCAACCAGAGTTTTCAAAAAGAGCTCGCCAAATGGTAAAATTACTGTTTATTTGGGCAAAAGAGATTTTGTCGATCACATCACTAATGTTGATCCGATTGACGGCGTAGTACTTGTCGATCCAGATTATGTTAAAGGAAGGAAGGTATTCGGTCACGTTTTAGCTGCCTTTCGTTATGGCCGCGAAGACTTAGATGTGCTGGGTTTGACTTTCCGAAAAGATCTCTACATCGCTTCCGAACAAATATATCCGGTAGGTAATATTCGTACTCCAACCAGATTACAAGAGCGTTTGATCAAGAAACTTGGTCCGAACGCCATACCGTTTTATTTCGAGCTGCCACCCCATTGTCCAGCATCTGTAACATTGCAACCTGCTGCAGGTGATACGGGTAAACCGTGCGGCGTTGACTATGAGTTCAAAGCATTTGTCGGCGATACAGCCGAAGACAAACCACACAAGAGAAATTCCATACGACTGGCGATTAGAAAAATTATGTACGCTCCCAAAAAAGAAGAAGTACAACCGTCCGTTGAAGTATTTAAAGAATTTGTTATGAGTCCAAATAAATTGTATTTGGAAGCGTCATTAGATAAAGAACTGTATTATCACGGTGAGAGTATATCAGTCAACGTACACATAGCGAACAATTCCAACCGAACAGTAAAAAAAGTCAAAGTGTGTGTAAGGCAATTCGCTGACATATGTCTATTTTCTACTGCTCAATACAAATGTACTGTTGCTGAACTAGAAAGTGAGGATGGTTGTCCAGTTGGTCCTGGATTCACTTTGTCCAAAGTATATACAGTTAAACCTACTTTGCACAACAACAAAGACAAACGTGGCCTGGCTTTAGACGGACAATTAAAACACGAAGATACAAACCTCGCTTCATCCACAATAGTTAGCAATCCTTCACAAAAAGAAAACCTAGGAATTATTGTTAAATACAAAGTGAAGGTGAAACTTTGTCTCGGTGCTTTGGGAGGAGAACTAACAGCCGAACTACCATTTATTTTGATGCACCCCAAACCGGAAGAAGAAGTGATTCCACCATCTAATAATGTTACAACAAGTACAGGGGTTGATGATAATGGTGTACGAGTAGATAATTTGATTGAATTAGATGAAGATGGTCCTGCTGTACCGTCTCATGACGAAGACATAATTTTTGAAGATTTTGCTCGTCTACGATTAAAGGCTGGTAATGATTAATTGAAAAAATTAGGTATGTAAATCTAGACAAATAATGAATTCAGTCTAGGGGTTAGGTAACTAACTAATACATGTTGTCTGATTGATGTTTCTATTGAATAGAATCAGAGGAAGTCTGTTTGAATTATATAAACACAAATGGAAATTATGACAATTCCTTAAATCTATAGAAATCAATTTCAATGGTAATATTGCTGATAGAAATAACAATTATAAGAATTTGTTTACTCTGTCAGAACTTTGTGCGCAATTGTTTTAGCATGGTCTAATTTTAGTCCAAAGGCCCAAGGCTTAAGTTTATCAATTAAAAGAATTGTTAATTTCTAAAATTTGTCGTAATTAAATACATGTTCAAGTAGATTTGTTTACTATTTTGTTTGTAGTTGATTAACTATAAGGAGGAAATTTGCTGTTAAATGTTCAATGTGATATTTTTTCATTTTTTATTTCAACAAAATAATTTATGATATAATAGGTATAGGTACCTATATAATTTAGGTAATTGTTCTTAGATGTTTATATTTAATGAGTACCGTTTGTATAATTGATTACACTATTGAGTACTTATATAAAATTCAAAAAGATATTTAAAAAAAAAGAAGGAAATTGGACATCACATCTGGCCACTTCTCTGGTGTTTTGTATGGGGATTAAATGTGTTAGTACACATGTGAAATTTATTCAATATTTTTACACTACAGGTTTTAATATTCCTCCTTTTATTAATTAATCAAATTAAACTAATTAATTATATTATTGTTATTAATTTTCGAATGTATTTCTTTAACATACTGTTAACTTCTTTCTTATTGATCCATAAAATTAATTATTATAAATATTAATCGACAGAAAAAATTATTTATTATAATAATTTAATTATAACAAATAAGTAAAATGTTTATATAAATAATACCTATTCAAATGCAGCACCAGCATTTTTATTTGTGCCAAAACCATTAATAATAATACAATAATTTTTATAATAATAACTATTATGTTTTATTTTTGTGAATTATTTTTAATTTTCTATTGTTGAATTATTTACGGGCCAGTACATAGTTATAATCTAATTACATATTGATTCCATGGCATTAGGCTAACCTACATTTAGTTTAGATTTTTTAGGTTACCAGACATTTATGAATTTTATAATTTTTCAATTATGTTTCGACAATCGAATTAGCTTTAAGATTTAATTATTAAGTTAAATTATATCTATGTAATAATAATATA